AGTACCCGGGTCTATCCCTTCGAGGTGACAGCGGCGGCGAACTTCCGCGTCGTACGCCAGCCAAAGCCCCCAGTTCTCCGACGTGGCCCCGTCCGTGTGACATATGCGGTTGAAGTGCTTTTTCCACCGTTCGTAATCCCGTCGGAAATATGTCTTGATGAGCTGAAGCAGACGCTTCCAGGCCTGGTGCCATTCGCCAAAGGATAACTTAAGTTCGCCGGCCGACGGGAGGATCTTTTCCGCCTGGATCAACCCCCTGGCCGGATCGACGGCGTACATGTCGGTGAGCAGGGAAGATGTATCACATCCGTATTCGGCGACAGCTTTATCCGTGAGGTAGTTGAGCGGAATGTGGGTCGTCCACCCTTCCTGAAACTTCTTCCTGATCGGATCCGGAATCGAATAGCAATCTGCTTTCGCCTGTTTCCCCCTGACCAGATGGGGGCGGCGCGGGCCTTTGGTCGTCTCCGGAATGCGATGTACGCGCCCTTCTCTCCTCGCGTGACGCTTCCGTGTGCGGTCGCCGCGTGAGTTGCGACGATATGGTGACTCCACTCTCGAACGGTGGGCGCCTGATGGGGAATGCTCGGTGGACGAGCTCCTACTAGACCCCGGATACCCTGAGGACGACCCTGAACTCGAGGAACGGCCGCTTGACGACGACGAGTGTCTGTTGTGCCGCCTCTTGGGGCGACCACGGGCTCTCCCAGCCCCTTCGTCGTCGCTCTGTCCTTGGCCAGCAGACTCTGACGACGAATGACGGCGTCTTCTCTTCCTCGCTGGGGATGCGTTGCGAGAACGGTGATGCCTGGGGCGCGAGTGGTCCCGTCTCCGCTTACGCTGGTGACGTCCCGACGAGGATCTCCTCGGGCTGGACCAAGGTTCCGGGCTCCCGCTCTCTCGATGTCTCCCGATATGCCCCCGCGGGGTGGAAGCTTCGCGCCCGGATGGCGTTGGAGATGCAGGAGGGGTTGGGGGAGCTGAGCCACCTATGTGAGCGTCAGCCCTCTGCCAGCCAGCTCGCGATTTGGGAATGCCATATGGCAACCCGTTCAAGGCCCTATGGCCTGAACCGATTAGGCCAAACGGCCGGCGTCGTTGCATATGCAAGTCGGCGAAAGACTCGCCGGCGGCCCTATGGTCGGCTTACGGCGGTCCATAGGAAGCAGTCAGGAGCCTATGCTCCGACTTGCAAGGGGTGCGACAACTCACCCAAATCGTCGGACGGGGGAGGAGGGTGGTCCTCGCCTTCCTCCTCGTCTTCCTCCCGATCCGGGGAGTCATTCCCGACGCCCGTCTCTGGTTCCTGCTCCTCGTCTTCCTCGTCACCCCGGGTCTGAGACTCTTCGGAGGCAGCGTCTGATTCGTGCGGGACGCCTCGAAAGGTGGAGCCGGACGTGTTCGATGTTTCGTCGATGATGTCGGCGAGGTCTTGCCTGGTAAAGAGCGCCTTGAAATCCGGGTGATCCATGTAGAACTTGATGTCCTCGAGGAGGGCGCGTCGGGTTCTAGCTTTAAGGACCGCTACCGTTCCTTCCTGTTCAAGTCCCAGGTGCGAGGCCAAGTCTTGTAGCTCTCTTTTGCACAGCGACGATAGCCGCTTGTTGAACAGCGGAGGTCGTTCGATCCACGGAGGCATTTGTCAAAGTTTGTGATAGGATTGCTTGAAAATACGAAAACGTAGTAGCACGACCTTCGCTGCCCTCGGGGACAGGAACAGAGGAGCCAGCGAGGCGACCTCCGCCGCCCAAGAACCGGCACCGCCGCACGTGACCTCCGCTCCGGTGCGCCCGCTGTTCCGAATTCAGAAGGTGTGGGTCATGTGCTCGTCGCTTGCATCTCATGGGACTGATTTCAGGAAAACAGAGCCTCGTATCGCTCGAGATGATGTTACAGGAGAAGATATGATAATACCCGACAAACCGATATTCATGGATGCTATCGTGTCCGATTGGGCATCAACAGGTGAGACCGCCCAAATTATCGGCTGAGTTCTCTAAGGCAAGGCATGAACCACACGACAGTACGCGTAATGAGCCCTCGGTCTCGATATCAATCCCTGCCACCCGATCCAAACTTGATGGAAAATGCGTCAGAGCAACGCCCAATTTTAGAGCAAGCAAGGCTCACAGAATCCCCACGAATGCATACAGCTCATCCATCCATCGCTATTGCCTATGCAGCCCTTCAACGTGGCGCCATGGTACCTATACCCGGGGTCGACTTCACGGATAACGTTGCCACCTCATCAATAGAGTTCGAGCAACGCGTTACCGATTGCATGAATCACCTGCTTGATCTCGAGGTCGCTGACCTGCTTTTCCTACTCGAAGATGAACCGGATCTGCTGAAAGATTTCTTCGCTCGCATCGATTGCTACATCAGATATCGCGTGCGCAAACACGTCTTTGCCCCGTACTTCACAGCTTGGCGTTGTCCAACGGATTGGATCCGATTCGTGATGACTGTCCCGGTTTTTCCAAAGGATTTTGCCTTCACCATGAAAGTAATGGTTGATCAACGCATGTTTGAGCGATCCGCGGTTATGGAGACGGTCTCCGGTGCCATCTCGAGGTCGCCAATTCCGCTTTACCTTTGGGATGTGGACCACGATCTATTCGAGCCGATATTCTCCGATCGTGACCCACATGAGGGTGGTGGCACTCGGGATTCAAATGATGGTAATCCTCGTTATGGAGTATGCGGCACAGTGCGCTCATTTTCTGGGTAGACACGCAGATGATCTCGCAAGTCGACTCCGACACTGGCAACGACATGCTGATACCGGTAAAACCAACATATGTGGACGCCCTTGTATGTGATTGGAATTCAAAAGGTACGGCTTGAACTGACCTCGGCGCGTAATCACAACCATGACCTCTCTTGTATACCCTCACAGTAAATTTTATGAGCCCTCGGTGGCAGCTACAGTCTACACCGCCTGACCCGGACGAGATCGAGAACGCATCATGGCCAGTGATTGCTGAGTCGGCGAATACATCCGGAGTCTCAATACCTTTTCACTATGACAACCTTGCACCAGATGACGCATGGAATGGAACACCTGCATCAGAACCCAGCAGACACGTGCGATTCGACGACAGACTACAGTTGCACTCCCCAGCATATGCATGTGACGACGATGAAAGCTTTTTGGCCATCACACCGGTTTCGCCCGCAAATGTGCCTCTTCCGCTTGCGGACGAAGACGAAGATCAGATCCTTGCGCGTGAGGATATCAACGGGGTATTCGATATGCATATATCGGGATCGGACACACCTTCAGGCTCACATGGGCATGCAAGGGACGAGATGGATCATGACCTTACCGCCGGATGTCGCAGTTCTTCGACGCACGAATCAAAATCGCCAACTCGTGTGGAGCTTCCAGTTGCAGATGAAAACGAACCTTGGCTCCTTTCCTACGAGTCCAGCGTTGACGTGGCCCTTTCGGAAACGAATTATACCATTCGTACTTTGCCAACCAATGGGCTCCAGGACGGCAATACGGATTATGCACTTCATTGGCATGAACAATCCGAACCTCAATCTTCCTTGCATGCACGTCCTGTGTCACTCAGCAGACCAGATGTGTATACCTCGAGTCCTGGCTTAGGTATCACCGTTGATGAGATGTTGGAGTCTGAAGATGTTCGACCGGAGGATGTATCGACCACTGAACCCGACCAGGTGTTTACAAGCACTTCAAGGAGTAATACACAAGATTCCTTGGCCCTATCTGGACTGTGCACGTTTGAATAACGTCTTGTAATTAGTTTGTCATTTATCTGAACATGCATTCATCCTAGTAATACCGCGTATTTGTTCTACAAAGCTTCTTTAAAGTGCTTCAGAAAGGCAGAAACTGCACTACACCGATTGTACCACACAGCTGCTGAATCGCGAAGGTTTCGCGGGTCGTCGCGCACTGTGTCCTCCTGTTTCAAAGCAGAATTGTGCACCCCACACAGCGTAATTGGGAGCTCGTGGTGGATGGCATTGGTCAGACGAAGTAGGCCTATAAAGATAAGTATCGTCGTCTCTGGGTGTAACCATAGGACCCAACGAGAACACTGTTTGGAAAACTTTTCCTCTCGCCTGTTTGAAATCTGGCAAGCTTTCGCTCGCTTTGAGCCATTATTTACTAGCAGAGTTTACTCAACTCACGTCACTTCGGTGTACGTAGATGAAGGACTTATCTGCGTACAAATTCTCGATATTGGGGGAGGTGCCTAACGGGGCCATCATTCCACGTGGCAGAACGTGTTCCTGAGCACCGCCACGCGGTCTGGTCCGCATGGGTGCGCATCGCCGCTCACCGTGTGGAGGGGCGACGAGCTCAAGTGCAGTTTCGTTCACCCTCCTCTATTCCTCTGTTCTCTCTGCGCCCTTACGTATCAGGCTGCTACTGAGCACAGTAATTCTGCCACTGCGAAAAGCTCTGTTCCCAATACAGGGGTTATAACATATCTTGCTCGACGGAGAAATCCGATATTGCCTCAAGAAGAGTGAAGAGCTGCTCTGGAGTCTGGCGACACTGCAAACGCATCAAGAATTGCACACGTTCTTCAATACAGTCTCATCTGGAATACCCTGGGATAGACATATCTATGGTCGCTTCATCGCTCTGAACATCCATCTGTGACCTGGGTGTGTTACCTTGACCCAATAGCCGATGATATAGTCTCTCTAATACAACTTCAGCATAGCACTGGCATCCTTTCGACACCCTACAGAATACTCCGAGTCTACTTACGACCATTAACATCCCTTCAAGACCTCAACCACCTCCGATAATGTCGCCCCCGCCGCGCTACCGCGTCTCCTACGTCATCCCCCCGCCGACCGAGCCCGTCCCCCGCCTTGAGCTCCCGCCCTACGGCACCCCTCGCCATGGCCAAGTCCGCCCCCTCCTCATCCCCTCCCGCGCTCCCCCCACCCCACCCTCTCCGCCTCCATCCGCCCTCCTCAACCGCGCACCGCACCCGCGCCACCGCCTCGGCATCTCCGCCCTCGCCCTCGACGCGTCGACGCAGCTCGTGGGGCGCGCCGCGCCCGAGGGCATGCTCTACACCGCCGGCCGGGACGGGATGGTCATCGCGTGGGACCTCGGCGTGCCCATGCGCCCGCGAGCCCCGGCCCCGCCCGATTTCAAGCCGAGGTGGGAGGCGATGACGGGCTGGGCGGACGAGGGCGCGGAGGAGGACGAGGCCGAGCTTGACGAGACGTTGGGGACGTCGGGGGACGTGCTTGGGGAGGTCACGGCGGGGTTGAGGACGCGCAGGAGGCGGTTTAGCAGCGCGAGAGGGGAGGAACCGATGCCGGTTGAGGAGCGGTGGGAGGCGGACGTGGCTATGTATGAGACGATGGAGCCCTTGGAGAAGGTCGGTTCCATGATTCATCCTGAAGCGGGGAGATAGCTGACGTGCGCTAGCGAAGGTCGCGCAGTTCCGGCAGTCGGCGCAGATGCACGCGGACTGGGTGAACGACGTTGCGCTGTGTAACATGAACCAGACCGGTAAGGCAAAACTCTTTTCAATCCTTATTTCATTATCCCACTTGACGCTCGCTCTGTAGTCCTCACTGCCTCATCCGACGGTACCGTCAAAGCGTGGAATCCGCACTCGCTAGCCTCCCCAGAACCCTCCACGATCGGCACCCACACTGACTATGTCCGCTGTCTTGCGCCCTGGTAAACAACCCTTACTCCCCTCACTTCTCGCCCTCAAACCCCACACTCATCTCGTCTGCATCTACCCAGCCGTGCGCAATCATGGGTCGCCTCCGGCTCGTTCGACCGCACCATCAAGCTCTGGGATCTTACGCGCCCCGCCTCCTCCTTCTCACAGTCGTCCTCAAGGCCGCTCACGACGCTCAACCCGCCCGACGCAGCGGGCGCGAAGGCGTCCGTGTATGCGATCGCCGCTGATCCGTACGGGCACACGATCGCGTCCGGCTCACCCGAGCGCGTCGTGCGCATATGGGACCCACGCTCGGGCAAGCGTGTCGCAAAGCTCGTAGGGCACACGGACAACATCCGCTCCATCCTCATCTCGGAGGATGCTCGATACGTAAGTCCCGAATAGTTCGCCGTTCATCAACTTGAGAGACTGACGCGAGATCGATCCTCACAGCTGCTCACAGGATCTAGCGATGGTCAGCACCTCCTTTTCACGATTCCTCTGCACGTCCTAACATAACTCCTTCGCAGCCTCCATCAAGCTCTGGTCGCTCACCTCCCAACGCTGCCTGCACACCTTTACACACCACACCGAGTCCGTCTGGTCCTTGCACTCCTCTCACCCCACGCTCGAGGTCTTCTACTCCGGCGATCGGTCCGGGCTCGTCTGCAAGGTCGACGTCGAGCGTTGCGCGGAAGTCGCGGATGGCGAGGGCGTCCTCCTCTGCCAGGACCGCGGCGAGCAAGGCGGGTTCGAGGGCGTGCACGACCTCGTAGCGATGGACGACCACCTCCTATGGACCGCGACCGGCGCGTCGAGCGTCAAAAAGTGGCGCGTGCCGCCACGCCGCTCCGCGCGGGACGTCGTCGACTCGCCCGGCGGCATGATGACGCTCGAATCGCCCCGCGGGTGGGGTGCCCACCACCGCACCTCCATCAGCACAGACCACTCCCCCGCGCCGTCCGACCCCTTCCGGAGCGCGTCCCCCTCTCTCAACCTCCGCGCGCAGCACCGCATGTCCGTCGCGGACTCGATCCTCTCCCACCGCGACACCGAGCACGAACACGACGAGCCGACCCTGCACGGCATCCCGCTCGAAAGCCTCGTCAAGCTCTCCTCGCCCAACGACCCGTTCGCGCTCGGCGCCTCCATCGCTCGCGGGCGCGACCCCGAGGTCGCCACGCTCTACTCGGCCGCGAGCATCATGTCCGTCCCGAAACAGCAGCGCGCCGCGCGCTCGCCGCTCGGCGCCATCTTCACCAACCACCCCACCACCGGCAACAACAACAACGGCAACAACAACGGGATGCCGCTGGGTAGCCCGCGCCACGTGGACACATCGGCGCGGGCGGAGTACGAGGAGCGCGAGGTCGCGGCGGACGCGGTGCCGCTCCGGGACGCGCCGGAGGAGGTGCTCGCCGGGGAACGCGGGCTCGTGCGCGCGGCGGTGCTGAACGACCGCATGCACGCGCTCACGGTCGACACCGCGGGCGAGGTCGCGGTGTGGGATCTGGTCCGGTGCGCGTGCGTCGGCCGGATCGCGCGCGAGGACGTCGCGGCCGCCAGTCCGGCCGGCTCGGAAGGCGGGAGCGGCGACCGGGAACGGAGTCCGAGGGAGGCGCTCGAGACGGTGAGAGAGAGGATCGAGGGCGAGGCGGTGGTCGTGCCGTGGTCGACGCTGGACACGAAGACGGGCGTGTTGAGCGTGCATATGACCGAGCGATGCTTCGAAGCCGAGATATACGCGGACGAGAGCGGATACGGACCCGAACGTCACTTCAACGACGAGCTGAGATGTACGTGGTCATTTCCTTCTTTTTTCTTGGGGTTGTAAGGACCTGACTCTGGCCTGTTCCGCGCTGTGCACAGTGAGCATCGGGAAATGGATCCTCCGCAACCTCTTCCTCGGTTTCATTCGCGAAGAGCAGCGCATCCACCGCCGACTGCGCGACGAGCAGCACGCTTTCAACGACGCCGCGAGCGGGCGGCGCAGCCTGCATCGCGGACACGCGCCGGCGCATATCGACTTTTCGCACCTCTCCCGCCGCGGTGGATCGGAGACGCCCGAGCCGGCGACGCCCACAACACCAGTCACGCCCGCGCGGCACTCGCCCGTCGCAAGCTCGACCGTGTTCACCGCCGCGCGGATGCTGCCCGCGGTCGCGCCCGCCTCGCCACCGTCGGCCGGCGTGCGTTCCTCGCCGCTCATCGCGCCCATGATCAGTCTCGCGAAGGACACCGGTGCCACGGTGCTCTCGCCGATCCCTCAATCTCCGAGCTCGGCCGTCGACGCGAACGCGACGCCATCAGCGGCCGCGTCCCCACCGCGGGATGCGGACTACTTTGCGCCGAGGGCCCGCACGTCGGCGGGGAACGCGACGCCGGATGAGGCTGGCGCGGCTGGTCAGACGCCGAGTACGCCGAGCGCGGGCAAGTTGATGGGCCGTATCCGCGGATTCAGGTGGCCGAATAGCAGTCGACCGCCGAGCGAGTCGGGTCCACCCGGGATGCTGCTCCCTTCCGAAGCGCCCAACAACTCCGAACAGGTCAGCCGTTGCCCCCCTTCTCTCGTTTCTCAACAGCTGAACTCTCTTTGTAGCACGCAAGCGCGGAGGTGGCGCAGACACCTGTGCAGGCGCTGATGGCGGGCGCGCTGAGCCCGCCGTCAAGCGCTGACGGGCCGCCGCTTTCGCTCCCGCCGTCGACGATCGTGATGATCTCGGAGGAGGCACCGCCCGGCTGGCGGACGACGTACCGGGGCACGGTATCAAGCGTTGGGCTGGACGTGCCCGCGCTGGAGGCCGCTGCGCCGATGTGGCTGGCCGAATACCTGCTGCTGAACAAGGTGCCGCCGATCCCGGTCCTCAAGGTCGGATTTGTGCTGCTCCCGTACCAAAGCAGGGAGCCGGCAGAGCGCCTTCCGGAGTTGCTGAACGCGTGCGTTGTTGGTCTCCTTCTGATCGCGCGTTGAGATGACTCAAAAACGTTTCTCGCAGCGCGCAGTCTAAGCTTACTGCCAGTCGGTTCTTGCGAGTGCGCAAGCTGACGTACCACGTAAGATGCTGCATTGCGCTCGGTCCTTTGCCTGCTCTGACAACGGCGCGCTCAGGTTCAAGATAAATTGGACAAGCTGACGGGCGGCAGCGCAGCCGTCTCGCGGGCCAACACGCCCCGCTCGTCTTTCGACGCCTCGAAGCGCAGCCCATCCTCCACATCTTTGGCGGGCCTGACCGTCTCCCGCCAGCAGGCGGAAGAAAACTTCGAAATTCTGTGCAACGATATCGTGCTGCCCCTGGACATGACGCTCGCCGCGGTGCGACAATTTGTGTGGAAGTCGAGCGCGGAGCTCGTGATGCATTATAGGCGCAGGGTGCCGCCTCTGCCGGCAGGCGCGATGTTCACTCCGGGGAGCTCTCCTCGGTGACAAGACTCTACTGTATAGATCTATTATTGTATGTATTTCGCAAGCTTTGTTGAACCGTGTTTGTTCTGGTCCGCCGGGCCAAGATAGTTCTCTCACGCCGCCCCATCGACCTGACCCGGGAGCTGCGACGGTCGGGTCGAGTTCCTTGTGAGGAACCCGTTGTCGTCCATCTCCTCGTACGTCCACGACCAAAAGTCGTCTGCCTCGTGGCGGTCGTACCAACCCGCCGACAACCATCCGTGTATCTGCCCCCGACACGGTCCCTCCAGCACCATGAAGAACTCGCCAGTGCGCGCGCGATGCGGCTTGCCCGCCGGCACGATGAAGTACGGGGACAGCCGGAGGCAGCGGAGCGGCAGGCGCGTCCACACCTCGTTGTTTGCGCCCGCGGGCCAACCCGGCCAGTGCCGGTGCGCGAGGATGAAGCGCAGCGTCTGCGCGTTCTGCGCGGTGTCGAGGTCGCCGCCGTTCGGCGCGAGTGCGAATATTTCGTCCCGGAGGTTGACCTTGATGAAGAGCGCGCATTCCTTGGTATCCTGCTCCGCGCAGAAGCACGCGCCGTGTTCCGTAATGGCACGGTTGCACGAACAGAAGCCGTGTGCGAAGAAGCGGACGGCGTGCGGCCAGTGAGTGCCAGGCGGAGGGCGACGGCTGGGCCACTCGGTGAGAAGGGTACGATAGTCGTCCGGGATGGAGCAGCCGGCCTTGCGCTCGACACTATCGACATAGGCAAGACGAGAGGCAAGAGCGATCGGGTACGAACCGCTGTTCAACTCGTGGAAGCAGAGGCGGAGGAGGCGTAGTCGCTGCGGGGAGGCGGCGTTGGGGACTGCGTCGCGCCATCTTTGGTTGACATGGTAGGCCGATAGAAGATCGGGTAAGGGTAGGTAGTGGAGGATGTCTATCACCAATTCGGTGGGGAGGAGCGTCTCCATGGCATGTGCACGCGTTCTACAAGGGCCTGCGCGACGGGTGTGCGGTGGTGGCGGGGAGTACTAAGAAAGCACGTCTAGGGCGGACTGCGGTCCTGCAGTCTCTAGCGGTTAGCGCGCTGGGAGAGTCACCGGAATGTGTGGGTGAAGCTTGGCTTGGGTGTAGGCCGGGAGCGAGCGCAACGGCTCGCCCCCGGCCTACTCGGCCGACTCTCCGGAGCGTACTAAACGTTCGCGACCTACTTCAACTAGTTACTAGTTCTTTAGTCGGGACTTGTATGGTAAATTCCTAGTAATATAACGTTTACGACCAGGGTGCGGTGGGTGGGACAAATAAAGACGCAGGGGGAGGACCCCCTCGTAGCCTTCGGGAGCGGAAGCAAGGGGCCAGCGAGGCGACCTCCGCCGCCCAAGAACCGGCACCGCCGCACGTGACCTCCGCTCCGGTGCGCCCTCCCAGGACCCCGGAATAGGTAGGGGGAGGTCGGTGAACCCTCCCGGGAAAAATGGGCACCCGGGGAGCGAAAGGTCGGTGAAATGCTGGCTGTGGGTTCCGGGTATTGTTTAGGTGGCTCACCACTGGGTGGTGAAGAGATTCCGGGTAGATGGCCACGTAGGGGAGGCTAATCGGTGAAGCCTCCCGGGTAGCACTGCCGCCAGCCATGTGCTGCGGCCATCGCGTCGCGCTCACCGCTGTGGCATGCTCGTCAACGATCCAATCTTCAGGCACCTCACATCGTTCATCTTCCTGCTCAGTTCTTCCTCTATCTTATTCCTCAGGGTCATGTTCAAATCTCGCCGAAAGGAACTGTTCTTTCGCTCAAGAGGCAAACTTACGACCAGGTTTTTGTACCTATACTGGCTGAGAAGACGCTACTCCTCGCTGCGATCAAGAAGTTGGGCGCTAGGAGGTCCTCAAAAGAGGCCGACGACGACGAGGAGGACATCTAGTCTATTTTTTGCTGTATTTTATGTATTTGGACTCCGGTGAATGAGAACGTCGGAACGACTGGGAGAGTGTCCGGCGGATGTGTCCGGCGGACGTTCGCCGGACTGGGTGGCACACTTGTCTGCAGATGATCACATGGATCTGCAGAACTAAGACAATCACGGGGTTCGTTCATCCGCGATTCAGATGAGCTTGTGTAGTATTACCTGCAATCCCCGACTGCTTGTACGGCAGACCGACGTTATAGCTAGAATATGCTTCTACACGACATTCTCAAGATCTTGTCAAAGAGCACTGAATACACCGACAAGCCACTGTCGAAGCTTCTTACTCCTGAACAGGCGACAGCATTTTGTGACCTCATTCGCTGGCTGAAGCCCCGTATTGCCCTTGTTCAATCGTCGTATGTCAAGGAGCCCCCGCAAGCATTGCCTCGCGATGTCCATGATTTCTTGGTGGATGCCCTTGAGATAGACTACGAAGTGCTGAAGGTGGTGTGGATTCAGCTGCGCGAGATTGCTTGGCAATCCGGAGACACGGATGGGATTGAAAGGAAAGCTAAGGCACACATTATGAAGTTTCTGGATCATAAATCGGGTCTTCGTGTTGGTGCGTACAACTCAGGAGAGACTATATGTGAATTTACTCTGAAACTGTCTAAGGGTTTTATAACCTCGTACCTCCTCAGCGCACATGCAGCACCTGTATGCAGCGTGATCCTCACAAACATGGTGCAAGGCGTCCACAGGAGCTTGTTGAACCAAAGAGCTACGAGGCCGTTGTATACACGAAAGATATGGGCCCGCTTCCCGCTTGGTCGTACTCGTTGTACTGTCGTCGTACGTACGGTATACAATCTGTCAAGCTTCCTTACGACTCAAGCATCACTCAGGGTGTCACACCCGATATTACCACGACTACTACGTTCACGACAAGGCAACCGTCCGCACATACTACTCAGAACTCCCTGAGCTGTATCATACGGCCCAGCATATATACTTCATGGCTGACCTCTGCGATTACTTCGCTAATCAGATGATGCTTGGCTGGTGCGTAATCGTTGCCAACCATTCTATGATGCCGTAGTTATAGCCGTAAACACCATAGGTTGTCCGGAACAAACTGCGCACGTATATATAATGAGTCTGGAGGCGATGCCAAGGTTCAGAAGAGGCTTCCCACATCGTCACAAGATTGGTCTTTATCTTTCCGTCTGGATGCGGAACGTGTTTGGGAGGCTGTCCTACTTGCAGCTGTGCGCGAGGATCATTTCCGGCGTGGTACCATTCTTGAGTTGGTCCATAACGCCCCTAGTCATGCAGACCGATTGCGACCGGCGCTCCGTGCCTGGAACCTCTTGATGGCCGGGATAGGATACGATGAATGGAACCATGCATGCAACCTATGCTGCTGGTGCTATACAGATGAAGACGGTACTCAGCGTCAGTTTCATCCCTTCAAATCATCTCATGACAGCAACTGAAGGACAAACATACATCCAGGCATGGTGCGATCAATTGTAACAGACGGTATTGCCATCGGCCACCCATGTTGTGCTGTCTTCAACTGTAAGGAGCCCTTGCTGCTGAAGAAGGGTGCTCGGTTCTGTCAGATGCATGCCGCACTGGGATTTGATCGGCATTGTGTAGTCATGGGATGTCGCTCAGATTCTCCAGAGGGGCATAAAACATGCAATAATCCAGAACATCGAGCTATAGAGGAATACAAGAATACCGAGGGAAAGGCAATGTTTCAGCTCAAGAACCGGCTCGACCGTCTCAAAGTATCACAGCAAGCCGATACGTTCACTCACGTGGACTCTCAGGAGTTCTGGACTCCGAGTGGGACAGAAGGTGCTGGCGCTGGAGACGAAGATGTGGTTGAAGCTGCCAATGGACGGTTTTCTATCACAAGATTCGATCCCACTGCTGATACAGAGGATTCTCAAACACCTAGCTGTGATGGGAAGCCAGAAACAGGGAACCGCACTCTCCGTGCACATTTTGGTCGTCGCCGTACCCATAATGAGGAAACCTGTGTTGCCTCGTGTGGAGTACTTATAGCTCGTGCAACTTTCTATCCATCAGAAGGCCCTAATACAGTCCGGGTACGAGACTTATCTAACACTATTTTTTATACTAACATGGAGTCAGGACTTCTGGATGCAAGCTTTCCCTACGAAAGCATCCCTTCCTCGAGTTCTCTGGCACGACAACAACTGCAAGTTGGTTGCGATGCTTCGCAATGACTCTGAGGAGCTCCAGTCATACTTTGAAGATGTTCTCCTTCCTGTGGACGTGTTCCATTTCAAGTGCAAACACAAAGAGAGCGATGTGTTCTGCGGAACTCACTGTAACCCATACTCATTCCCCGAACTTCGTACGCCAGAAGGCACATGGCGCTTCAATTCATTGGCGGCAGAGCAATCCAACGCATGGCTCGGTGGCTTTCAAGCTATGGTAAGGGAGATGGAGATGGAAAGATACAACTTCTTCCTCGATGAAATGATACAGCGTCGCAACAGATATACAATTGCAGAGCTTGAAAGGAAGGGTGTTCATCCTCGTAGTCTTCCTCGAGAAGTATTATTGTCAGGCGAGTAGTGTATACATGGAACAGTAACTAGTATTATTGGGTGATGATTTACTGTGGCCAAACAATTTGCGACGGATCTGGCCATACATGTTAGCCCTGTGTGTCAGCATAGCAAAGTGCAAAAGCTTACCCCACATAGCGGTTGACGCAGTCTGATCAGGTAGTGTTGCAAAGACACGACTGCCACCTGTGAGCAATCGTAGTTCTTGTCCAGACCAGTCAGCAGGGCCGTAGTTATGCCCTGGTGTGCCGGGCGTGTCCTCAACATCTGTCTCTCCTTCTGCATCGCGGTCTGTGAGCATCGATGACTGGGACCCGAAGGGAGAAGTCGTCTGATGTTGAAGTTCAAGCTGCTCTGGGTGCGGGAGCGCAGTTGCAATCTTCTGTGTCGGATCTGGCCGATGCATGTTAGCCTTGTGTGTCAATATCACAAGGTACAAAGCTTACCCCGCGTAGCCATCGACACAATCTGATTGGGTGGTATTGCAAAGCCGCAGCTGCCCTCTGTGAGCGGTTCTAGCTCAGGTTTGATCTCCTGTGCATTGTGACGTTAGAAGTTCGAGAACAAATAAATAAATACATACAATCGGCGATGAATTCTGTCGAGAACAACGAGTAGCGGAAGACAAGCTCCCAGTCTTCTTCCACTTCTTGAAATCCTTGACGAAAGCACCCCATAGACCACTCTCCTGATGTTTGTATCCAATGAAACGCGCTTTTAGTTCTTCAGGGGCATTCAACCAGTATTTCACGTAGTTGTCGCTCCAAGTCGAGCTTGCCCATTTGTTAGCGGCATCGGGAAAGTGGTGTTCAAACACGATGGAACGTGCTTGCGAGGACGCCATGACCGACTCAAAGCCTCTGTGAAGTTCGTAAACATAATAGTCACCAGGGAACCTACGCTTTTTGGTGGACTTCGATGGTGCCACCACCACCTCCTCGTCACTCGAAATCTCAATAACCTCCGCAGGCAAAGGACGAGGCAGCTGAGACGAAGTCCTTGGACGAAGGTACACCCTGGATGCCTGTGTACCTGACAGCCGATGTGTTGGTGACGGTGGCAAAGACGCGGGGTGAAGTGGCGGAGACGATCGTCTGGGCGCTGGTGACGAAGAGCTGCGGGCACTGAAGGGATCTGGTGAACGTGACTGCGAGCGCAGCCCGAGGCTACGCGATGACGACGACCGGGAGGACGACGGAGAAGATGGTCCGCCCTTCTTTCTGGTAGATAAAATGCTTGTGGGATTGGGTCGTGCGTACTTTCTCCGGGGAGGTGAAACAATATCTGGACCGGATTTACGCTTGCGGCGTGGCGACGGCTGCTCCTGCAGCTCATCAGAGAGCCTGGGACAATCCAAGAGCTCCTCGTTGTTGGGACGCAATTTCATCAAGAACGTTGTCGTGCGATCATGCGTGAACGTCGTTTCGATGTCAACCGTCTGCCAGACTCCCTGCTCTGGGTTATATCGATCTATCCACGACGAGTTATCGAGTTTGAAACGCTTGATGATATCGTTGAATTGGGCAAGAGTAAATGAGGGGAATGAGCGGGCTTCTTGGATACGGCGCATTGGGGTGCATCCATTCTGTTATCACTTCATAAGCCTAAGCCATCATAACGGTAACAAAGTCACATACCTCATGCCATATAACCAGCTCGACTTCGTGCTTCCTCCGCGTGTCAATCGCCTGCTGCAGAGCCTTATGACTGAGTTGTATGTTCTCGGTGGTACCGCGTTCAAATTGCGAGGCTGTGATCCAATGCGGCGATATCCCGTCTGATAGATGCGGGCGACGTGACCGCCCGTTTGCACGGGAGGATCCTGCAGCTGGAGCTGATGATAGTGCAGCGGAAGGAGGAGGAGGAGGAGAGATGATTTCTTCAGATAATGTCGGAGGTACCATGGAATGCGCTAGAACGACAGGTTTAAGAACAGCAGGCGGCCCGGCGAGTCGCCCAGTGGATCCTGTGGTATTGTGGTCTGGACACGATTGGCGAGGCTGTCCGAGCCGTGCCGCATTTGAAGCTGCTGTGACGCAGCAGGATGAACAGAAGTGCGAGATGCATTTCTTCGCACCAGCTTTCCGCGTCTTCCGCTTTGTCAAGCAGCCATTCGCGCATAACATGGTCCCAGGGTCCGTCTCGGGAGGCAGAACATCTGGGCAGATGGCAAGCTTCAGTCCATCGAGGCTGCGCCACTGGACGAAGTATTCGACGAATTGTTTTGCATCCTCGTATAAAAACGGCTGTGTAAGTTTCGGCGTCCATGAGCAATGGCGATCTGAACACTACTGGAAATGTCAGAGCGCGTAATAAAACAAGCATCAAGCATCACATACCGTTTGGACCAGTCTTCCCCGGTCAATAGCTCCCCCTACACCCTTTCCTTTGTGAACACGAAGATTACCCATCGCGCCGCCGCATTTTTCGCACCTAGTATGCAGAGCAATCCTGAGGGAGGCAGCTTCAACCTGAGGCATGTTCAAGGAGAGGATCCCGCATCGTTCCAACCATTCTCGAGGCTCATATAGAGCTCACCGATGCTAGTGCTTTGCAGACAGTGCATTGCAGGTCAGGCTTTGCAAGTCAAAGCCAATGAAGAAGCCGGAAAACCACAAAAATCGAGCATAATCGTCGACAAGGCCCTCATACAAGACTCAAGTGGGTTGCATTCACGCGTTAAACCAGCAGTAGATAGCATAAATGTGAGTATAATTGCGAGCTGGCGATGACGCGGCGACGACATCGCGTTGGCGAAGTGAAAAAGCGTCACGTGAATGCAAAGCAGTACAGTGATCCACCGTTCCTCTGGACAGCACCACTCCCTTGGACACGGGCTAATTTCTCCACATCGCCTGACTCTTTCCTCTTGATTATTTATATATATATACATCCAATGGATCCTCACCATCTCTTGTAGCCCGATGGACAATATGTAGTGTTTTACTCGAATGAAAAATCGGAAACACCATTGTGGCTGTGCTATTCAATCTTTATGTGGGCTTTGAGGTGTTTGTGAGCTACTGTACCACAAATCAGTGTACATATTCAGACTCTACAGTGCTGAAAGCACTATCTGCAACTGAGCTCATGAGGGTACATGTATTAATGGGCCCAATATCGCTCCAGGTTTCTGCATGCTTCGGCGGAGCAGCAGCTAAGGCAGCCATGTGACTGTCGGTTAACCTCCGAAAGGTTTCCCGCGCTCACACCGGCAATACGGCAAAGTCACAAACGGTGTGGGAAAACCGCTGTCCAGAGGAACGGTAAAGTGGCTGTGAGGGGGTCACCCGTATTATGGCTCTCAGAATTTTTCTAGGATACCTACTACTCCAAAAATATTTGGGTAGATGGGCAGGATGTACAGCTAACTAATGATGCTAATTTAAAGAAGAACGAGAGCCCATGGGAGGAGCAATGCGCAGTACAATTTTTCCTGTCCAAGGGAACGGTGGATCACTGTACGGGCTTGGTCCTGAGCTTTCCCGATGACATCATAAATGCTGAAGCCCAAGACCAAACCCTTGTGAAACTCGCACGGTCACAAGGGAACAACAACGCGATCACAAGGGCACAATGCAAAAAAGAAAAATCAATTTACAAGGTACCGGTGGCCTTGTGGCCGGCGAAACGTCCGGCGGATGTGTCCGGCGGAGGCCTTCCTCGTGGATCCGACTTTCTGCGGTGAATGAAGTTCCGGGTAAATTTCGCCCCTAGTCAGGTCGGTGAAAAAAATCCGGGGAAACAAGGCTCTAGGAGCAGGTTTGGCGTCCCGGGCAAAATGCCGCGCGAGGCTTGAGCGCGTTCACCGACCTCCCCCTACCTATTCCGGGGTCCTGCCCTCCCATGAGAAACCTACATCTCGCGTAGTGTCCTCCGTCTACTGTATCAGGATCGGACTCAAAACAGTTGCACGCGGACCATTCCAGTTGATCCACCTCGATATCAATGTGGATCGGGAGAAGGAGCCAGCGGCCACTCTCCCGTGCGTACGCAGTATATACAATACACGAGACGATACTCAGCACACCTCTCATTCTGCAGTACTCTTCTCTTGCCTCGCCGTGGAAGTGCTACTTCCGTTCGAAGCCAGCGTCTGCATTGTTGCTGCTGCCGCCGTCGCGGAGTCCGGTACCCCGGACGCAGCCTGCGCCAGTGAACCGCAGTCCAGACTCGCGATGTCGATGTCCGGATTGTGGCTCTTGCACAGGTCGGCGAGCGGGCCGAGCGCGAAGACTTGGATATCGGGGGCGTCGTCCGTGCTCGTCGCGGCGTCCTGCAACGTGTTTGGCGTCATTTTGACATGCATCGCGATGGCAGGCGACATGGAAAGCTCACCGCGTCTCGGGGCCAGATGGGGACAGAGAATGCGCCGACGCCGGCGCGGGCAGCTGCTGCAATAGATATCGGTGAGCGGGAGCGAGCGGAGCTCGAGACGAGGCGGCGCTTACTGGAAGCTAGGACGTTCGCGTACGAGCCGAGATCCTCGAGTCGTAGCGGCGACGCGCGCGTGCATGAAAGCCATCCTGGGCTTGCTAGTGCAAGGACGACAACGGCCGCGAGGCGGCGTAGCTGTATGACTGTGAGCATCTCCGGGTGGTTTTTCTCTGGGTCGATGTATCTGGGTTGGATGAGAATTCGCAACGATCGGATCGCAAGTTGGATGAGGGTTCGTGCTGGACGATGCTAGTAATGTATAGATGAAAGGGGTTAAAATGTGTAAATGGATAAAGAGGCTGGACAAGAAGAGGGAACGCGTGAGCAGATGCAGTGCAAGATCGAGCGAGGACGCGCTCACCGATCCAGTCGCCGGGGGGTGAAATGCGCGTTGAAGGTGGGATAAAGCGCTCGCCACTGCTCGGCTGGAGGTATTTATTACCGCGGATCATGTTCAAGATGCCCAAAGGTTTGGTTCGGATCTTGGATCTGGGCAGATGGCGCAACCTTGGTAGTCAGATGTCAACTATGACACCTCGGCGTCCCTTGACGTCGCGGACTTGCGTGCCATCTCAGAGAACGTGCGGACGTATATGCTTGCAAGCTCGCAGCGCGTGAGTGAGAGGTGAGTTTGGATTGCAGCCTGCCAGCAATACTGCCGTGCTCTTTGCTACTGTGATCCACGCCTACTTCGCCTTGATCGTACCGTCCACAACGAGCTCCCGGATGCGGTCGATCGAATGCTGGATACCGCCGGCAAGTTTCTTCGCGATCTCGCTGGAGGGCGTCGTGTCGTCGGCGGGCACCCCGGGGACGCCGTTCGAGAAGGTGAAAGTGAGCAGGAGCTCGCCGGACGGGCTATAGGAGACGATGTTCGTGATACGGTTGCCCAGCGAGAGCTCGAAGTAAACCTGGTACGTCCAACACTTCAGCCCAATCTGGAGAAGGGGGGAGCGAAAGAGCGATACGCACGATTGCGGGCTCGTGCAGCTCGATCTCTTCGGTTGCGAGCGGGGCGTCCTCGCCGAACTTAACTTTGCGCGTCACCTGCGGAAGAGCGTCCACCTCAGCGACCCCGTATGTGTGATTTGGAGAGGGCGAATGCACCTTGGTGGGGGTGTCGTAAGCGAGCTCAACGTGAGTGATGACCGGCACGAAGCTCTTCGGGTTACGCGCTTTGATCCCGAGGCCTTCCCAGACCTGCGCCTCGGACAGCACGGGCGTCGCGCCGGGCGGGTTCACGGGAACGGTCGCAGCAACCGCACGGGCCATGTTCCAATCGGTAAGTGTGGTTGAACGAGAGATGTGCGGATGGAAAGAGTCTGCGAGCGATGCTGGATCAGGCGATGGATGCGATGATATCTCTCGCACGAAGAACACCCTCACGCACCTGGATATATACGACTCACTGCTGTACAGTCAAGTCACTCGATATGCTGCGATCGAGATACGGGAGATGCGAGTTTCCGCTGTTGGTTCTTCGTCGTTGAGGACATCCCTAGTATATATAGCGCGTCCCGGACAGCGGTGGGTCGCGTAAATCGCCCGGGTATGGCGTATGGTGTAATCAAAATCGCCAAGATCATCGCCGACGTGAATGTTAGAAAGCTGCGGGATGCCAGCGGAACGCGGCTCTCTACGTAAGCAACGTCAAGGCAATCCGTCAGCATGCAGTATGCGCAGTCAAGCCGTTTTCGAGCTTTGTTGAATGTGAGACTTACCTGGCGCTTCGGCATCGGGCCAGGAAGCAGTTCATGAGAATGACTTGGACAATAGAACTGAGAAGGGTGCGGGAGAACTCGTTGATCTTGGGCGACGTCGTCGGTCGGCATCGTTGCGACTCGCGAAGATGCTGAACGCGCGACACGGCTGAATTTGTAGGTAAGGTAGACCTCATGCGCGTCCGACCCCATAGCACGCGACACGCGTGACATTAGACGTAATACGAGCGAAAAGTTGATTGTCTCCCGGTCTGAGTAGCTTTCGTTCGAGATGCAACTGGGGTTCTACGATAATGTACTGTGCCGAAGTTTGACTGCTGCTTTCGAAACACAAGAATAAGATCCTCGGGAGGAGAGATGAAAACAAGACCGAGGCATGTGATAGACTGCCCTCAGTGCCAAGCCGTGCAACTTGGAGGTTTCTCCTTTCCGCCGCCGTCACAAAACCGGCTCCGCTGTATTGACTATCTGGCATCCATTGAGCTCTGTGGCACGTCGGGGATCACGACTTCACGTTATGCCCTACAAGAAGGGCCGTTTGCGCAAGTGTAACCTCGGCCAGTACGCACAACATTGTCGCCGCCACGTTGGAGCTATCAGCACGGAGGAGAACAGAAAATGTATGTCGCCAGCAGTATATCCATCTTACCGTACTCAGTATGATGTCTACTAGTTTCCATGCCTCCAGTTACCCAACTGTCTTGCAGCGGCAGCGCACCTCAATGAGGTTCAGGGATTGGTCACACTGCGTCACAGTCATGCCTCACACTCTCGCGCACCTTCTCTCCTTTCGCAGTTCGCACTCTCATCAGTAATTGTCAACGGTCATATCTATGTACAGGAGACATCTGTAAAATGCCGGTAACACTTTCGGTGAGAGCTAGTCTAATTGAGAGTTATTTGAATTTTTGCACCTATTACGTCTAATGTCACGCGTGTCGCGTGCTATGGGGTCGGACGCGCATGAGGTCTACCTTAGTCTCCCCGGTCAGAATCTCGATGCGCAGTGAAGACAGCCGTTCACACGCATGAGAGGCGGGACCTTTGCTACATAAACGCTCCCCCAAAGCTCAAAACATGGCGCGCAATCCAAGACGACAGCGCCTACGAGCAATAGACTAGAGGTGCATAGATATGTGTACGTAATATACAGCCGATCAGCACCGAGAGCGCTTCACCATTCTCAGCGGAACGTCGCCTGAAGCCCTTGCAATGAGCTACGAGGACGAGGAACATGGATTAGGGAAAGGCGCACCGGTCTTGAGCGTGACACCCATGGTCGGGTAAAGATGCTCAGCCCGCCAGTCTTGGAACGACGCGAAGCCCGACAGGTCGATCTCGACTCTCCAATCTCTCAGGAGATGCGTCAAGAAGCAAACGGCCTGGAACGAAAGGTGGTCAAGGGGTGTGCACAGATATGAAAGACACATTGAACGCACTTCCACGAGCGCGAACTTGAAGTTGAGCACGTTAAGGTAAGAAAAGCTGACTGAGGAAGCAGTATCAATTGCGACGTTACCTTCTTGCCCAAGCATACCCGAGGGCCGAACTACACCATGCGATGTCAGCAATATGTGAACGACCGGCTCGAGAATGCACTGCTCACCGAGAACGGCAGTAGGTCATCCGTCGTTTTCCCGTCCCACCGCGAAGGTCTAGCATGCAGGTCAGCCGCGATCCCGGGATTCGGGAATGAGAGACAACTGACATGAACTCGTCGGGCTGCGGAAACATACGCGGGTTCCGATCTGCCGTACCGTCAGACAGATTTGTCTTGACAGAAAGTAGTGATGGAGCGCACTGAGGCCAACCTGGTCCATGCACATCATCGTTCCCTTCGCCACGAACACGTCATGCGTTATCTCCGGACGATCCACATCGTTATATTGTATCACGACGTCGGCCGTCGGCGAACGTATCTGCACGTACGCCGGCGCTATCATAAGTACGTCACTCGTAAGTCACACATGAAGTAAGGATATGGGGGACTGACGGTACAGCCGCATCGCCTCGGAGAACGCGTGCAGGACCGGGTTGAGGTCGCTGAAGTCCTGGAAGGTGGGCTCCCTGTCCCCGACGACATCTGAGACATGTCGATATATCCGCTCCTGCTCTTCTGGGTGCACAGCGAGGAGCGCCAACGTAACGACAAGCGTGTGTGCCGTCGTCTCTGCGGACAGGCCATCATCGTGAATAATCCCTCGAGAAGGAAGGCCAGTGCGCTCACCATGCCCTTCGTCGCCCAACGAATTAGCGAGGATAACGAGAAGAGAACCAAGGAGACACACCAGCGAATAAGAAGATGAACAAATTGCCCATCAACTCGGACTCGTCCAGTCCCGCGCTGCCCTCTGCCTCACTCGCGGCGACCAGCCGCCCAAACACGTTCCTGTCCGTGCTCTCCGTCATGCCCCCAACTGCCTTGCGTTTCTGCACATCTGCCCGCTTCGACGAGATTTCGGCAGTAAGGTATTGCCTCAAATCTGCATACGCGACCTTGATGGTGCGCATCCTACAATCTCATGTGAGCATGGATGAGGTGGAACGAGAGAGCAAGGATGCTTACGCGGCGCTAGGAATGGAGAGGACCCATTCGGGCGCGACGATGCGGATCAGGAGGTTGGACGAGACTGTTACGATCACTTGATCGATCGTGCTGTGCAGACCGGGGTAAGACGGCGACTCTTCCCAGCCAATACGCATATCGACTGACAACGAGAAGCGTTAGAACGAGAGGTCACTGGAGGAAACGAAAGGATCGGCTCACATCCGCAGGCGGCAATGACAAGCAGGGCCATCTACGTTAGTGCTCCGTCAATATCGCCTTCAACGTTCAAAGCAGTGCATGCCTACCCTCGTAGTAAAACGATTGAACGCAGGGAAGTTGATCACATCTCCCGCTTTCCACGCCTCGCTGCTCTGCATCTGGTGGTACAGCGACGCTGTCACGTTCCATACGTCCGCGTACCTGTCGAACGTCGAGGCGTCAGATTCCCGCCTAGAGAGAAGATGCGCGAGGAAGGCGTGAGTGAGAAACATACGTCTCCTGGTTGAACGCCGGCGCGGCAATCTTCCTGTGCTTCTTCCACATCGCGCCTGTGGACGTCACGACGTTTTGCCCAAAGAAGCTAGTACGAAAGCGTGAGCTCCCGTCTAAGGTGTCTTGCGAATGGAGCGCACGTACGTCAAGGTGACTGCGTCCGCCGGTTTGTCGATGTCCCCCACCGAGTCCTGGGCCATCATTTGCTTGTACGCGTCAGGCGACGCGTTGTACATGTACCCGGTCCCGTAAAACAGTGGTACGAAGAGCAGCGCTTCGAAGGCCTTCTCGCGATATACTACAGTGAACGTGGGTCAGCGTTCGTGGTACGCCATGACGGGATTGAAGGAGACGCGCCGGTGTTCCACGCGTCCCAAACGTACTGAGTCGCTGCGGTATGGCTCAGCCTCTTGTCTCTGAGCTACTGTAGTGAAGACTCACAGGGGTTCCATCGACCATAAGGCAACAAGATCGCCACCGGCGTTAACGGTTGTATGAGTATGAATCGTACAGGAACACCCTTCACGGACTAGAATGACGCACGCATGGTCAGACGCGTGGACAGTGTCGGCACGTTCACGCACCTGAAGAGACCTCCATATAACGTAAAGCCGTCGTGACACGTAGACTCCGAGGAGGAGGAGCGCGGAGTTCGCGTTCAAGAGAGACAACATCTTGCTCGAGGAAATTCCTCTCGATCGCTATGCTTTTAAGGTCTTTCGGTCGTGCAGTAGTCGATCCATCTAGACCCACCCATCGGTCCGAGCTATCTTCTCAGCCGTTCAAGGGCGCGGTATGGGTGGCGTTGACAGTTGCGAGCGTACTCATATTTTCGTCTGTAAGTCATATTGCGGAAAGTACGCGATCGCGATGAAAGCGTGTTTGGTGTGAGACACGTCAATAGCTCTTCGACATGCAGTAATAGGTGCCTGGGTCGTTACCGCAGTTAGCTTTTGATGGCCGTCGAGAAAATCAGCATTCACCGTGCCTGAAACGCCGGCGTCACCGGGCGATATGGAAATGCTTTCGATGGTACACTGCAGAGTACGCAGCACGGTGATTCTGTTAGCATCGGTGCGATCAGTAGCCTCGCGTCTTGTATGAGCAGCAAAGCCAAGCGGAGGACCTGGACCAGGCGCGCGGAGACGACAAAGTGACCACATGGCTTCCACGTGCGGCGCTACATAGGGACTTTCCTGCTTTCGTCGCATGTTGTTTATCCTGCCGCCTAGCGACTCAGGGAAACGCAGATTACTCGAGAACTTATGTTATCTTCGCTACTACACACGCATACGCTGGAAAATCCACTGAAGCATGAAGATTTGGTCGCCACGGTCATGAGGCAGTCAGGTCACACACTTACCCCGCGGCGTTTCCCCTGCAGGTTCAGATCATTATTGCGGTCAAAGTCCTGTGAAGGTACGTTCGTGCTATCGTATTCACTTGAACCGGACAAAGCACGATTCAATATCTCCTGTTGCAGATGTTTCCTTTTGAATATCTTTACGTACAACCTGTGCTACGGTCCCACGAGATTATCGACATGCCAGCGCAGCGTTAACGTTTGAACGTGTACCTCCGCGTTCTATGGCTGTCAACCTCTCGGATGGCGCGATGGCCTTCACTAGGGCATTAGGTTCAGGCGTAAACGTGCGTTCAATCATCTTCAAGTATGTCCTGAATACGCGAGCATGTGTCTCATACTCTGCATCGCACCTTAGCAGACGCAAGGAGATGCTCGCGGAATCAACACATGGTGGGCGGATCGTGGTCGGCTGGAAGTACGTGACCATGCTCCCTGTAGCATCATACTCGTCTAAAGTATCCTGTCAATACTATGATGTAGGATCTCCCCGCACCAAGCGGCGGCACCGATGACCGCTCCGATGGTCCCGGAGGATGGCCTTCCTGTCTTCAGCAGATGCTCAGACACGACAACGAAATGGTCGCAGGCTGGAACGACGAAATCGACACCATACTCATTTTTGTAAGCCATATAAGATTCTTCACGCCCCCACATCCCCTGATGCAGTGCAAGGCGGGTCTTTTCTCCGCGATCCTGACAGCCTTCAGCGTTGAATCGTACAAGCTTCTCCAGCAAGACCCGGAGCAGACCTCGACCGATCTCCTCGCTCAAATCTCGCTGCAGCTGCAGAGCTTCTCACTCAATCCCGCTTTCGCCAATTCCACGCACACACCGTCACTGAAACGGACACATATACCTGTGTCAGCTGTGCGCATCAACAGCCTCTGGTTCACGAGCCTGGTGCTTGGTCTGGTGTCAGCACTGACCGCCATCTTTGCCCGCCAGTGGCTCCGCGAGTATGCCCATTGGCAGCTCTCTTCGTCCCGAGATAGCGTCCGCATCCGGCAATTCCGCCACGATGGACTCATGAGCTGGCGCGTGCCGACAGTAATGTATGCGATCTCCATCTTGCTGCAGATTGCGGTGGTCCTTTTCTTGGTTGGGCTCGTTGACTTCCTCTGGACGCTGAATCGCATCGTCGCTGGGACCGTCACTGCCTTCGTCGCCATCCCGCTGCTCCTCGCATTGGCATCTGCCATCATCCCAACGTTTGCTCCCAATTGTCCGTACAAGTCGCCACTGGCATTCTTTATATATCGTGCATCGGCGCTCACCATCTGGATGCTTGGGCAGCTCCGTGAATACCGCACGAAATATTTGATCATCAAAGGTGCTCCGGATGCAAACGTGGGTCCATCCTATGCCGAGCACCGTACGCGCCCTCTATCAGAAAGCATGCCGGCTACCTGGGTCCTTCGCGATGTAGGAAACGTTCAACGACAGCAGCCTAAGGCGCTCGATAGCGACAGTCACGCGCTAGATTGGATCCATGCATACACCTTCAATGAGAACGTGCGGGACACTATCCTTACTGAATGTCTTCCTGACATTTCCAAAGCCAAACGAGCGCAGGTTGCGGTCGAATTAGTTGCTAAAGCCGCTGACTATCGGCTTGGCGATCTTGTACGGTATATCCGAGCTTTCGGGACGTCACCTCGGCTTTCCGAATTGAAGGCCAAGATACACATGAAGCTTCTGGTGGCGGTCTATGCCGATGCATGCCCCTGCTCAGACTTGAGCTGCGTGAAGATCAACCGTACCGACATACATGCTTTGACTGAGCGACTGTCCACATTCTCACCTACCACGCAACACTCGTATTGGCAATTCTTGAAATACCGGATCATCCAGGGAAGCAAGCTGAGTGCATCCGAAATTCTGAGCTTCGCTCTCGGATTACAGGCAGCGGCGGAGAACTCATCAGGCGTTCAGGAAGAAGGTAGAGTCTCGTGTTGACGTACCCGTCGGTCGGAGTTTCATGTATACGCCCGCTTAGATGCCCGTTTGGTCCTTCAATGGGGCACCGGCTTGCCTTTCCCTGGTGATGGCTCGAAGGACAGTGGGGCTGCATCAGTCGCCTTCGATACAGCTATCACATCTGTCTTTTCCCTCTTGGAAAGTATGGCCTTCGCCGACATCCACGGTCTGCATCAAAAGCAGCCCGAATTGTTGGACAACTTCTTTGCGCACCTCAATCACTACATCCTTGCTCGCGTGCAAAGGCACAGTTGGCGTTGCCCGGCGGAGTGGATTATATTTATCTTTGGCGGCACTACATTGCCTATCCCACCTTACTTGACTGTCACGATGAGGGATTTAGCGCTTCAACGTATGTTCGAACCTTCGGAAGAGCATGAAAGTGGACTGGGCGATGCTCTTATGCGTGCAACGGTCCCGCTTTATCTCTGGGATGTGGACCATGCACAGCTATTTCAAGGCATGACAGATGTTCGCAAGGCCAGCATTGGTGCATACCCTGTCTGCCTCTTATTAGAGGTATTTTGCTCATCATAGTGCCTGTCATCTAGCCCCGCAAATCGTTACCGATAACGGAGGAAATGAAATGCTAATACCGGATAAACCCGTGTTCTTGGATGCCATAATTCACGATTGGAACTCGATCGGTGATGTTTTTGCTATACTGCATGACCGGTTTCACTGATCTTGCTTTCGCGCAGCGCACGCCATGAGCCCATGGTATCAGAGTAATTTTTCCATGGCTACATTCCTTGAGCAAATGCCCTTTACGGAGTCTCCTCAGACATCCGCATCGCATTTGCCCAGCGTCGTACCTTCCGGTGCAGGTTTTGTCGCTGGGACAGCATCATTTCCATTGTCCCGTGACAGCTCCTTGGGGAAAACTCAGCTCCATCCAACGACTGATTCCACCCTGCCGCAGACTGCGTTTGACTCCACCACTCGAGACGATCGTCGATCTACGGACGATACAAACACTGAGGCGGGACCTAGCAGACACGTGCGATTTAATGACGAAATGTCGTATCAATCCCTGGTCCACACATACAACAACTCGAACATTATTCCCTTCATCGCACCTACTTCTCCGGAAGAGGTGCCTTTACCCCCTTCCGACCGCGATGAAGAACATGACTTGGGGAGTGTACTTGACGATACCACGTTATCCGAGCTACATCTGCCCTCGGACTAGAGGTCACGGTATAAAAAAGATGAACCTTCGATCCGGCAGTGTTCGCAACCTCCAACCAGTATCGACAGAGATGCATCATCATTTGAAACTTTAGCCACTGTTCAAGACCCGTTTTCCGCGACACCCTCTAATCCACTCCCGACATGAGCGTTAGCCAATAGTATTGATGGTGTCATGAAGCATTCAGATGTGAAGATTGCCTCAGGGAGCACACGAAATGCCTCCGCATCCTCATCAAGTCGGAGCACATTCTGCGGGGAAGGGTTACGCTGTGAGGACGATAGTTCTACAACGAACCATACGAAGGGTCATCTCACAACAGCTTGTTTGCGGCGGCATCATAATTGACTATACCATGTAATATACACACGGGTGATTCCTTGAATGTGCAGGTGCAAGGTTAATATGAACCCGCGCGAAACCTGGGGACGACCGTCTGGCGCACCTGCCCGTAAATGATAGTCAGATACTCGTGTCGACATTGAACACGTTGTGAGCGACCCTCTACCATTGCACGAGTTACTGACGCGGACGCGTTTCACAGTCCACGTTGGACTAGCCATTGTACGGAATGAAGACACGTTGAATCCGTGTTATAGGCTGCTTAGCGATTCTTGAGACCAATCACTTCGTGAACTCGTGACATTACCTGATGCATGTATTCCCCAAATTGAGGGGGGGCCACAGCATGCTGCTTTTGATGTTCCAGTCTCCGACTACTACGGAGTACCGTAGTCTACGCGAGAACGTCATGCATCACGCCGTGATTGATGGCTGACTGCGACTTGTGCTGCACACTTTGTTGATGTCATTGCCGAAGAGCGCGAGCCGCCGATGGTTCAAGAATGCACAGTACATTCCGTTGAACTGCGTATCTCCGAATGACATTGACTCACGTTCAGTCTACAGCCATTATACCCGCCCCGAGACGAAGGCTAAAGCTTGAAGCCACAAGTGCCGTGCCAACTTCGAGTGTTCTGGGCGCTTTATCTGGGCCGATTACTCATTGTTGGCTAATCACCTGTAACGCTGTGAAGAGCAGAGATGCACGCATGGTCGATTGCGGTTATCAACGGACGCGGCCGCGGCATGGGTAGCGATCAGATAGCATCTTTAGGATTCTTGGTGTAGCTGCAGGGTAGCACATTAGTCTGAAGGGCAGTCATCCCGCGGTGCTGGAAGGCTGGAAGCCGTTTCAGGGGCTTCGTCAGGGCTGCCTACAACGGATTTTCCGAGCCTCCGGGTCGAAATGATCGCGGGGGAAGTCCGGTGGCGGTGCTACCATGACGAAGCCGATCCTTGCCGAACCGCGCGCCGGGCCATATAGCGTGTCAGCACCGGACAGGGGCCCAGCAACTTCGCTCTTGCCACCACCTCGAATGGTACTAGCTTCCATCCATACCTCCAGATATACCACCAATCTGTTGGTAACATCTCTATCGCACATTCTATCCAAACATGTTCCCAACTTGCTCGGCTCGCTCGGTCTCCGCAACGTCGTCGATGGCGGCAGCGTCAGCGACCCGCACGTCCACACGTTCGCGAAGCGCCAGTCTCATGGCGAGTTTATCGCGTTCGCCTGTCTCATCCCCGTGTTGGTCTTGTTGTCGGGTCTGTTTGCCGGTCTGACGCTAGGGTACATGTCGCTCGACGAGACGCAGCTCAACGTGCTCTCTATCAGCGGCACACCGTGAGTCTCCGGTTTCGTTATCGTGCCGTGACGGCGCGCTCATCTAACCCGTCTGTCTCGTTCTTGCAGAAAGCAGCAGGCGTACGCCAATAAGATCAAACCTATCCGGAAGAACGGCCACTTGCTGCTGGTCACGTTGCTCCTCGCGAACATGATCGTGAACGAGACCCTGCCCGTTATTTCGGACCCTATCCTCGGCGGTGGCGTTCAAAGTGTCGTCGTCAGCACCGTCCTCATCGTCACCTTCTCCGAGATCATTCCCCAATCCGTTTGCACCCGCTATGGCCTCGCTATCGGCGCCACAATGGCCCCGTTCGTCAAAATCCTGATCTTTGCCCTGGGAATCGTCTCCTGGCCGATAGCCAAGGTGTTGCAGTTCATTCTCGGACCGCACCACGGGATCATCTACAGGCGCTCGGAACTGAAGGAGCTGATCAACATGCATTCCGCAACGGAAACGTACGGTGGCGACCTTAAGCGCGACACGGTGACGATTATCGGCGGCGCGCTCGACTTGCAGGAGAAGATGGTCAAAGACGTGAGTTCCGTGTCCCCAGAGCTTGCGACGGCCCAAAATTAGCCCGAAACGCTCCCGCTGTATGCCGTGACGCTCCCACACGGCTGGTGAACCGGCTGCCGTCGTGGGCTCTCTTTCTCCGGGTTCGCGGAAACACGGCATGGCTAACGTCATTCTGCTTAGGCTATGACACCGATTGAGAAGGTGTTCATGTTGCCCATCGACGCGAAGCTCGACGAAGAGACCTTGCGGCGTATATGCGCCACTGGCCACAGCCGCATACCCGTATACGAGGAGATCGATGTACCTGTCGGCGCTAGTGGTGTTATTGAAGGCAGGAAGATCAAGCCAAGCATGCAAAAGGTCAAGAAGATCATCGGCATCCTTCTCGTTAAGCATGTGAGGGCCATCGTTTTCGAGTTGCCGACTATACTGACATATCGTTCTAGTGTGTTATGCTCGACCCGAGCGATGCTGTACCTCTGCGGAAGATCCCCTTGAATCGTGTGACGTTCGTCCCTCAGAATGAGTCCCTCCTCGGTATCCTCGATAGGTTCCAGGAAGGTCGCTCGCATATGGCCATCGTCACACGGTTCAGCAAAGAGAAGGCTGCGAGCGTGAAGAAGGTGGTCAAGAAGAACTTGACTCAACGTTTGCGCGAGCGCGTCATGGGTGACTCAGACTCCAGCAGCGATGAGGAGCCAGATGAGAAAGAGGTACATAAGGGCGGTCGGGATGAGCCTCTCCACCCGAACGCTACGTTGCGTGGTGGCGAGTCCGGAAAGGAAGACGGTAAGCCTTTGTCGCCCGTTCGCACGAATTCGGGTCGAGGGCGGAGCAAGCGTCGTAATCCGGACCTCGAGATGGGACTGGGGTTGGCGATGACGCCTATTGAGGATAAAGACAAAGAGCAGCAAGCGAAGAGTCGCAGGAGTAGCTTGCAGCTCTCCAGAGGTCCCGCGCTGGAGCAGAGTATGCCGGCCGATGCGGTTCTTACCCGCCAGGCCGCCCAGGATTTCTTGCAAGGCTTTGATCACGCCATCGCCCCTCTTGGCATTATCACGCTGGAGGATGTTTTGGAAGGTTCGTAGCGCCTCATCTGAGTTTGTAGGCTTTCACTGATGAATATCGACGTTCAGAGCTCATCGGCGAGGAAATCTACGACGAGTTCGACAAGGAAGGTCTGCACGCCGACCTCTACTCTGCCGCGCCGCCAGCAAAGGCACCGGCTCTCCAACGCAAGAATTCGGCACCGCAGCTCGGTCATGACGACAGCACGATCACGACTGGGTCCACCGTCGTTAGCGGGCCCACCGGCTTGAAGAACATCAGCACCATCGCACTGCCCGGATTCAAGAACCTGAACCCATTTTCGCGCTCGCGGAGCGCGCCGCCGACGCCGAGGAAGAAGGACAAGGTGCTCCCGATGGACGTGGTTGACGACGACGTCGTGCTCCCTCCCCCGGCCGTTGTAGTCAATCATCTGCCGCCTGCCGAACAGAACGAGCTAGAGCTACCGATTCCGGTTCCCCCGCGCATCGTCGTCCCCGAGGAACCTTCTTCAAGTCACGGCGAGGCCTCGCCCATTACGGCCACCTTGGGTTACGGCGACGAGGGCCCGCGCATCGACGCGCCTCGCCCTGTCTCCGCTCTGCCTAGAACAGTTGTCGGCAGTTCGCTCATGCCGTCGCGTAGCACGAGCCCCGCGCCGAGTCTTGAGCTCTTCCTGCACGAGCGCCGGCGTAACAAGCGGGACAACCCCGGCGCGGCGCAGCAGCCCCCGCCGCCCAGTCCTGTGCCGAGCCCACCGGGTACGGCCACAGGTTACGGCTCGTCGACGATCGCGAGAGCTGCGAGCGCGAAGGGCGGGAGGTTCAAGAGCAGTCCGTTGACGGGCGGGGATTTGACGGGGAGAGTCGTCGCTGAGCAGGTGAAGAGGGATTTGAGCGTGCCGATGGACGCGGGGCGGAATCCGGGGCGTATCTCGGAGGCGAGGGAGGATGGAGACGAGCAGGAACATGAAGAGATGTAAGATATTTTGAGGTGTTGAGGGGGTTCTGCTGGTCTTTTCATGGACGGAACTGCTGGAATGAGATCGGGGTAAGAGGATAGCGTACGTGTATCATTTTCGACCTTTTTTTCCCTTTTCTTTCCCTTCGCTTTTTCAACTAGCTTGCAATCGATTGCTCGTACATTGTAGATGCATTGGCTTCATCATTTTCGAGATACGTTGCGCGTTATGTATAGTATTGATACTGACGGATGCCGGAGTGTTTTTTTGCCTTGAGCCGTGACCTGCCGCGACCTCCCCGCACGACCTTTGAATTCTTCGTCCTTCGTACCACCGTACGCGTTACAGCACCGTGAAGCAATTTGGGCAGCGCTATGGTTGCGCACGATCGCATCCCTTTCGCTGCCACGTGGGCCCTTGCGCTATCTCACGCTGATAAACCTACGATACCTATGAGCCCCCGCATCACACCACTTTAGAGGAATATATACTCGTGCTGAGGCCTCTCACGATTCCAGGTTCGCGAAACAGGACCCGCGTTCTCGACTTCATGAAACAAGAAGATTGCGCGGCCTCACACTCGACATTCGGTGTGTTGTTATTGGCTGCCCAGTGCCTAAGGCAGTGATGCTGGTCGCAGGAGGCGGGTGTTCGCCACTCGGGAATGGGTTATAAAGTCGTAAACACGACGGAGGGTTCATCCCGAACGATATGCTGTCCGCCTCGAACGCATTGCTGCTATTCGCAGCGGCGTATGTGCTAGGTCGTATTTATGCTATATGGAAGATTCTACAGGTACGTGCTCTTATATGCTATGATGTCAAGATGGTTATAGTTTACTCCTCGTCTTCAGTCCGTGAAGGGTGTCCCTGTCCAGTTTGTTCTCATACAGCCACTGACGTCGCTCGCGATCCTCTTGCCACACGGCCGTTGGAACCCTGGTAAGCATCATGCGAACAGATGCACGCTTCCCCTTGAGATTCATCTATGCTGCAGGAACGCACTACGTCTGGGATGCCCGGAGCACTGGTACGAACAATGAACCTCATCTCATTTGCGTTCCCGTGATCACGTCTTGCCTATAGCATACAGCGAGAGGCGTTTCGAGGCCATACACTTCGTCCCGCTGTTATACGGGTCCGGCTACTTATACAACGTGTCTCCGGAAGCTTACAAGCAGATTATGAGCCAAGATGGGATGGATATACAGAAACCGGTGGAGGGGCTCACACTCGAGTAAGGAATATTGACATCCCAAAGGTCCGTTGTGGCTGACTCGCATCATCCAGCTTCCTAGGGTCGAACGTGGTGGCCTCGAACGGCGACATGTGGAAAAGACACAGGAAGATTGCTGCACCTGCTTTCAATCAGGAAACGTGTGTCATCCACATCATGCCTCGGACATGGTCGCTTTGACACCGCAACGTAGCTATGCTGATGTATGGGAAGTCACGGCGAGGTTGTATCACGAAATGCTACAAAGCGAAGCATGGAAGGCTGGCGACTCCATTACATTCCCCGCCTTCAACCACTTCACGACACGGGTATGATCGAATAACGTCCCTGGTGGATTACTAGTGCTGAGCTGAATGACCTCCAGATTGCCCTCCTGGTCATTGCTGCCTGCGGCTGTGGGTCATGAACGTTTGCGAAATTAACCGAACTCATCGTTTCCCTAGTTGACATGCGCATTGGGTGGGATGAGTCTCCGTCGTATCCCGGCTTGCACAGTACAATTGACAGAATGATCGTCACCGTTTCCTCCAATCTCCTGTTCCGCATTCTCGCTCCGGCGTGGATCCTATCTATACCCAGCGCAATGTAAGCTTTCTCTCCAGATCTGCCCACTTCGTTTCTGTACAAGGATAGTTACCTGACGTGAACCCAAGCATGCGCCGCATAAAGATTTCCTACGAGGACTTGCAACGGTACCTTCATGCCGAGATCTCGAACAAGCGGGCAGATTTGCGGAAGCGAAAGGCCGTCGGAGGGGCGACGGAGACTACGGATCGAAATGTGTTCGGAAGGCTTGTGACAGCGAGCGAGTCTGAGGGAAGTCGAGGCTTAGATCTTTCGGAGCTCACTGGGAACTTGTTCATATTCCTCTTCGCCGGTGGGTTCTCGACATATATCGTAGTCACCATCGCTGAACCTCTCCATAGGACACGGTAAGAGCGGCGTTGCTGCTTCTGTTCAAAAATATTGAAGGAGACTTTCAGAAACAACTGCGCACACCCTCGTAGTGACCCTCGCGCTTCTTGCTGTTCACATGGAGGAGCAGGAGAATATTTGCCGTCACATACAAGAAACGATTGGTAACAGGGATCCGGTAGGTTGTATCGTGAACCACAAGTGGCACATTACTGAATGGTCCCCGTAGACCTTCCAGGATTATAGTGCTTTAGGGCCAGTCTTACACGCCTTTTATGAAGCATCCCGGCTATATCGTGAGCCATCGTACTCAGCCTTATTTCTTCTTGTGCTGACGCTCGATGCGCCATCAAGCCGCCGGTTACGTGCAGATCCGGGAACCCCAATCCAACATCGTCCTGAAGTTCCATGATACGGAACGTCCGGACGCACAACGCGATGTTTTTGTAGCAAAAGGCATTCTTTTGTGCATGGACCAGGTCGGCTTGAGTATGTAGTTTCGGTCTTGCATGTTCAGCACGGACTGACAAAGGAAGTGCAGATCGCAATCCTCGCACGTTCCCGCAACCTGAGGACTTCATGTGAGACCGCCTCCTCTATGCAGGAATTATATTAATTCCCTATTAGTCCTTCACGATGGAGAGACAAGTCCGCCGACGACCTAGTCGCCTTTTCTGTGAGTAATTTGATTACCCACCCATGCACTTAGGTGAGTGACGCTATGCCCCATAGTTTGGCCCTAGAGTATGCTTAGGAAAGAAGGTAATGTCGTGCTCTGTTCTCATCCTCGCCCGTATTTCACCATAACCGCATTGCGATCAGTTCGCTTTCGTCGAGGTACGTCATATCCAGCTTTACATCAAATTCTATACATGCCTCCGATAACATCACAGGCTGCGTGCTTCCTCACTCACCTCCTGCGGGACTGGAAAATCGAACTGGATCTGACCGGTTACTCATCATTCGAAGAATGGCAAGCGAAATACATGTATCCGCTTATGGGGATTACACTCAAGACTGGTGCGTCGTGTCTTCGTTGAAAGAGCTGCACATTCGGGTGCGCTGATTATGACATCGATGGTAGGGGATGTCCCGCTGAGGGTAGTGAAGCGGCCGTCTTGATGTGGCCATTAACCCTACTCTAGTCTGCCAGTTGTAGCTGCTCTTGGAATATTATGTCGTGAATTCTTTGAAGATACTGCGTCATGATGGATTTTGTCAATTTACCTGTACTCTAAAAAGTGATGTGCAGAGTGCTGTGGGCGACATCGCGCTCACAAATTTGGTGTTATGCACCATATCACAAGCAATAACTTGCGTAGAGATCTTGAACGCATTGGGGTAACAAACGATAAAGAGCAGTGCGGATTGAACTACCATACGGCGGGCATTGCATAGACAAATATCGAGTACCACCGCGCTGGCTGATTTCCCTGATGGAAAGCGTGAACCTGACCGCCGTCCTCGGGTTCGAGGGTATTATTGACCTCTGCCCGGTGGCCATGTCCGATAGACAGAGCCTCAATTTCGGAATCATCCACGGGTGGAAGTGGAACATGAGTCGGTGAGATGGGCAAGGTACGGTCATCTAGGGAGAGTGTGTACCCCACCTCCCTCGAATTTCCAAGTGGATATGAAGATGCATTAGATGGTGTGATATCAATATCTGATATGTCGCTGCTGCCCTCAAGTGCAAGGGTCCGATACTCGTCCTCATCTTGAAACGGAAGGGGTACATCCGCGGGTGAAATAGGCGTGATGGTTAACGGGTCACCATCTTTGTCCTGGGTCGGGAGGTCGTTGAATTTCACGTGTCTGCTAGAACCCGGTCCGGGGGAGGAAGGAGGTGAATAGTCTGGTGGTCCGTTCCATACGTTTCTGGAATTGTCAGGCCCATTGTGCAGGGGAGCCAAAGGAGAAGATGGCAGAGACTCGGATGGATTCTCTGTTGCAGGCAAGAACCGGCTATCAGTCATGTTTGCGTCGGGTGATATGGGCTGAGCTTGCGACCGTGGACTTATGCGATGCACTGAGCGACAAAGTACAGTGGGAGAGTCAAAATTGTTCATTTACTACTCACATTCAACCCGTATTCAGACGCACCTACTGAATTCCAATCGGATACGAGAGCGTCAACGTATGCGGGTCTTACGGGTATTAAGACTTCTTCGCCCGTGTCTTCGTCAATTTGGGACATTATCTGCAAGCCTGTCCAAAAGTTAGACATATTCCTGAGTAACTTGGGTAGAGCACAAGTCACCATCTTTGTGATCTTCTTCAGGAAATATTTGTTCAAACATTTCATGATCCACGTCCCACATATAGAGCGGGACAGGTGGACCAAAAATGGTGCCGGTATCCGCCTCTGAGTCCATACTCTCGAACTGCTCGAACATCCGTTGATGTATTATCACCGATGTGGTGAATGAAAAGTCCATTGGCACGAACCGCATACCAATCACGAATCGCATCCACGCTGCTGGAAGGCGCCAAGTCGAAGAATCCGGGTCCAAGGCATGTTCCCGTAGACGGTATTTAAGGTAGCGATCGATACGAGCAAAGAATTCGTTCAAAAGGGAGGGGGCATCCTCTATCCAGAGCAGCAAGTCTTCCGCCCGCAGTTCGAGCATGTAGTGCATGCCATCTGTTATGTGTCGCTCGAATTCGATGGACGAGGTAACTCCGTCATCCACGACATCGACTCCAGGCACGGGTATCGTGACAATATGTTTGAGGGCTGCGTAAGCATTAGCGATGGTCGAATATATTGCATTTGTGGACGGAGATCCTGCTAGCCACCCTTCCTCAAACATCGGGCGCTGCTCTGACGCATTATCTGGCGCTTTCTCGATTAAATCAGGGTCGGGTGGCGTGGACTGGTACCGAGATCGAGGGCTCATTGCCTGTGCTATCGTATCATTTGTGGTTTGCATTAGCGCATTTTACATGCAAATTGTAGGATCTCACCTGTTGAAGTCCAGTCAGACACGATAGCATCCATGAATACCGGTTTGTCGGGTATTAACATTTCTTCGCCCGTAGTATTGTCTACATCGATACGGGGCTCTAGACCTGCGCTTATGTCACTACAATGAACACGCAAGCATTATGCACAGAGCACAGACCTTCAATACGTTGTGAAGCGTCAGTACCGTCAGCGCAAGTACCGTCAACGCGCGCGCGGAGAGCTCGTGGAACTCCTGATCCCACAGATACAACGGGACAGACGCCTTCTCGATAGCAAGTTTCATCCTGACGTCCTCCGATGGATCATATATCTGCATCAGTACCACGCTCCTGAACGTTAGCGCGAAGTAATGCGGCACGGATGGCACAGAGAGCGCGAATACAATCCATTGAGCGGGGCATCGCCAGGCGTCGTGACCAGAGATACACCTTTCCAGTCGGTCAAGAACATATACATTGACGTTATTGAAGAAATGAGTCTGCAGGTCCGGATTCTCCTTGGTCAGATGTGAATTATCGTCTGGGTTGATAGTCTCCAAGAGCCGAAACGTGGCTGATATGGCTGTATCAAAGGCCTTCGTCTCAATTGCACTGCGCTCCGTATCATTTATGAGGGGAGGAGATAAGCTAGCACTCCATCGAAGCACGATGCACATGTCTGAATCGTCCGTGATATTAGTTACGAGCTCTCAAAAAGCACACTATATGAAACCGACCTTCTCTGGGGATGGGTAGTGATTCTTCCAGTGCCGCATCTATACCCAAAGCGAAGCTGCAAATTTCTGTGGGGGAAAGTAGCCCTCCGGAGATAATACGACTCTTGAGGAACCGCCAATGTGCTCGGCGCGTTTCAGGAGAGGCGGGGGATAAGTGTTCAGTCAGGATATGTATGTCATTTCGGGATACCTTCCCGCACTTCGGATCTACGCACGGGCAGCTGTCAGTATAGGCTGCCAGCAAGAGTTCCATGTGAATTCGAGCCTTCAACTCGGACAGCTGAGGCGCGGACCCAGTTAGTCGTATGTGACGGAGGAGCTCGTCAAACCGGTATCCGGAAGCTGTTGCGACCAGTTTCACCACCACTCGCGCCCGTTTATCGCTCGGGATGTCCGAGAGGCATTCAGCCAGAATGCTGTCTCGCATGCCTTCATGGAAAGTGTACGCGTGGATCCAGTCTAAGGCACCGCTGTCGCTGTCGAGGTCCTCCGGAGATCGGTGTCGCACGTTCAGGACATCGCGCAGAACCCAGGTCGAGGGCATCCGCTCACGCAACGCTCGACCACGGAGATGTTCTAAGCGACGACGGATGGCGACTATTGTGTCGCCACGCAGAGATTTTGGGAGAGGAATCGCCACGCTCAAACTCGCGATACGTCCGATGAGCCACAGAATAAGGACTGAAACACGGTAGATGAAGTACGCGAGCGGCGACTTATAGGGGCAACCTGGGGCGAACGTAGGGATTATCGCGGAGGCGAGCAGGAGGAATAGAGGAGCTGCGATGAAGACCGTAATGGTAATCGCGACGATCCGGTTGAGCGTCCAAACGAACTCGGTGAGTCCTGCTAGAAAAAGGACAACAGCCATCTGGAGGAAGATGGAGATGGCGTTCATCACTGCCGGCACACGCCAGCGAACCAGGCCATCGTGACGAAACTGCCGGAGGCGGACGGTTTCTCGTGGCGAGGAAAGGTGTTTCTCCTTGGGAATAGCTAGATGCCAAGGGACGTACTCGCGAAGCCACTGACGAGCGAAGATAGCGGTCAATGCTGACGTCAAACTGAGGACGAGACTTGTGAACCAGAGGCTGTTGATACGTGTTGCGGCCTCTGCTATGGACGTGGTTCGGGGTGATGGAATATACGTAGAATTGATGAATGCAGGGTTGACCGAAAAACTTTCCAGCTGAAGCGAAATCTGTGACAGCGTAACCGCCGATGCTTGTTCTGGGTCCTGCTGCAGCATCTGGTACGACTCGACGGTGAAGGCTGTGAGAACTGCGGAGAAAAGACCAGCCTGTCTTTGCATGAGGAGAGATAGCCAGGATACGTACGACCTATGAACTCACAAAAATAAGTATAGTGTTGATCTCATCGTTCCAGTCCTCGATCATCTTCTTATCGTATCTGAGCATTTCTTCAAGACAAGTCGCCCATCCACCCTCAATCTCCGAATCGCCGTCACGTCCTTTCGGTGCAGAATGCTGAATTGCGCATCAATCGAGCGGTGAAGGCGGGCAAGGACAGTAGATACCTTGAGTTGCGCAGGATCAACCCGCCATGATCCCACTTGCTGTCCCTCGCGTTCGTGGGCCACAGGGGTGGCCCGGGGTGGTAACAGCGATGGCGCGTACGACGCGTCGCGTAGCTCCATGCTGCCTCGTTCATGCATAGGATGGGCTTGAGCCATCGCAAGCTCGGTGCCGTGAGCGAGCAATGAATGAATGCGCAGGTGGGCATCTGTTAATCGATCCGCTGGCGACCCGGTATAGTTCCGATTCTTGTGGGTCCAACGACGCCGTGGAAGTTTGATGCAGACGCTAAGCAGGCAAACATTCGTATGGCCATATCATCGTGGATGCCGGCATGACCGTCGGCATCCCTCCTACCAAAGCATTGAGAAAGACGTGCCAAATACAGGTGAAGCTGCAGGAAGAGCAGTGTGAAAGGCGACAAGCAGGTCGTTGGTGGCGCAAGACAACAGTGGGAAGCGCGAGATAACGCTGGGAAGTCCGAAGAGCCAGGCGCTGTCGCATGCTCTTAACGATAGAAGAACTTCGCCCGCGGGATGAATATTTCACTGAAGTCTAGTCATTTCCACCATGAAGATGAAACAAGATTGCGACCGCATCTGGGCCTACGGCACCGAGAACGCATTGTAGAGAGCACTGAGCTACTGAGCTACGTGTAAAGGTTGAAGTATGGGAGCATGGAGGAAAGGTTCGACTCGACGCACATCGACCACCCGGCACCACCGCCGATTTGTCCCGACTTGCTTCGGACTGAATTTGCATCTAGGATTCTACCTGAGGTCGTGCAACTGCCCGAAAGCGTCTTCTGACATCGTAGATCACTTCCATCGAATGCTGGGTCGATTCTACACGAGAACATAGGGGGGATATGTTCATTGGGCACCCCTACTAAGAGGAACGGAAAGGGCACGTGCGCATAGTCAAACTTACTGTCCGCGAGCAAAGTGACGCCAGCAGGGTCATGGTGCGGTGCACCTTCGGTGAAACTACCCCCACATCGACGAGTCGGAGCCGAAACCGGATCATGCAGTCGAAATTGCATGATCTGAACGCAGTGGGTGATCGAGCTCGAGGCGCGGAGGGGTGACTGGAAAACCCTGCCCTGAGCGCTTCTCTCGACAAATCTGTGTAATGACGAATGCTACGAATTTGAAGATTGCAGCACCCATCTTACCTGTAAGAAAGTCGTGTTACGGGGAGCGTTGGCGTGGCGTTGCACCGGTACCTGTGCACATGTTACTCTGAGCCGGCTTGACGCGGGCCGCTCTGCCGAGGTGAACTGGCGCTTAACCTTACCGCAGCCCCCGCCTGCTCTCTTTTACCTTTTCCTCGATGCTTGCTCCCGTTCGACGACTTCCAACATCCCGCGACGTGCGAGACATTGCGGGGGAAACGCACACCTTCGGCGTCATCTTGAGGGTGCGCTCGATCTGTATGATCGCTCTCATAGAACACTGGGAAGAGAAGGTTGCAAGGAGAAGTAAATTCAGAGGTCGCTCTACTTCTTCGCCTAGAATGCGGGAGCAATTGACTCCTTTCTCCAACCCCGACTCCCGACCTCGCTCTTCACTACTGGCGTCACGCGCTGGATAATTGCGACATCGCGTTTTAAGCTAGCATTCTGAACGACTCGACCTGACTTCGGCTTTTCCACCATGCTGATGATTATAGCCTCTGCAAGCTCCTCGTCGAGTGTCTCGTCCAGATCGTAACTTAAGCGGGCCGGACCTCCCCTCTCTCGCTAACCTCCGCGCGCGCCAACGCGGGCTCGTCACCGGACGCGTTTTAGTCCCAGGGCAGCACGAGGTTCTCGCCGAAGATACACCGCACGCGTGGCGTCAGGGACACGCCGCCCTCCCCGAACCGACATTTATAAAGCTTCGCGGCGGGCTTCCCCATGGCACGGAGGACTTCGGCCCATTCACTTCCTGTCGTCGGCATCCCTCCTCGCGATCTACGATCTACGCCCCGGCCATGTCTGAGTACGGAATGCACGAGGCGCCTGCGGACGTCGTCGTCGCGAACAATGACGAGCTCGTACGCAAGCTCGACGCGAACGTCATCGCCGATGCCGCGAAGGCGGACGCGCAGGAGCACAAGATGACCGTACGCGAAGCGTTTATCATCCATCGGAGGGCCATCTTCTGGAGCATGGCTCTTTCTGCCGCGTAAGTCGCTGCCATGTCCTCTCTGAGGGAACCCGTTCTTACAGTCTAGCAGCCTGATAATGGAAGGTTACGACGTTGTCGTGGTACGTCATAAACAGCTTCAGCTTGTGAAGGCGACATTCACTCACGATTCTTCTCTACAAGATCGCCTCCTTCTACGGTCAACGTGAGTCGAACTGAAGATTCTACATGCATTACTCGTACTCACGTATGGCGCGCTCCCAGCCAACTTCCTCAAGCGCTTCGGCGTCCCCGCGCCCAACACCGACGCCGGTTACGTGATCCCGGCCGAATGGCAGTCCGCGCTTTCGAACGGTTCTTCCGCAGGCGGCATCATTGGCTTGCTGGTCAACGGTTGGGCTGCGGACCGCTTCGGGCCCAAGATCGTAATGATGTGTTCGATCGTCGCGCTCACAGGCTTCATCTTCATCATGGTCTTTGCCAAGTCGCTCACGATGCTCGTCATTGGCGAGGTCTTTTGTGGCATTCCATGGGGCGTCTTCCAAACGCTGACGACCGCGTACGCGTCCGAAGTGTGCCCGATCCAGCTTCGTGGATACCTCACCACGTACGTGAACCTTTGCTGGGGCGTCGGCATCCTGCTCTCGTCTGGCGTCGTAAAGGCCACCCTCAACATCAACAGCGACTGGAGTGCGTACCCCCCTGTTCCCTCTTCGTTGAGGCGCTCGTATTGAACCAATGATCGCTTTCAGGTTGGCGCCTACCGTTCATCATCCAGTGGGTGTGGATCGTCCCACTCTTCCTCATCGTCTACTTCTGCCCACCCTCGCCGTGGTGGCTCGTACGTAAAGGCCGGCTCGACGAGGCCGAGCAATCGATCATGCGCCTCACAAACCCTGCCGTCTACACCTCTGATCAGGCGAAGAGCACCGTCGCAATGATGGTGCACACGAACGAGCTCGAAAAGCAGGCAGCCGCAGGAACGACCTACTTCGACTGCTTCAAGGGCACGGACCGCAGGCGGACGGAGGTGGTGATGATGGTGTTCGCGATGCAGCTTCTGAGCGGAGAGAACCTGATCGGCCAGGGTGTGCAATTCTTGCAGACGGCGGGGATCTCGACCAGCTTGTCGTTCAGCTTGAACATGGTCCTCAACTCGATGTTCATCATCGGAACCATCATTTCTTGGGGCTGTGAGTCATCGATCGGCGTTTACGTCTTCATAGTGAGCTGATCCCCTCCGGCAGTGATCACCTGGTTCGGTCGACGCACGTTGTATACGGCCGGGATGGCGATCATGGCCGTCGTCCTCTTCATCATCGGCGGGCTCGGCTTTATCGGAACCAACTCGTCGACGATGGCCATCGGCTCGCTGCTTATCGCGCTCAACTTCATTTACAACTCCACGCTAGGCCCGATCTGCTACACGCTCATCGGCGAGATCTCGTCCACGCGTCTGAGGCAGAAGTCGATCGTGCTGTCCAGGATATCGTACCAGATCATGAACATCGTGTGTGGGATCATCGTCCCGCGCATGCTTTCGCCAACATCCTGGAACTGGGGACCCAAGTCCGGCTTCTTCTGGGCGGGCAGCGCCACGCTGTCGACGCTGTACTGTTTCCTCAGGTTACCGGAAACCAAGTGCGTTTTCATATGATGGACAGCTCACCGTGATATGTCTGACGTAACCATAGGGGGAGGAGTTATGGAGAGCTTGACCTGCTGTTCGAGAGCAAGACGCCGGCGTGGCGATTCAAGTCGACGAAGGTCGATCGTAAGCATCCTTCATTTCTTCCTCCCTTCTGCTGTGTCATTGAGTATGGCCTCCAACAGAATTTGGCACTCACCACCATGGCTCGGTCCACCCGGATACCAAGGAGGAAATTCACCACTTGGAATGAGCATAAAGCATCCCAGGTGCCCAGGTGCCGTGTGCCTGATCATTAAGCAATGTTAACTTTCGATTTTGTGCCTGTAATCTCACTGTATATGCCGGCTCACGACGTAATGCACTCTCTTGCTTGTATCATAGTCGGGTAATCGTAGCCATGATCTGTGTTGTCTCTCCGGATCCTGTACTGACGGCCATGCCACACATTCTGAGTGCTGTCATTATCCTAAGCGCAAAGCAGAGAGTACTCCCATCTTACGTGCTTGTAAGTCGACGCGTTGTTACATAAGTCGGAAAGAGTTGCGGAACTCCGCTTTTCCGCGTGAACTCCGACACGCTGGCTTTCACCGTCGCATTCAACGTCGTAAGTACTTGTGCACGACCACTACCGACGACAACAGGATTTGGCCTCCGCGTTATCGTCCGACTCTCTGATACAAGCAAAGCAAGCTCTCATGGCCATGCCGACGCGACGGGTAAACCCCCTCGCCCCGTGTATACGGGTCGAGCCCATAAGGCTTATCAGTGCACATTTGCTGACGGATACTTGCTTAGATAGCATATACGTACTCATCTAGCTAGGTTTTTGTGCTGAGAGTGCTTTCCAACGATGTACACGATGGCCTTGGCAACTTCGATGTGCTTGGATGACCCAAGCCGACCCACCGCGTCCCGAATGGACGCGCGCATACTATATATACTCGGGATGACGCCAGCAGTGAGGAGCAAGCGGCGCATACACTCATCCAAGGCACTACTACCGGCGACTTGACTGACAGCAGAGAACGGTATATATCCCGGTGCGTCGACGCGCCATTATGCCCCGATCTCACCTCTAACTCTCCCTTCTCGCTACAGACTCTTCGCTCGCGCACCCCCCGAGTACGCCGAACGCCGAGTAATATCACCCCACGCCAACCGACCTAGTTTCGTATACCATGGTCTCTGCCCTTGCTGCCACCGTTCCCGTGAACCCGCCCGGCGCGACGCCCGTCCTGTCCGAGGCGCAGGTCTGGGAAGGCCTCGGGATCAAAGCGCGCAACCCGAAGAGCTTCGTTGCCGCCATCACCCACTGCGAGCTTGTTTACGATAGCCCGAACAAGGTATCCAGTCCGTCCCGTCTTATCAGATACCTGATCTCTGACGTGGGTCGGCTACTCCTCCGCAGGTGACGCGCAGAGTCAAGTTCGGCGAGGACGCCCCGCTCGCGACGGAAGAGATCGAGCTGCACGAGCCCGCGATCGTACGTAAATTTTCCCCTCCCCTCTTGGTTTCCCTCGGCAATGTCTTACCGATCGGGCGACGGGCAGGCTTACTTCGAGGTCTCGCTCGGCAACCGCATCACGAACATCGTCTCCTACAGCCCGTCCGGCGAGCTGCTGCTCACATTCAGCTTCGCGAACGGCATCCCCGGCGTGCCCACTGACGAGGCGACGCCTAACGTCCAGATCGCGAAGGGACTTGCAGGCGGTATCCAGCATTCGATTGACCGCATCCGGGAGCTCGTCGTGGACGGCACGATCAAGGCGAAGTAAGGCTAGGGAAAGCACGAATCGCTCGCACTTCTACGCGTACTTATGTATCATCATCTGTTGAGTTGCAATCTGGATAAACCTCTTCAAGGCGTGTGCGTGCAGCCCTACGCTTGCCCGCCCCCTCTATCGTCTGCGGAAGTTCCCAACATCCAACACCGTGTAGAGAAGTACTGATGTGAAACATCCGTTTCACTTTTGTCCGCTCTCCTTCAATTCTTGCTATAATATTTATTGGACTCACACATAGATAGCCATGTGCATGTTTAGTCATAGCCTGAAGCCATTAAGAGCACGGTGCAAAACTTATTCTTCCAGAGGGATGCCGGTCAGAAATCTATTAATAAGCATTGTGTATCGGCCTGCTCGATTTGCGTAGACTGCTCCTTTCACTCAGATAATTTAATATCTCGGATATATTGAGATGATACCCCTACTCTGATGTGTACAAAGTGTTGAATTATCAGAGGTGCTGTGGGATGCTTGAGGCGGGCAAGAAAGGTGTTTCACATCAGGTGAAAGTCGCCAAAACGGGTTCATATCAGGTGGGTCCATAGTAATGTCTCCCGGAGAAATAATACGAAGCTGTACTTTTCGAAGAGGCTGATGCATCCATCTCCAGGGAAAAAAAAGGTTCGCGATAGATCGGGCGAGGCGGAAAGTGGGAGGACTACGTACGTGGGGCGTCGATGAGCTCGGCAGGAAGCTGTGATTGGGTGTGGGTACCCGCGCACCAGCCACAATACCACGGCTGTTGAATATGATCCACAGCTGGGCGAATCTTGCGATATGTTCTTGTCGTTCACTGCAGTCGGAACTTTCGTTCTCAAGTTTTGTTGAACAAACATTGTGGCGAGTGTGGCAGTAGATCTTCCGCATCTCGTATCAGAATTATCATCGTTTCATACGAGTTCAAACCAAAATGATAATAAGAAAAATGCCCGCGAATGTACGTATGATGTTGTCAGTTGTCCGCTCAACGGAAATCTACGATCGCGATCGTCAATGCTCTCAGCATCCGGACAACATCAGCTGCAGATTCCCCACCAAACCCATCGGAGGAGGCGCTTCTTTATGTCCGACAAGCAAAGTACATACTTCGTGCTGTTTCGTGAAGCCCAGGCCGTTGCGCTATCGAGCGAGCGGCGATCCACGATCCGGGCACGATCCGACTCACGCCGCGCTCCTGAACGCACCACACACATTTCGGGGGAACATACGTTTAATGTACATATCCGGGCCCATCCGCACTATCGTAGCACACACATCGGTAAAAGATTCTACGCGTCCTTCCTTCGATGCCTCGCGGGAAGAAAAAAAAACACGCGTCGTTCGAGGCTTGAGACGTCAGTTGAGGGATACTTCTTCAGTGCTCGCGGGTCTTCCTGGGCACGGAACGGAGAAGGAGGGCGTTAGCGAGGCACGTTCCAGATGGGATGAATCGCGATCCAAAATCGTCACAGCACGGGGGATGAATGGACCCCGCAGGTAAAACGGAGGAGGAATCCGCGGAAACGGAGAAGAACAAGGCTGTGGAGGCCCCGATTTTTTCCCGCGTGCCGTTCTTTTCTGCACGAAACCCATAGCGTTTTTTCTCACACCAAAGAACACGGGAGAAAAACACGAAGAGATATGTGGGAGACGATGGGGGTGAAGGTGATCAGTGCTGACCTGTATTCGCCCTCGGCGGCGACGGCGAGCTCCTCGATTTCGCCCTGGACGCCGGAGAGCGCCTCGGCGGCGGCATTGTAGTAAAGGAGCTGGGCCTTGGTGAGCTCGTTCAGATTCTTGATCGGCTCGGGCTGTTTCCAATAACTCGATCAGTCACGGTCTCAGGGGCGATTATATATAAATATATATATGCAGGGATGCGCGTACGTTCTCGAGCACGGTCTTCATGAGCGTGATCGCGACCTCGGTCTTCTGCACGAGGTCGTCCTCCGCGTTCTCGACCTCGAGGCGGGCGTGCTCCTGCTTGGCCGGGCTGGCCGACTTGAGCACCTGCTTGGCGGCGTCGAGCTCGAGCCGGCTGGCGCGCACGGCCTGGCGGGCTTTGACGGCCATGTTGATGCTCGTGTTCAGCGTCTGCTGCCAGGGCGCGAGGAAGGCCTGCTGGATCGCGCCGTCCTGCTGCACGCGCGCGTCGGCGATCTTGTCCCACGCGCCGGCGTACGCCGCGAGCGCGCGCAGGAGGCGGTCGGATTCGGGGAGGGGGGAGACGGCTTGGAGGGCGGCGCCGGCTTGGGTGGCGGCGCGGCCGAGGGCGTGCGGGAGCGTCTTGTGCTGGTGCGCGGGAGGGGTGGTCGGGGCGGGCGCGGGGAGGTTGGTGCCTTTGAGGTTGGCGGCGGCGAAGTTGGTGAGGTTGGCGCCGATGGTGGTGGAGAGCTCGGCGAGGGACTCTTGGATCTGGGTCGGGTAGTCGTAGGACTCGAAGGCGTAGACGTTCGTGATTCTGGATGTGTTTTTTCGGGGGGCGTGGGCTCTCAGCGAACGGCTGGGATACGGAGACGGAGATAGGACTGACTTTAGGAGGGCGACGTGCGCCTGGCGCAGCGCGTCCACGCGCGCCTCGAGGTCTTTGTACTCTGCGGCGCGAAAGGCGATGTGTTTCAGTCATTGCGAGGGCGGCGTATACGGTGATGAGAGTGCGACGAGACGAGGCGCGCGCGTACCTTGGGGAAGCTCGGTGATCTCGTCGGGCGCGACCTGGCCGAGACGCTCGCGCGTCGCCTGCACGCTGCTCTGGAAGCCCTTGCTGAGCTTGTTCGCGCTCTCGCCGAGGTTGAGGCCCTGGAGCGCCGTCGCCGCGTTCGTCCCGAGCCCGGTGAAGCTCGACTGCAGTTTTGTCCAGCCAGACATCGTGTTCGAAGATCGAGGATGGGTTGTTGTGGTGGAGGAGGACGAAGGAGGACGAGGAGGAGGAGAGGTCGCTGCGGTCGACGGTGACGACTGTCCGGGCTGCGCGATAAACGCGGTGCAGCGGGACCCCGGCGGGGCAGATGGTGGCGGTGTCACCCCCTTTCGGGGTCCTGGACGCGCGTCCGAAGGTATGTACGCGTCACTTGCGACGGGGCGAGCGTAGAGCATACATTCTGCCTTTGAGTCCTTTTGGTCTTTCCGATCGACCGCCCCTCGTCGCCTGCGCCCTCTTCGACGCTTTACTACTCACAACGATCTCCATCTCAAACGACGGCGACGACGACGACGACGATCATGGCGGCTTCCACCTCGCACTTCCGCGGCGCCGGCTTCGACTTTTCGAACAGCGTGCGGAACACGTACCTCGAGCAGAAGGGGATGCCGCTGCCCAAGGCGACGAGCACGGGTACGACCATCGTCGGCTGCGTGTTTAGGGACGGTATCGTCCTCGGCGCCGACACGCGCGCGACCGAGGGCCCCATCGTCGCCGACAAGAACTGCGAGAAGGTATCGGATTCGCCCTCCCCCCCCCCCTTCCTCGGTCGCTTTAGAGAGAGAAAAAGGAAGGCTGACGATTGGCTCACGCTCCTAGATCCACTACATCGCGGACCACATACGGTGCTGCGGCGCCGGCACCGCGGCCGACACCGAGTTCACGACGCAGCTCATCGCGTCCAACATCCAGCTGCACGCTCTCTCGACCGGGCGCAAGCCGCGGGTCGTGACCGCGATGACGATGCTCAAGCAGATGCTCTTCCGGTGCGTGCTTTCGTTTTTTGTCCCTCCGACACCTCCCACGCTCGGGCTGACGGACGGACGGCGGGACGTGGCACGAAACAGGTACCAAGGGCACGTCGGCGCCGCGCTCGTGCTCGGCGGCGTGGACGCGACGGGCGCGCACCTGTTCACGATCCACCCGCACGGCTCGACGGACAAGCTGCCGTACGTGACCATGGGCTCGGGCTCGCTCGCGGCCATGGCCGTGTTCGAGAGCGGCTGGAAGCCCGATATGAGCGTGAGCGCCTCCCCCTTCCATCCTCCCCCCCCCTCCTCCTCCTCCTCCGCCTATTCCTCTTGCCCCCCGATCCGGACTGACACGTTGTGTATTCTTGGACGAACGATACAGCGAGAAGAAGCGCTGCACCTCGTCACCGCCGCCATCTCCGCCGGTATCTTCAACGACCTCGGCTCGGGCTCGAACGTCGACGCCTGCGTCATCACCGCGTACGTTTTTTTCTTTCTTCGTTCCTTCCCCTCCCCCATCTCCTCCTCCCGCTCGCACCTCACCTATACGTCATACATGAATAACGCGACCGTTTGCAGGAACAACACGGAGATGCTGCGCAACTTTGTCAAGCCGAACGAGCGCGAGGCGAAGGAGCGCAGCTACCGCTTCCGGCGCGGGACGACGGCGTGGAAGAAGGAGGAGATCAAGAAGCTGGTCGTGAGCGAGGAGGTGACGCCGATCGCGGCGCGGCCGGGCGAGGCGATGGACACGGATTGAGATCCGAGAAATGTACAGGGTATCTCTCCTCGTCGTCGTCGTCGTTGTCGGTGTAGGATGTGATGTCTTTTTTTCGTTTGTCGTCGACTCCGTTCTTTTTTCTTCTTGCGGTGATGAAATAAGGGATGCGTGGATGCTCTGCGCGTCGACGGTGGTAAAGCAAGCACCGCTTGATCACGATAAGATGCTCGAAGCGTCGATCCCTCTCATGCACAACTCCTCTCGACGTATGCAACCAATGTAGTTTGCCTCTGACCCTATCCTGTTATCTTCGAATCATGGCCTATACGTCCATCCTATGTAACGAGCAGCGATCGACGACGGTAACGCTGGAGCTCCGTGCCGGCGTCCGGGACGGGTGCTCATCTCCGTGCTGCCATGTGTGCCTGATCCGCCGTGATTGTCGGCGTCGTGCCATATGAGGGCCAGCCTCCTCCCCGCTCCGCGTTAACGTCCTCTCTCGGCTCGGATCTTGCAGCCGTGACATAAACAGCACCGCGACTCGAACGCCCAACGGGTCTTCCGGCGCACCGACACCGACACCGACACCAACGACCACGTATCGAAACACCATACGAACATCGTTTTCCTCGACTACAGCTAAACCAACCCATGACACTGCACAAACACGCGCGCAAGCTCGACGCGACCCTCCGCCGGTCGCTGTCGACGCCGGCGCGCGTCACCGTCGGCCTGCGGCGCGAAGACCCGTCGCGCGTCTGGGAGCGCCGCTGCCCGCTCACGCCCGCCGCCGTGCGCGAGCTCGTGCACGAGCACGGTGCGCGCGTGCTCGTCCAGCCCTGCGAGCGGCGCGTGTTCGACGCGCAGGAGTTCGTCGAGGTGCGCCCCGCTCTCCGCTCACCGCTCACCGCTCTCCCCCACAACCCCCCCCCGGCCACCCGCGTGCTTTTGATCGTGAGGCTGACGCGCGCCCGGTTTATGGGACAGGCGGGCGCGGAGATACACCCGACGCTGGCGCCGGCGCACGTCGTGCTCGGGATCAAGGAGCCCCCGCTGCACGAGCTCCGCACGGACCCCGTCCCGTCCCCGTCCCCGTCTTCGTCCCCGTCTCAGCTCGTGCCCCGCACGCAGCTCATGTTCTCCCACACGACCAAAGGCCAGCCGTACAACATGCCGCTGCTCTCCCGGTTCCTCGCGGGACACCCCGGCACCCGTACGTTTCATCCGCTTCCCCCTCCCCCCACACGCTCCGTCACGGCAATCGGCGCTGACGGGTTCCTTACTGCGTACAGCCGACCACGATCCAAGGCTGCTCGCGCGTCTGGTCGACTACGAGCTCCTCACGGACGCGGAGGGGAAACGCACCGTCGGATTCGGGTGGTTCGCAGGAGGTGAACGATAGCCCTCGCCTTGCCTTGGTATACTCTCGTGCCGTTTTTTTGTTCTCATCCGACTTGTGTTGCGCAGTGGCCGGCGCGCTCGAATCGCTCTCCGCGCTCGCCCAGGCGCACCTCCATCTCGGCGTCGCGAGCCCCTTCCTCGTACGTCGCGCGCCCCTCCTCGCTACCTTCCCTTCCCCCCCCCCCACCGGTCCCTTCTTTTCCTTCTCCTCCCTCCCGATCCGCCCTCCACCCCCTCCATCCCGTCCAGCGGCGCTGACGTCTCCAACTCATGCAGTACACCCCCCGCCCGCACACGCAACCCGACATCCCGGCTCTCCGCGCCTCGCTCCGCGCGATCGGCGCGCGCATCGCGGCGCGCGGCACGCCGCCGAGCATGGGCCCGTTCGTCGTCTGCGTCACCGGGTAGCCCTTTCTCTCTCGCTTTTTTCCCATCGTCCCTCATCGGAAAATCTTTTTCCACCCGCAGGAACGGCCAGGTCGCGCAAGGCTGCCTCTCCATCCTCTCCGAGCTCCCCATCGAACGCGTCCCCGCCTCGCGTCTCCCCGCGCTCGTCTCCGATCCCTGTACGTCCACATCCGTCCGTTCTACTACCCCCCCCCCGCCACACACACACACCCGTCTCCTTTTTATCTTCTTAAATGATAAATAATAAGTGGAGGGAGCTCATGCCGCGCCACCAGCAACCGACCTCCGCAAGATCTACCTCGTCCACGCGCAACCGGCGGACTACCTCTCCAGCTCCGTCTCCAGCTCCGTCTCCGTCTCCAGCTCCGTCCCTAGCTCGGGGTCCGGGTCCTATTCCCGCGCCGCGTACTACGCCGACCCGTCCGCGTTCCGGTCCGACTTCCACGCCCGCATCGCGCCCTACGCCACGCTGCTCCTGAACGGCGTCGGATGGGCGCCCGGCAGCCCGCGGCTGATGAGCACCGCGCAGCTCGTCGACGCGCTGCGCCGCGCTGGAGCGCTCGGGCAGCCGGGCAGGCTGGGCGTCGTGGGCGACATCAGCTGCGATATCGAGGTGAGAGAGAGAGAAAATCCATCGCCTTTTCCCCCCTCCCCCTCCCCCCTCTTTCGCCTCCACCCGCGCGCGGCCTTTTATATATTTATTTTACCCTAATCCGATTTTCCTACCCCTTTTATTATCATTTGCTAATGTAGGTTGGTTTTTATTTTATTTTATTTTCATAGGGCGGCTTGGAGTTTCTGACGCGGCCGTCGACGCTGTCCGCGCCGTTTTATACGCTGGCGCACCCCGCGGTGCCGGCGGGATTGCCGCCGGTGACGATGATGGCGGTCGATATCCTGCCCGCCGCACTGCCGCTCGACGCGTCGGCACACTTTTCGGGCGTGCTCATGCCGTACTTGCGCGCCGTCGTGCGGGGGTATCGCGGCGAGGGAGGGCTGGGGGAGGAGGAGGCGGAGAGGGAGGAGGCGTTGGAAAGGGCGACGGTGGCGAGGGGGGGAGGGTTGGAGGAGAGGCATCGGTGGCTTGGGGAGGGGGTGGGGGTGTGGAGGAGGAGCGTGGGTGGGAGCGGGGATAGCGTGGGCGTGGGTGTGGGTGTTGCTGGGGAGAGCGTGAGGAAGGAGGGGAGGAGGGGAGGGGCGGAGAGGAAGAAGAGGGTGTTGATGTTGGGGAGTGGGATGGTTGCCGGACCGGCGGTGCACGAGCTGTGTACGGACCGCCGCGTGGAGCTCGTTGTCGGTGAGTTGCGCTTTCCGCTACCTGGTGGACGGTGGTCGTATTGACCGACGTTTCGTGCGGATTGTAGCGAGCAACGTTGCGGCGGAGGTCGAGCGGTTGACGAAGCGACACGAGAACGCGAAGGGGATCGTCGTCGACATGAATGACAGAGAGCGCATCGGGAGGCTCGTTGCGGAAGCGGACGTCGTCGTCAGGTGCGTTGCGTTCGCTCTCCAGTCGCTCGCTGTCCGGTACCGACCTTGTGGATTTGCGTCCAGCTTGCTTCCGGTCCCGTTCCACCCGTCCGTCGCCCAGCTCTGCATCGAACACCGAACGCACCTCGTCACCGCCTCATATATATCGCCCCAGATGCGCGACCTTCACGAACAGTGGCGTCTCACCTCCCTTTTTATTTTCTGTCCAGTCCACGGCTGACTCTCGTACAGGGCCGCGGCTGCGGACGTGTTGCTCCTGAACGAGATCGGGCTCGACCCCGGAATCGACCACTGCTCCGCCATCAAGCTCTGCAACGAGATACGAGCGCGGGGGCAGCGCGTGACGTCCTTCGTCTCCTTCTGCGGCGGTCTGCCGGCGCCCGAGAACGCGGACGTGCCGCTCGGGTACAAGTTCAGCTGGAGCCCGCGCGGCGTGCTCGCGGCGGCGCTCAACGGCGCGTCGTTCAAGCTCGACGGGCATGTGAGCTCTCCATTCTGCTCTCTTCCCGGAATGGGGCGATGCTGACGAGGAGCGGCATCCAGATGCGCGAGGTCCCGGAGAGGGAGGTGCTGAAGCGCCACTTTGCGGACGTGCCGGTGTCGAACACGTTAAGGCTCGAGGGGATCGCGAATAGGAACAGTCTCAACTACGTCGACGAATATCCTGTCGGTACCCTTGACAATCTACGGACGCTGCTTCGCGGCACTCTGAGGTGAATTCTCATCAATTCATGCCTTCGCTCTTCTGTTCACGATACCTTCGTAGATATCCTGGGTACTGCGACCTCCTACAGTCCTTTAAAGACATCGGCCTCCTCGACACCGAGAAGACGCTCGTCCTCGACCACTGGAGCTCGCTCGCGCGGCAAGCCCTCCAGACGAAGCTGGCGCACACCATTCGGGAGAACGACCCGGCCTCGCTGATCTCTGCCATCGGTGACGCCGTCGACGCGCGCCACACGGAACCGCTGCTCGACGCGCTGGACTGGCTGTCCATGGCGCCCGGGCTGAGGACGCCCCCGTCCTCGGCGGCGGACGAGGCGAACGAGCTCCCGCCGCTCCCCCGCTCGCCCCGCGCGCCGATCGACCTCCTCGCGACGCTCCTCGCGCACAAGCTCCGGCTCGAGCCGACGGAGCGCGACGTTGTCGTCCTCGCGCACGAGGTGGGCGCCCGGTCCGGGTTCGGTGCCGGCGAGGGCCCGCTGGACCGCGCGGGCGAGGACGTGTACGCGTCGTCGTTGACGGTGTACGGCACGCCCGGGGAGTCGGCGATGTCGCGGTGCGTGGGATTGCCGGTCGCGTTCGCGGCGCTGGAGGTGGTGAACGGGGCCGTGGGGCTGAGGGGGGTGCACGGGCCGACGGATCCGGCGGTGTATAACGCGGTGCTGGAGGGGTTGGAGAAGGTCGGGTTGGGGATGAAGGAGACCGTTCGGAAAGAGGCCGGGTCGAGCGTGGAGAGGACGCTGGCGTCGGAATTTGCGTGAGAGGGACGCTTGGGGCAGCGTGGTTGGCATTTGAACAAACGACACAGCGCTGTATCATACTACATAGTGGTTGGATGTTTGATCGTAGTGAAAATGTGTTTCTTGTCGCTATGTATGGTCTTCGCGCGCGCCTAACAGGTTTGCCTGACTCCACGTCCGTCGCATCATGCAGCTCCCCATACCCCTGACTCCAGGGCTTGCTGTGCAACATTTCGAACTCAGATACCCCACAATACGCATGCTACAAAGATTGTCTCGCTTATCGGCTGCTCATCCTTCAGTCGAGCAACCATCGTTCCTCACGATTTGACTACCTGTCTCGCTCTGGAGATTTCGTCCGATTCCTTCCTCCGCCCGCCAAGTGTCGTACCGCGATACCGAGACCGCGTCCCGTGCACGAGCTACGTTTGCCGGGAATCCCCGGAAACACGGTCCTTTGAGTGAAGCGCGACGCAACCAGTCATTGCCCCCAAAGTTTCTTTCACCTACGTTGCAGTTGATACCAGCCTTCCAATTCGTTTATCGCCTCGGATCAGATGTCGTTGTCTTTCGTACCCTCTGGGTGCGCTGTGATATCGTTGAACAGAGTGATGCTTTGTACTAACACTGGAGCATTAGAGCATCCAGGGCATGAATGTAAGGAGTGCAACACTTGTGCACGTGAGGGAGAGAAAAGGGAGCGCGTAGCGCGCGACGAATCAGTTGAATCCTGTCGTATTGCAAAAGAACTATGCGCTACGATACAAAGTCTTCGCGTTTATATAGGTGTTGGGTCTTGAGGTGATGTAATTGATTCGTAAGGTTTGCGTCATTCTGTGCAACGAACTGATTATCCGTTACAATGAATCAGGAGCCTGGGATCAAACATGTTGACCCATGCCATATTCTCAATCCGTTGAAAAGGCCACTTGCGGCAAATTACTGCCCCGAGCAATCTCATAGGCGGTTCAAGTGTCCACCTGGCCCATGTTCTGTATGCTCGAACAATACGCGAATAAGGCATTCGTCAAGACTACAACGACCAACAAGGGCATAGGTGCGTCACCAACAGAGCGTACACGTATTTTGTCTGAGTTGTGTATTCACTTACTTTCACGTCTACTTAATTGCCGTTCCTTCTTCGGAAGCAGGCCCATACCCTGATTTACTCCACTGATTGATCACTAGCCTAAACTCGGGACCGCACCGTTTAAGCACATCCCGTGGCCCTGTTACTGAGGCACTGGGTTACGCAACCTCCGTTAAGATTGACGTTGCGCGCCACTCCGGAGACAGCGTTCCCGGCACATTCGTTCTGGACGTCCTGCGCGGCGGTGCACAGGTCAAACTCCGCAAACGCGCCGACATTGGCCGACCAGCTGATGCAGCACTGGTTTCCGGACGACGACAGGCAGAGGCTCCGCGGGGAGGCAGATACGGAGCCCCCACTATTGCAGACCTGGCCGATGAGCGTGCTGCACACGGACGCGATGGCCTGGTGGGAGCCGGAGCAGCTGTGGAGGACATCAGTCAGACCGTTTTTGCGGCAACGAGAGTAAATGTTACGAACGTAACGTCGTTGCTGCCGCACTGGCGGGCCTGAAGAGAGGCCGAGTTAGTCGGGGCATCATCGCCTACGATACCGTAGACGGTGAGGATGCCGTCGGCACCGAGGTCCTTCGTCGAGATAACGTATGCGTCCTCGTCGCCAACCTCGCGAACGATTGCGGCCATGGCGATGCCAAGGAGTGACATGAAGGCGAGTTGAAGCTTCATTTTTACAATTGAATACGTTTCTAGAATAGTTGTCAGATTGGAAACTGAGCTATGCGAGTAGAGAGGGGCGAACATCGGAGGACTCCCGAGTGCTGGAGGTCCAGGCTGGCTTTCTTGCGCATTGCACCCTTCATTTTATACTGTCCAAGGATCCAGGATTAATCTTTGGAAACGTGAGTTTCAATGCATCCTCGATGATCGATGGTTCCTTGATCTCTCACAGAGCGTTGAAAATTTTGTCCCGCCATGCATGACCATGGGTCTAGATCTGATGCACCTTCTCGGCCGTATGAGGTCCTCGAGCGCCGAGCTGCGGTCTTGTCAGAGGCGATACGGATTGTATGGCACCTTTTGCCGTCCCGAGTAGAACGGCCAGGTGAACAAGCGGATCGACTCGGATCTGTCCCGTAGGAGTACTCCATAGAAACTACAGTATATCCCTCTTCTTTTCAGTTCCATATCTTGCATTACCTACGCGATACCTGTGTTGGATCGCGTTTGACGTTTTCTATGGCATTATAGTCTGTGTAATGTTTATGTCAAGTCGACTATCAGTATCACAGGCTGTAACAGGTTATATGAGTGCGAAAGGGTAGTTGGACAGCATACGAGCGTTGTCATAGGCGGATAAAGACAGGTCCTCAAATGTCCCATGGGTTATTTATATGGTAGAATATGGATCATGCGAGCTTCATCCGGAAGATGTGGCGTTTATCCATGTGCATACGCCCCCGCCGCTACACACGGCTAGTCCAGAATAAGATGGCCCTTGTTGTTACATTGTTGGTGAAGCTCTCAGCAAGGTGTTTATAGTATATCCGTGGCTGCTTGGTGAACACAAGGTACAGTGAGATAAAATGCAAGTGTCATCATTGCGCCCACCCCTTTTCAACACCCCCCATTCCATAGCGACAGGACTCTATACGAGCGGGCTGAATCCCCTCTCCAGAATGGAAGCATATGCGATGTTTGTAAAGATTATATCGTGACGAGACAATGTTTCCGGAACATAAGACTTGTAGAAAGGACCTCGATGGACTTTGAGGGGGTATTTAAGGGATCATGGAGCTGTACCATATCGCTGCTTTAGAACTATTACTGGCAACTGCATGGGCATGAACAGAAAGCCGTCCGATCTTAAAGCCATGGTTGATCCACAAGAGTTAAACGAGAGGCCGAGTGACAAATGTGGATCGGTATTAGATCTCCCGGTATTCGATCTCCCGGAAATAATACTGACACCCTGAACGTGTAACGACATTATCACACACAAACACTTCACCCAAAGATGCCGCCCAGATGATGGGAACTTTTCAGGATCTTCACCCAGGATGTTATTTTTGGATGCAATTATGAACGCGAAGAGCGCCGAAGCGAATCTGCAGATCGCGCTATGCATGACTGTTGGCTGCGCCAAGGTGGGCCAGAGGCGACTCGGACCATTGTTGAATGTGAGCTGCATTGAAGGTGACGTACTGCGGCGGTATGGTCATTGGCAAAAGTTCACGCCGCAAAGCAGGCCGGGGGCGGGGGTCACACGAGACTAAGTCTCCATACTTACATCACGTATATCTCGGACATCTCTTTTTGAAACATGCGATCACATGCGGATGGAGCCCCCCCCCCCCACTTATCCTCCAGCTTGTGTCTCTGGCTCCAGCACCAGCTCCTGTTCAGGCGATGATAGATTCAAGTTTTGAGAGCATATAACAGATGATTCTCTGTGAGAAAAGTGGGGATGAGTGATTGCACGAGAGTATCATACTATGGATCTTCTGCCACAGTGTGAAGACGTTCAGGCAGCGATCCAGATAATAGTACAGTGGAAAGCAGAGATGGATTTTTGACATAATTATCGAATCTGAAAGCCCTCCAGTGCCGCGCAAGAAAAAATGACTACTTACTTCAAAGTCATTGAGCTTGCGCTGGATCTCGGCGAGCCGCCTGCGCTTGTCCTCAGTTCGGAACTCTTCCCCGCTACAATCTGGTTCTCGCTCATGAGATCCTGGAATCTGACCGAGGCATAGGCAGCGCTATAGTCAAGACCAGCGAAAAGCTCATCCTTCAGGGCGATACTTGCCGTATTTGACTGGGTGAGCCTTGCCTTCTAGAACCTCTTTCCGCTTCTGTAGCCCAATCACTTTTTCTGGAAAGGCGTGGGTACATATGTCACTTACGTGAGTTAGAAGCGACCACCCTGGCTTGCTCTCCACATCCGTCGCATCGCCCGATGTAATACCTGTTCCTCAACTCCTGACCAGATTGTACGACGCCAGCGGCTGCGATGTCTTCAAATACATCACAATATGCCTGCTACAAAGATTGTTTAGCTAGGCGTCTGCTCAATCTCCAATCGACCTCTCGCTCTCCGGAGCAGATCGCTACGGCGGACGAGCTGGACGACTTCACCTCCTACCTCGCCCAGGAGACCTGGTTCGACTTGCCCGAATCCATTCGCAATGCCTCATACGATAACCGAAACAGCATTCCGGACCAGGACACCCTCCGCCTCGATTCCCCCGCCTTCGCCGACACCTTGACATCCTACGGGCTCGTCCCCGACGCCAACGACGCCGCCGAGCTGCTCCGCAAGGTCCTAGAAGACTATATAAAAGAGCAAACGTCGCCGTTGCCCCCGTGGTCCGCGACGCGTACGACGGCGTGCGAGATCTGCGAGCGTGATGTGCCGCTAACGTACCATCACCTCATCCCGCGCTCGACGCACGTGAAAGTTATCAAGAAGAAATGGCATCCCGAGTCGATGCTCAATTCCGTCGCGTGGCTTTGCAGGTGAGTGGGTGAGCTTGGGCAACGAGGGAGTAACACCGGCGCTGAACGCGTATTATTGTAGACCATGCCATTCAGCGGTGCACCACGTCGCGCCCAACGAAACGCTCGCGCGAGAGTATCATACCGTAGATCTTTTGTTACAGCGAGAAGACATCCAGAAATGGCGGAACTACGCTGCAAAGCAGAGATGGGGCGTAAAGCGAGGATGAGTCCCGATGGGTTTAATAAGTACGTTACGGCTACGCAATCGCTGCAGACGATACATACCTATTCGATCTAATTTAACCGAAGGAGCTTGATCGCAAAGCGTAAATTTGCTGAGCTCGCAGCGGATTCAACGAGCTTCTGCTTATCCTCTTTCCCGCAACGGTGCAATTCCCGCTCATTGCGACACCTGGTCGAACGGATGCTCGATTGCGGGCGGATACTTATGGCACACCATTGGGGGGAAGCTGGAGCACGAGTGCCACACACACCGAATCTTGTGCTGAAAGACCTCGGAAGCGATCCAAGTGAATGTACGATGCTGGCCAGAGACGGGGGTCAGACAAGGCTTGCATAGGCTAGTATGATACATTTCGGCTCGAAAAAGACGATCGCAAACAGTGACCTGCGTTACACTCATCAAAAAGCTTTCAGACTCGACATATATCGAAACTTCGTTATCCTGCGGCTATGAGGCGCGCGATTTGGATCGGTTTTTCGTTATATATCAGGTTTGAAAGCTCTCTGTTATCAGCTCAGAAGGAAGGAAGATTTCAAACCTTGAACTCGCTGAGCTTGCGTTGTATCTCGGCGAGACGCCCTCGCTTGTCCTCCAGTTCGCGTCTCTTCGCCGCCACGATCGGGTTCTCGCTCAGCAACTCTTTGAATCTGTCCAAAGCGTCGGCAGAGCTGAAGTCCAAAGCGGCGAAAAGCTGATCCTGTAGGCTTTCCGCGAACGCCTGGTTGAGCGCGTGCTCAATAGCGAGCGGGACGTAATCGATGACGCGCTGTCGAATAGAAAGGGAATAAGCCCTACGCTTTGTAGCACGAGAGAAAAGGACGCGAAAAAAGGCACCTTGTACGCGACCTGGAAGTAGGCTCGTACGTCCGCCATGACGATCAGCTCGTTCCCAAAGTCGTCCTGTGGGTGAAGGCGTTTCAAGTCGTTTGTCTTGAGCCCTTCGTAGCCTCGCTTCGCCAGCGCCATCAGGGCCGACTGGTCAGATGATTCGTACCGCATTCCCACGACCTCGTCCTCGTCTTCGTCGGTATCGTCGGTATCGTACGGATTCCCGGGTTTGGCCCTCGCCGGGGCAGCGCGCCGCGTATAGAGATGCCGGTCTTTGCGAACTTCGTGGAAATGCGCGAGCCACTTTTGCCGGGCGTCCTCGATGTAGTAGTCGTTTTGGGTGTAGAGTGGCGAATGCTCTAATTTGAGGAGGGACAGGACTACTTGAATTGCTGCCTCGCGGCATTCCCCGATTAGTCTATCGACCGCGACACTGCGTTGCCCCTTTCAGCATTCACCCTTGCACATAGGGGTATGGAAAGCGTACCTCATCCAATCCCGGAGGCGATCAAACGGGCCGTAGTACTTCTCGATCAAGCCCTGGACGAAACCTTCCAGACCAGCAAAAACTGCGTCAAAACATGCCACCGCAGGCGTGTTCCAGAGGGCCGTGATGCCTTGAATAATCTTCTTCTTTGCCGCGAAGGGAACATTGTTCTGAAGCTCCCATCCAATCGATCTGCGGAGATTCGTGAGAAGCTGGCAATACTCCTAGGAAAATGATGCGTACTGTCGAACAACGCTCCGCACCGCCCAGAGGTCCATCACCGGAACTCCCACATCCCTTTCGACAAACTCGTCGTCGAACTCGGGCCCTTCTTGCAACGGCGGGAGCTGGTATCGAGTGTGGTTCTCGAACGGCCGGAAATCGGGCGCGGTCGCACGCACGGCCTTTCTGAAGATCGCGTACAGGGCGCGGTTGCTCTGCACGAGCCGCATGTCATCATGATTCTCGCCATGGACAACGGCGCGGATCTCGCTGCAAAAGCCTGTCATCATCCGCAGGAGCTCCGTGGCGGGGTCGCTGGCGAGATGCTGGGGTAGCGCGACGCGCTGGGAGAGGTTTTCGATCGAGAGTCGGTTGACGTCGGCTTTCACTTTGGGTAATCTGTTGGCATGTGAGGTGAAATACAAAGAGGTCCGAAGCGGAGGTCGTACGCGGATTCAATGACGCCCATCAACCTATAACGCTGAGTCAGAGGTGCTGACTACAGCGACGAAAGTGTGCTCACAAATGGCTCATGTTGGAGATGAAGTTGGGTACTCCAAAGCGCGTGCGTTGGTTGACAACTATTTCGTCCCATGGAGCGGTCGAGTCGAAGAAATCGGTCGCAATCTTGTCAGCCTCGTCGCGGGAGATTCCTCGAGCTCTCTCGTCGTCGTCAGGGAGTCTTACGCAGTAATAGCCTACAGGGAGCGAGGGTGAGCTTGGACCATGCATGAAAGCGAGTACCTACCGTGTTTGAGCGTGTGGGACTTGCCCTCGAGAACCGCCTTCCACTTCTGACGAGCGCTGGTCGCCCCTCTGGTCAATGTATCCGGTTTCGTAATGATACCTGCGTTTGAGGTATACATCTGGATTCAGGTGCACGAGAAAGTACAACGTACCGATAGTACGTTTTCCCAGAGGGTCGGCTTGACGTGCTAGACGAACGGCTAGCTGGTTCTCCATCTCGTCTACGTGTGTAAGAGTCAGTCGGTAACGAACGAAACCCAGAGAGTCGTACGGCTGACCGCTGGCCGGGATCGTCACGAGGATGAGGGTGGATTCGCCCCTGATGTTGACTTCGACCAAATCGCGGACGAGCTTCACGTCCGAATCGGACGCGTTCTGAATCAACCCTGCAAACAAAGTGCTTTTTAATCCGATGTTTCTACCCAGGGAGGACGAACAGAATGCGCGAAATACCGGGAAGGTCCACGAAAGAGAGGTCGGTCGCGTCCGGATCCATTATGTTCACGCAGACCATGTTGCGTGAAAACTTGAGCATGTTCGGGTAGTCCCGAATGTCTTGCGTCGAGCGACCCTGAAACGTGCGATAGTCCTCTTGCGGGTTGAGGATGGCGGCCTGGGCGCGACGGATCCATAATTCGACCCCGGCCTTGTCGGTGAGGGGAGGGCTGAATTCGGCCCTGGTAGGCTGGGAGAGGGCTTGGTTGTCCTTGTCGTAATCGAACCGGAGGGAGATGTGGCAGGACCACTCTTCCGCGTTGCCTATGATGGAGCATTCCACGGGGCAGCTGCGTGGCTATTGGTCGCGAGACGAAAGCATAATGACGCGGCGTACCGCGTGCAGGTTCCGCTGTCGCGAGGAACGTTAATCTGGATCGGGCGGTTAGCTCGATTGTCTTCGTGAGCGGATCGTGCTGTACTCACGCCGCTGACGGCCTCTACCAAGGAGCTCTTTCCCGCTGTCGTGCGATGTCAGTACGGTTTCTTACGTGAGAAGCAAGCTTTCTCACCTGACTGTCCACCGATAACTACGATTCGTGGCAAGTCGATGAGCGTTTGTGCGCTGTAAACAGGGTGGGTTCGATGGTATATCCTGTTCGCTCATAGCATCGAGAAGACGCCAACTCACCCCATGGAGAACAGATCCCTGGTGAGCTCCATCAGCTCTTTACGCTTTTGGGCGTAGGCGCTGGTCGATATGTCGACCGTTTCGGTCGTGGCAAGCTCGTCAGATGACATCGTGTCGCTCATCTCCGTGAACGGGCTTCCGAACGAACTGTCGGGGTCGCGATCGTTGTCGATCTTGGTTAACTCGGAGAAGGTCTGGTACGAGCAGTGTTAACGGATGACATGGCAGAGAAATGGGGCACCCTGCTACCTGTGTGATCTCGTTTGGTCTATTCGGTGGAGAAGTCGAGTGAGCGGTACGGGGGCATACAAGAGCGCAGGTAGGACTGACGGTGTGTCTACCGAGCTCTGCGCGAGGTCGTTGGCAGCTGGAGAAGACATAAAATGAGAGGTCGAAGATGCTTCCGAGAGAAAGCGTCTGAGGTTTGCTTCAACCGTGATCGGACCTTATATACCGCGAAACTGTCCCGTGTACGGTCGACGCCCACTGCCCTAGGTCTTCTACGCTGTATACTTCTCGAGATAGCATCATGCGTGCTCTGGTAGCCTCCGAGCGCGCGTACGTGATGCCCTGTGAGCCATATGCCTCTTTGTGGAGATTCCATAACGCCGCCTGAATCGAAGCATCTAATTCAGCGAAGGTCGAAGTGATGAGGTTTTGCTGACCACTCTCTGAGCGCCGGGAATTGTCAACCGGGGTTTGAGATACATCAGGGAATGGGTTGATACAGTCTCGATTGAAGTACTGACGGTGTCATCCGTGCGTAGTGGCCTTTGGCACACAGAATCGCAAGTGCATGATCCGTTTGTAAGACACCAGCGAAGGCTGGAGAGACCTAAAGCCATACAAAGGCACCCCATTAAGGATAGCAAGAAAAGAACGGGTTCACGTACCGCCGCTTCCATTCTTCACATTCGTGGATTCTGAATAGCATAGACAACTCAAGAGCATAGGGAGATTCAACGGCATAGACAGCTTGAATGGCATAGAAGATCCAACAGCATAGACAGCTCCAACGGCATAGAAAATACAACAGCATAGATAGCTTCGACAGCATAGACAGCAATATACGGGTAGCAAGCCTTATACAGGAAGTAAGGTAGAGCGCCGCCCGTGCAATCGTGTGCACGATGTCGTATCAGGATCGGAGGTCGATATGGACGACGGCGTCTCTGGTTGATCATCATCGACTTGCGAGTACGGCCGCGAGGCTGGTGAACAATTGCAAGTGTTTCTGCGCGCACTCCCAACGAATCTAGCTAACGTAGTCGAAGTTATCGGGAGGATTTGATTAGGATCGGGTTGCGAGTCCGCTCGAGGCCAGAATGTGGCAGCCACCGCAAGGCCGTTCGCTGGTCAAAGGCGCGATATCATCGGGTTTCCATGGCGACACCCGTCCTCCGAGGCACGCGCTTTCCACGTGTCGTCATGATTTGCGCCGCGCTCGTCGCGCTCGACGACTCTCCCCCTCCGTCTGGAACGTTGAGCGAGAGGATATCAAAAAAACTCTATCTCGGATCTAAACATACTCTCCTTCCCCTTTTGATTCCTTCATAGTCGCCCGTCCACATGCCTTTTCTAGGTCGTTCGCGTTCACTCGTCGCGCTCGGCGACTCGCTCAACGGCGACCAGCGACCGCCACATGGCGAAAGTACCAAGGCGTCGACGTCGACATCCCCGGGACTGCTGACGCGGACGCGCTCGAGGCTCGGACTGTCACCAAACCATGCTCGCAGTGATTCTGGCGGAGTCACGATGCCGGAGAGTAGCCCGGACTTGCAGCCGCCCAAGACGCCCCGCGCTCGGACGAGCGCGCTCTACCCACCCTTCCTGAGGAAAAGCCTCTCGCGCCCCAGCCTTCGCGACGGTGCCAGCAACCACCCACCAAAAGACTCGCCGCCGAGCACGTCGACGGACTCGTCGCCGCTCATCCCGCCGCCGCCCTTCCCCAAGAAGACGTCGGAGGTGCGCCTCAACGACGAGCGTATAGGATTTCCGTCGACAGAGAGCCTCGGCTCGGTCCTTGCGCGCGGGCTCAAGAGCACCAACGAAGCGCATGCCCGTGCACATGCCCACGCGCATGCAGCCGCCTCGCCCGACCCGCCGACCCTCCTCTCCTCGCCGACGCCCTCCCGCTCGTCAAAGCTGCTCAACCGCGTCTCGCGCATCTTCGGCGGCCGGGAACACGGGCGCCATCTCAGCACGGGTGCGGCGCTGGGTCTCGCGGTGGAACACGTCGCGCCAGCCCGCTCGTCCGCGAGCGCGACGTCGCGTTCGCCGTCGCCCGAAGACGACGAGGAAATGGAGATCCGCCCGCCGAGCGGCCTAGGCCGGCGCGGCTCGCTCTTCTCCAACGTATCCCTCCCGTCGCCCACCACGCCCACCACGCCCGTCTCCCCCTTCTCCTCTTCCACCCTCGGCAGACCGGGCGGGCTCAAGATCAAGATCAGTGCGGCAGGGACGGGTCCCAATCTCGTGACGAGAGGGCACCGAGAGCGGAGCATCAGCTCACCCGACCTTTCCTCCGCGCTCGCACCTCCCTCCTGGAGCTCGCTCTCGCTCTCCTTTCCGTCCTCCACCTCATCTCCCCGCCCGATTACTCCCCCAGCACCGCCTGCGCGCTTTCCCCCTTCGGTTCTCGCTCTTATCTGCTTCTTCTCCTCCCCGGCCAGCCTTTGCGCGCTCGCGCTGACTTCTAAATCCGTCTGCCGTCTCGCGCAGGACGCGCTCTACTCATCCATCGACCTCTCCCTCCTCCACCCAGCTCTTGCCGAACGATGCCTCGCGACGCTCTCCACCCGGCCGCATCTCTCCGCCCTCGTGCGCACCTTCGTCCTGCCCACGACACCCTCCTCCACCAGTGCCCCCTCCACCCCTTCCACGCCCTCCCCCACATCAACTGCCCTCGCCCTCTGCCTCGCGCTCCGCACCATGTCCTCCCTCATCTCCCTCTCCGCGCCCTTCTCCCCAGCGCTCGCCTACGCCCCTCCCACGCCCACCCTCACCCACGTCCGCATCCTCTCCTCCTCCCTCTCACCCGCCGAACACGACCGGCTCCTCGCCTGGCTCGCCGAGCGGCCCTCCATCACCCGTCTCGCGCTGCCCTCCCTCTCCGATCCTCCCCCGACCCCGACGGCCGACGACGCCACACCGCCCGACGCCTCGACGCTCCCCCGCCTCGCGTCCTACACCGGCCCGCCCGCGCTCGCGGCGCATCTCGCCCCCGGCCGCCCGCTCGTCAACGCCACCCTCGTCGTGCACACGACGCTGTACGACGGCCTGCGCCCCGCCGCGCTCATGCGCGCGCTCTCCCTCGCCTCTCCCCGTCACCCCCCCTCTTCTTCTGCGTCTTCCTCCCTCCTCCCCCCCGCTTCTTCTCCTCCTGCGCCCTCGACACCCGCGACGCCGTCGGAACCGGGCACGCTGCGCGAGTTGGGCATCCACGCCGCGCCCCGCGTCGACGCGCGCACGCTCGAGAAGGTGCTTATGGCCGCCGGATCGCAGCTCGGCGATCGGTTACGCGAGCTCGAGGTCGGCGCGGGGATACTGGACGAGGTTCGTTCGTTCATACGTTTTTTCATTTCATTTCAATTTTTTTTTTTTTTTTGGTCCGTCCTTGACTGACGGAGCGACGCGAAATATATATACCGCATAACAGAACCTGTACAAGATGATCACGCCCGTCCTGCCGCGATTCACATCGCTCAAAACGCTGCGCGTCCTTCCTTTGCTACCGAATTTGTACGCCTCCTCCTCCTCCTCGTCGTCGTCGTCGGTCGAGGTGTCGCCCGAGACGGCGCGCGCGTGGGCGAGGCTGTGTCCCACCCTGGAGCGGATCGAGATCGGGAGGGCGCGCGCCGGGGGGAAGGCGTGGCGCGTCGCGTCGAGGCGCAAGCGGGGGGTGAAAGTTGATCGCAGGGAAGAAGATGGGGAGGAGGAGGGGGAGGAGGAGGCGGGGGTGTCGTTCGAGAGGGTCATATTGGTGTCGGTGCCGCCGAGCCCGGTCGCGTGGGACCGGCCGCGGTGAAGCGGGACGATGGATATGGCGCTTCGTTGCTGGCCTTTTTTTTTTTCCTTACGCGTTGGGTTCGAGTGTGAATGGATGGGCGCGGTGGTATGTGAGTGGATCTTGTCTTTTGTCTTCGTCCATGAGGGCTGGAGATGGATCGGCTGATTGTATTTGGACTATAGACGATATATAATATATAATTTCATTTCTGCATCAGGAAAAATCAGACTACCGCTTGTTGGGTACCGAAATCCTTTAAAGCTACTAAGTGAGCACGTTTTGGTAGGTTTTAGGAGGCTGTTACCAAATATAATTGTGTCTGATGTGCATTCTGCATGCTGCTGCCAGTGAATGGTGGAGGAACCTCCAGCGGGAACCGGTGTGTCCGATTGACACGCAAGGGAATCGACAGGCCACGAGTTCCGTCACAGTGAGTGCGCGAAAAGAACGTTTTCCTGCTCTCTCCGTAGTGTGGGTGAACACCGAGCAACCGACGAGCATGAAAACTTCCGCTGAACATCTTCTACTCCCTCCTCTGGACAACGGACTCTGTGGGCATGCCTTTCACTGAGGATAAGAAGACTGTGAGTAGGGAATAACGCCGTGAACGATGAAGATTCATACCATCGTCAAAGACAGCATCACATGGCGATATTCCGTTGGACGAGGTCACTCGGAATATCGAGAGTCAGTAGATCATGCCGCTTCGTCGCGCGCTGTCCACTCGAATATACGAGGATTTCTTGGCTGACGTGACTTCATCCTCAGCCACCGATTTCTTCTTTCGGGCTCCTGTGGGATCGAGGCGCAACTAGATTCCCTCAACGTTGCTCGCCGACGCTTATCTATGGTGGCATGTGCAGGAACAATAGCCCATCAACCAGAGGTTTCGCTTCATGGCAGGATTTTTACGATGGCTGCGTTTATCGACCGCAGGCTCGTAAATGTGATCCGATACTTTTGTTTCCTCCGTCGGATCTTCTCACGAATGCACCCGATGTCATCAAGGAGCCTGAAAGAACGTCGGACTCACTCCGGTCACGACCCGTGAGTGGGTTCGACTGGGTCGAGTCGCTGTCAAAGACGCTTGCTCGTGCTTTGACCGTGCTTCAAGACTCATCATCCGATGATTATCCTGTGATGGCGAGCGCTCGATGCGGTGTGCAGAAGCCGTGCTTTGGACGCGCTCAGGGGCAAATCAGCATTCGACGTCGCTCTGGTGCACACAGGGCTGCGCGGAGGAACCTTCACTCCGTTCCTCGACCTTCTGGCAGCTTCGCTCGCGCTCGTCATTCTCGGGCAGAGACGATGGCATGAGAATGCCCAGAACACCCGTGACTTCGAGGTTGGCGAACGTTGTACGTCTTCCGGGAGTGCCTGTCCGTGAACCCAGGCAACACCAGCCTCCCCGATGGCGGCATACCGATACATCGTTCGAGGCATAAATACCGTCCAGCTGCGACCACTGCTCCTCACCGTTCTCCGGTAACAAACACCCGTCTCACAGCAGAGCTTACGACCTACTCAGTTTTACTACGACCGCTGCGATGTGATCTTCACGGCCCCCCTGCTCGTCTCCTCCCTCGTCGCCGCCCTCGCGTCGGCCGTGCCCGTCAGCCTCGACACTCGCGATGTCTTCGTGCCACCTATCCTATACGCCCACGCCGGAAAGGCGCAGACCTGAGGCAACTTGAGCCATTCCCAGATGGTCTGGCTAAGATCGTCACGATAAAGGACGAAATTCTCTGGAGTATTTCGAGAGGCAGTCGCTTGATTGGTTCCTCTGTCGGCGGAGAACGTTCAGTTGGATGAGGTGAATGGCGATGCATTTGTCGAACGATTGGACCGTATCCTCGACTTCGACTTCATGAATTGACAGATTCGCTACTGTGCTGATTGAGGCGAGAATACCAGGACTCCCGTCGTTGAAACACTGACAAGAGCAGTGAGGAAACATCGAGATATCTGAATGACTAGGCGCCATTGCGCAGAGATGGTGCGCTTCTGTCGGTCCTGGAACGTCTTTGCCTTCTTGCGCTGGGATAGGAGGGCGTCCCAGAGTCGGCTGCTTAAGATTGCAACATGTCCTGGGTCTTCGCCTGAGAATGTGTTTGCGATGTTGTCGTTGGTGGCGGATCAGGACCAGCCGCAAACATGACCAATGCTAGCTGCGCCAGTGCTAGTAGATCTGGTTGATAGGACTATATATATCCGGGCGTTGAGACATGATGAACTCAAGTGTGTGCAGATTGACGGTACTTCAATTTTAGGGTTGATCGCCATTCAGCCCTGCAACGAGGCAACGAGGTGTGGCCATCTCGATATGTAGATATCAGTACGTCCCTAGTGTGTGATAAAGCCCCGTCGTAGGCTAGACAATGGAAGGATCACGCGAAGTCGATATGATCGGGTCTGTTCAGGGACCTACGCCAGAACTCGGCCTCACAGCCTTACGCCACCGGGATATTTTTGTGATACATTCATATCTCGAAATCTTCTACTATGCATATTGCCATCTCTTCGGCTTCTTGGATCGCAGTCCACTTGAGCAGAACCTAGCGACACAGGCACTTCATGATATCGCATATGCAAAACAGGTCGGAAGCTGGTATGCCCGTTGCGACAACGATCATGGCCTGTGCGCTGTTCATGGAACCACGGGTGAGCTTGCTGTAATGCATCGAGATGGATAGTCTTCTCAAGGTTCGAGGGTCTGGATGCTCATGCAGCGCCTTGCTGAAGAATGAATTGGTCTGTGGGTAGGGTCCCGTTTGAGGCCCTCCCCGCGGGCCAACGAGCGGTGCCGGGATCTCCTGGATGTCTATTTCTGCTTTTCTCCTAATTGTATATAGTGTGGCTTCGTTGGTTCATGAAGGTCACCGTGCTCCATAGCATCTAATATACAGGTATTCGCTTCACAATTTCGTCCCTTCTGCTCTCCCCGCTAATCTTGTTTTCAGCATTACTATGGCACATGCTATCGCCCCTGAGGATGAAGGATTCACATTGTACGCCAAGCTACGGTTGTCGCTGGATGAACAGATCGTGGGCCTGCGGGCCCGTATTGCACTCGCACCTGGCTCGGAGTCGTCAGGCTCCAGGTCCGACCTTGGTTCACGTCTTCTAGAACGGTATTCCCAGTTTGGAGGGCAAGAACAGCTCAATGAGGCGATTGTGGTGCTTCGCGATGCACTACAAGTATCGCAATATGAGGGGGGCGCACAGGAGGCGATGCTCATGGAACGCTTAGCCAATGCTCTTAGCGCCCACTTTTACTTGACTTCAGATGAGCGATTCGCGGAAGAGGCGCTCTCAATTCTCGAAAACGCATCCAAAATCCAGGAACGTGCTTCCATTGATAATTCACCTATACTCAGATCCATGGCCCAGATACACTGGGAACTCATGTTATTGCACCTTCATCCAATACGTGACGAACATGAGGATCGGGCACGTGAAGTATTTCGACAATCATTATCTTCGTGTATCTCAGATAACTCTCGTTGTCCAACCGATCTTCGGGCACTCGCAGAGGCTCTTCGACGGGATCCCGAGTCAGAGAAGTATCCAGGACAGGCAGTTCTACTCGCCGAGGCAGCTGTATCTCAATCCCCCATCGGACACATGGAATATGTCTCATCGCGCGTTGTCCTTTCCACCCTTAGAAGGGACAAATACACTATAGAACCTTCAGCTGCGGGGCTGAAGACCAATATCGAGATGCTTCGGGCCGTTGAACGTATATGCGATCTTTGCGACCATCCTCGTCACCCTGACGTCATTTCGGAATTGGCGGAAAACCTGGAGTACTATTACTCTTATACTGAAGAAAGATCAGCATCAGATGAAGGCATAGATTTACTACGCAGAGTTGCACAAACCTTGGCCCATGGACACAGTCGTCGCCGCAGCATTCTGCTAAAACTATCAGCGATGTTGCAGCAGAGGTTCCAGCACGCCGAAAACTTGCCCGATATTGATGAAGCCATTTCGGTGCTCAGACCGCTCCTATCCTCTGGATATCGAGGAGAGAAATATCGACCAGCCATACACAACCTTGGAACTATGTTGTTTTTCAGATACGAACTCGTAGGGCGTGTATCCGACTTGACCGAGGCCACACAACTTTACCAGCAATGTGTCGAATCATTTCCCAAACCGACAACCGGAAGCCGGATATATTTCTTCAATTATGCCGGTCTGCTATCATACAAATACTCCAAGGGGCTGGCATCCATCGAAGATCTCGACACTGCCTATAAAATCACCACAGATGTTTCTGCTCTATTCCCCGCGACTTCTTCCGTGATGGTGTTGTTGGCTGAGATTTCTCACATGCGGTACTCGTTCACAAACTCGCCTGAAGACCTGGAGAAGTCCTTAGAACTAGGACGACGATCCCTGAGCATGTGTGGACAATTGAATCTTGTTGACCGTCAGGAATCCCTGCGGGTCACGAGTGCTGCGCTACGCCTGCTTGGTGATGTGAAATCGATGCAAGAAGCGGTTCTACTCTTGAAGGAATGGCGGGATCTAGTTCAAGAAGGAAATCCTCGTCTTCTGAGACCGAAGTTCGAGCTTGCGCGAACATATTTCGGATTATGGCGGCACACGGCGGACCCCTCTTACGTTCAGCAATCTATGAACGAATTCTCTGATGTAGTTCAGAGCATTTACGGACTCCCACACGACCAGCTCGAATACGCTTTAGCGTGGATTGAAACCGCTAGAGAATTTGCAGACTCTGGAAATGCTGAAGACTACCTGCAAGCCGCTTTCGTTGCAGCCATCGCTCTCCTTCCGCGTGTGGTGTATCTTGAATGTGACCTGGTCACAAGATTGGCATCTCTGAAACGCTACACATCCCTCACGAGAGACGCTGCACTTCATGCACTGGAACGAAGCGGTTGTGATGCAGCTGTGGAGATACTGGAACAGGGAAGAACCGCATTTTGGCATGGAGCTCTGCGACTTCGTAGCTGTCCACCCGATGTGCCTTCCAACATAGCGAGACGACTGAAAGAGCTGTCTGAACAGCTTGAGTACTCCGGTCGCATTGCTGGGGCTTTAGGAGCCAACGACGATGGTGTCTTGCGTCGTCGCGGCCTCGTGCACGATATGGAAGAACTCATCGAACAGATCAGGTTAATGCCCGGTTTCGGTGATTTCTTGCGACCAGCGACGTTCGCACATCTGCAGTCAGTCGCTCGGTCTGGGTCCGTCGTCTTGCTCATTGCAGGTCCCACGTCTTCCCATGCCGTAATCATTCATGCACATCTACCCTCCAAAAACATTCCCCTCCCAGTTGCCACCGCGAGCACCATGTCGAAGCTGGGTCATTCTCTGGCTGATATCAACGCACGCTATCGCACAGCTTCGTCATCTCTCCAAGTGGATAGGAAGCTCATCAAGGTCAAACGCCTTCCCATGGACGACTATGTACACGTTCTCTCGGAATTATGGAAGACAGTTGTACAACCGATTATACTTGCTCTCGGGTTTAGGGTGAGCGTGATATCGCACTCTTATTCTCTATAGATGTTGAACAAGAATAGAAACATTGTGTAGATGATCAATCTGAAGTGCTACCTCGACTTTGGTGGTGCCCTACGGGTCATTTCTCGTTCTTGCCTCTTCACGCCGCAGGGTCGTACGCTGGTGAAGTGGACTGTGCGGCTGACTATATTGTTTCCTCATACATCCCGTCCATCACTATCCAGCGCAAGGCCCAAGAGCAGCTGCAATTATCCGTTCACGAACACCACAAAGCCTTACTCGTTGCGGAGTCCAATGCCCTCGGTTTTGGTGCTTTACCTCACGCTTCCGCTGAGGTGGAGTTAATTCACAATGTCTTACCCAAGTCCGTCAGGGTAATAGACGCCGTTAACGAAGCGGTCGATATGGAAGGGACAATCAAACAGTTCTTCGACGCTTCAATTGTGCACATGGCTTGTCATGGACGGCAGGACAAGGACGACCCTCTCAGTAGTGGTTTTATACTACGAAATGGAATACTCAAGATTTCTGACCTCATGGGACTCAAGATTCCCAATGCGTCCTTTGCATACCTAAGCGCTTGCCAGAGCGCTACTGGTGACGATATGCTGCCGGATGAAGGACTGCACCTAGCCGCGGCGATGATGTTTGTCGGGTTTCCGAGCGTGATTGGAACCATGTGGTAAGGCGTTGATTCGTTCTAAATCTGCATCATCGCTGAGATATTATTGTCAGGCCAATGAATGACGAAGACGGACCGGTCGTTGCTGAAACCGTGTATAAGGCGATGTTCAAGGACGGTTCAGGTACGATCGACTACGATGCGATACCCCGTGCTTTACATACCGCTGCCCGTCGTTTGCGCGAGGAAGGAGCTCACCCGAGTCGGTGGGCAACTTATATTCATTTGGGGGTTTGACGAAGAATGAGACGGATTGCGCAATGCGAACGAAATGACTGAATTACCGCGTGGTCGGCATGTTATGATCTATGGCAACTGTATATCACAGATAGGTAGCACTGAGCTCGTATACGGGGTCGAATTCCTCAGAAGCGGTAAGGCACGCGGCTACCTTGTACGGAGTCGTCTCACTTACGACTTGCTGACCGACAACGAAATGAAAGTCGCTTAAGAGCAGATTGACCAAGTAACGGTGTGTTCAGGGGGTAGTGCATAGACTGGCCAAAGCGTGGTAGGTAGGTAGGTATATTTCCGGCGCGGTCCCAATAGCGGAACAACCGGTTGCCGCACCGCACGTCAATACGCACGGCTTGGCGCACACAGTGCATCCACGGCCCCCGTGAGCTGCTATACAGCCGACACGCCGCTTCAGCACTGGTGGTTTCCGCATGATTGCCGCAGCTCGCGGTCTCGTTTTTGACCCTGGCCGCAACGACGTCATGATCGTCGCGCTCCCCCCCTTTCGCAATTTACTTTACTTGTTCGTCTCTTCTTCGTCGATTGCGAACGGAGCCTGCGCAACATTGGGTTCCAAGTATATGCAAGTTATGCAACACAAACTCGTGCCACTTAGGAGCAACACACGGTGGTCTTTGAGCGCTCGTACGATATCTTTCCGATGCTGTAACTCCTGACACCGTGGATGAAGCAGGAGATACCTTCGACCTGTTTGACATGGGATAGCAAGACGTGAACCCCATCGAGCGCATCGGCGCCCTCCTCGCGCCGTCCTGGCATGGCAGGCAATATATGTCCTCGTACGGGTGCGGTCGTCCGCAGATTGCGCGGGGCGGTGCCGTTGGATCTGTATAATCACTTACGGCACGGTTCTTCCTAACGCATTTCCGGATATGAAAGTATCGTCCCTACGGATTCTACGCGGACCTGCTCGACATCGTCCGACATGTACCCATGCGGGGGTGCGAATTCCTTTCAAGTTTCGCTATGCATTTGCATGTAGCCCTGTACGGCATGTCGACACGAAGTATATTACCCCCCCTGCTCCTTGTACCCTTCTGTACTTCCTTCGTTCCTGCGTCAGTTACGCGAATACAAATCTCCCGATCGCGCTAGCGCTTGAACTTGACGGCCACCTCGACTTCGCGAATGATGACGATGACACGGAAAGAAGGCGTGGGAAACGGCCCGGCCCTGGGCGAGAAGGGACATCAGAGGGCGGCGGGGAGCGCATGGTCGCCATCGTTCCCACCGCCCAGCGCTTTGGCCCCTCCTCCTCCTCATCCTCGTCGCTCGCAACTACTCGTCAAGACACCCTTCCAGCGCGCTCATTCTCGTTTTCTCTTTTCTTCCAGCTTATCCGACCACGCGATACGAGGGCCTGAGGCTCGATGCCCAGCTTATTCTCCCGCGCGCGGACGACGTCGACCAAGGGGACCAAAGACAAGGACAAGACCGCCGCCGCCGACGGGGCCCGCACACCGACCAAGAACGCACACAACGTAGCGTCTCCAAAGCTCGGCTTCGACGAGTTTGGCCGGGTCGTCAGCAGAGATGGAGGAGGGCGAGCGACGCCGAGCAAGTCGATGCGCGACCTGCGCCTGAAGACGTCCACGAAGGACCTCGCCCGCCCCGACTCGGCCCTCGGCGACCCGTTCCTCAGCGCCCTGCCCGACGGCAGCTTCCTCCCCCTCCAGCTCGACCCGCCCCGCTACGACGACCCCGCCGACCCCTCCGCCGACGCCGCCGACGCCGCCCACCACCCCCCGCGCGCGAGCCAGCACCGGCCCGACTACGGCTTCCTCTCCTACCAGCGGCACGTCGTCCTCCCGCCCGAACACGTCTCCGCGCTCGCCGAGCTCCTCTGCGCCGAGCTCGCCGCGCGCGGCCTCACGACGCCCTTCCTCTTCTCCTCGTCCGCGCTCGACGTCTCCGCGTCCGGCGTCCGCCGCCTCGTCGGCGCCTTCCTCGAGTGGTGCCGCACCCCGACGGCGGAGCGGGACGCCGCGTGGCGCGAGGAGGCGCGCTTCGCGGGCCCGCACGAGCTCGCGATGGCGCTCCGCTGGGGGCTCGCGAGGGTCGTCCGCGTGAGCGGCGGGCAGGAAATCCGCGGCCTGTTAGACTACAAGGACTACGTCGACTGGCGCGACGCCGAAGCCGGTACGTTCCTTCGTCTCGTCACACCCCCCCCCCTCCCGCCGCCTCTCCCTCCTTCGATCGCGAGCCCTGAATCGATAATATGCGTATATACTAACCACTCGGACTTAGCCTCCAACTACCCCGCGGCGCACTTCGCCGCGCTCCTGCCGGGCCTGCACCCGCTCGTGCGCTCGACGCTGCTCACCACGCTCGCGCTCCTCGCGCGGCTCACCGCGCACGCCGCGCGCTCGGGCCACACCCCGCCCACGCTCTCGCCCCTCTTCGGGCCTCTGCTCTTCGGCCTCGGGCCCGCCTCGCTCCCGTTCCGCCACGCGTACGTGCACTACCTCCGCGCCGCGCGCGCGGCGGAACACGTCCTGCTCGCGTTCGTGCGCTGGCAGGACCTGCCCGCGGGCGACGCGCACGCGCCGGAGAAGCGGGGCTGGGGCGCCGCGATGGGCGTGCCGCCGCGGCTGAAGGACTGGATCAGGGGGTACCCGGCGACGCTGCCCGGGTTCGGGGAGAAGGGGTGGGAGGGGGAGGTAGGGGGAGGAGCGGGCGCGAAGGGCGAGGAGGAGAGGCCGAGGGCGAGGAAGGGCGCGCGGACGGTCAGGGTCGTGGCGGTGCGGCGGAACGTGAGGATGTATAGTCCGGATCTGGTGAGGAGCGCGGCGGGGTGGGCGCAGAGGGCGGGCGGAGGAGGAGCGGCGGCGGGAGGGGCGGGGGCGAACGGGTTGGCGGGGAGCAAGGAGTGGGAGCGCGTCGCGCCGAGCACGCTCAAGCTCCCGCCGAGGTATTCGGACGGGTACAGGAAGAGGATGGACATGCCGCCGGGCGTGCATCCGGACACGGCCGCGCCCGCCGGGCTGTCGAGTGCGCCGAGCGCGGCGAGCAGTCTGTCGGCCAGCACGACGAGCACGTTGTTCGACGAGAAGGACTATTTCGGCGTGGGCGGGGGAGGCGGGGGCGGGGGAGCGGGGAAGGAGGGCGAGTTCAAGAGCTTGACGGACCTCAAGTGGGGAGAGTTCGAGACGGTCGGGTTCGGAGGCTTGGCGGACAATCGCAAACTGCAGTTTGACCTGACGGAGGGCGCACGGGCGGTGAGTTGCGCGTGTTCTTTGGGTTTTTTTCTCTTCCTTTTTTTCTTTTTCTTCGCGGCATCTGTTACTCCGTGTTCGTCATGTTTCGACGCGGATCGTGTCTTGCGTCCCTGCTATCTTTTCTTCCGAAATCACTTGAGCTCTATGCTGACTATTGACGCTCGTTCGATAGGCCCGTCAAGCGAAACGGCAGACGATGTCCTGGGATGACTTTTCCTCCTCTGGCTTTACGCGTTCGGACGCGCCCCTCAGCGCGACGCTCCAGTTCAGCACCCCGCTCGCGACGACGATCAGCAGTTGGCCGTCGCAACGGGACGAGATCCATCGTAAGCTGAAGAAGGTGAATATATGCGCTCCATCAGGTTCTGGTTCCCCTCGCTGACGCGCGTGCGATGTCAGGTTCAGAAGGGGCTGCCGAGCTTTGGGTGGGATACGGAACCGGTGATGGGCCCCGAAGAGTGGATAGAGGAGGCGTTCTTGGACGTGTTTTGCGATCTGATATACGGTGGTGGTTGGATGGACAGCGAGCGGGATCGGGAGGAGAGCGAAAGGGAGTGCAATTGGGCCTTGGTACGAATGTCCTCCGGGTTACCAGACCATACCTAGTACTCACTGCCGCGCAGGTCGAATTCAAGTCGCTCCCCGTCTCGCGCACCACCGTCTCCGGCACGGGCGACCCCCGCACGTCGACCTCGCTGTTCCTCTTCGAAGAGTTCGTCCCCGCCGAGTACCGCGCGCAGCTGGCCTCGTTCTCCTCGCCCAAGCGCCGGCGGCTGCCGAGCCTCTTCACCATCACCAAGTCGTCCTCCGGCGCGTCGCGCCAGTGGAAACCCGCGACGACGCTCAACGGTCGGCCGTACGCGCCTGGTTCGGGGCAGGTCCCGCAGAGCCCGTCGCTGCGCGAGGTCGAGTTCGAAGGGTTGCTCCGGGGCAAGAACGCGAGCGTGACAAAGGTGGTGACCCTCGAGCAGGGCGGCGGCGTGCGCACCGTCGCGCGCGGTCAGGTTGTCGTCCCGCCCGTGCGGACGAGCTCGGCCAACGCGACCTCCCCCGCGACGCCGGAGAAGGACAGCAAGACGACGACACCCGCGCGGGATAAGACGGCGCGGTTCGGGATCGTGGCGCCCCAAAGTATGCGCAGCCGGCGCGAGTCGCGCGTTCCCCCCGCTGACTCGCAGAGCATAGACTTCGAGACGCGGCTGGCGAGCATGTCGGACGACGACGGCTCGCCGCCGGGATCGGGCACGCCGCGGCGCGACAAGCGGCGCTCGAAGGACGACGCGTGGGTCGATATCCTCGTCGCGACCGCCGGGAGGCGTATGGCGGGCCAGGACGCGGACCCGGCGATGCTCGCCGTTCGTCGCGGGCTCAAGGGCGGCCGGAGCGACCCCGAGCTTGCGAGCCAGGAGGTCGCGGCCGCGCTCGCGGCGGTGCAGGGACAGGTGTTCTCGGACGACGAAGACGGGGAGGTCGAGCCCGCGCACAAGGGGGAGGTCGAGCGCGGGCGCAAGGGCGAGCCCGCGCACCGGCACGAGATGGAGGCCGCGGAGGATGAGGACGGGGACGAGCTCTCGCCCGGGGACGTGGAGCCGGCGCCGCCCGCGCGCGACTCGATGCTGTCGTCCGAGTTCGACGCGACGCCGCGGACGAGCGAGGCGGACGAGAGCGAGGAGTCCGGGAGCCCGGCCGCCGCGGCGCTCGCTGAGCTCCGGAAACGCGCGGGTATGGGCTACTTTGCTGCCCACCCGGACCGGCTCGCGCGAGGCGCGGCACCGCGCCCAGCAAGCAACTTCGAAGATCCGCGAGCGCGGCTGGCGCGGGACGAGGAGAGCGACGAGGAGGAAGCAGAAGCGCAATCGCCGTACGGCGGGCTGGAGGATCACCCGCATGGGCCTCCGAGTAGGCCTGTAAGGCCACTTCCCGTTCCGCAGGCCACCACGCCACCAGCGCCGGCATCAATCACACCGCTAAAGCTTGAAGTGCCGCTTTCGACTCCACCTAGGGACACGCCGTCGCCGGCGAAGGACGCAGCTGGACCGATCAGCCCGGGTGCCGTCGCAGGCGCGCGCGCGATCGGCGGCAAGACCTCCGCGCTGATCGAGATGTACCGCCAGAAGGAGAAGGGTGGCGCCGCGCCCAGCGACCAACCGTTCCCGACGCAGCCGTCGCGCCTGCCTGTGCGTTTGCTTCCGACGCCCGGCAAGCCCGCGTCGCCCGAGGCCCCGGCGATCGTTCCGTCGCGATCGCCATCCCGCTCGCCAAACGGCAGCCCTGCGAATGCGCTCCCGGGCAAGACGCCGGAGCAGCTGGGTGTTGCCCCCAAGAAGGTATCGCCAAACCCGTCGCCGCCGTTGCCCGACGCGGTTCCGGTGCGCGTCGAGCCTGTCCGCGAAGCATCCGTTCCGAGATACGTCCACGGAGCGCCGTTGCACAACCTCGTGGAGGAGGAAGAGGAAGAATAGAAGTCGATCCGATCCATCGTCAAAACAGGACGCGAAATCCGCTCCCAACGCCAAATCATATCCCATGCAAAGATACCATCCCCCCTACTCCACCCTTTGGATCCCTTGATGAACTGTATGCTATCTCCCCGTCTATTGGTTGCCTTGTTTCGCCGGTGTAGAGGGGCCTCACACGACTGTTGGAACCATATCTCCGTCAAATGGCGATCTCCCTTTCCCCTATCGTTTCATCGCGTACTGCCCACGGACCAGGCAGCGACACATACATGCGGCCGGTCCTCACCTTTTCGGCGCTGCGCCGTTGATTACTTCAGGTTAATAAACTCCCTTGGACGATACCAACTACACACATACCTGCTGGTCTTCTGCTTCTTCACCTACATACACCCACATTCCTTTTGCCCGTTACTCCTGATCCTGGCTGACAGATCCCAAACGATAGCAATACCCCCACCCTCCGCGCACCAGATTTACGAAGATGCCGATCGGGCTTCTCGCACTACATGCCCTTCCTTCCTGCCGTCCTTGCCTCGAGCTCTTTGCTTACCACGTATGTTTTCCAGTACTCTCTGTTCCGATGCTATGTCTTTATCGCGTTGCATAATACAACATTTTCATTGCTGCTGCTGTCACTTTAGAGGACGCCCTTGATCACCCGCATAACGCACCCGCTCGTCAACGGGTCTCAATACGGTCCATTTTGGCCAACATACGTTACAACATACATCTGGGGATACGAAACACAGGTAACGGACATAGATTACGAAACCGATCATTCTCCTGGGGTATCCTCAACCCCCCTCCGTCCCGACCTTCATTCTGTTTTGCGCTTCTTGCTCTCTTTGAGGCGAGCGCTTTCCCTCTTCCTTTTCTGACCATCTTCCATCTCCACGCCGTCAGCCTCCAGTACGGTCGCGCCACCTGTGTTGAAGGGGGCGACCTTCTGGCGAATGCGCTTGGATCGACGAGGAACTGGACGACCTGACCCTGGAGATGGACCGGATGGGCCAGCCCTACGAGGTCGCGCGCGAGCCAGTTGGGGAGTGGGTATGCCGGATGCTGACTGCGATTCAACAAGCATGGCTTCCACCTCTACGAGCGAGCCTTCCTCAGGGATAGGATCGAGGACCATCGGGCGATAACAGGTGGCGGCACCGTCGACCTCAGCGGGTTCGTCCTTCGCGGCGGCGGCATCCTGGTTGCGGCCGGCCGTACGGGTGGGTATAGCGTCTGGGTTCGCGTTGGTCAGAGGCTGCTGCGAGCAAACCTCGGTTGGAGGGCATTCCTGAGGCCGTGCTGGCCTTGGATCAAGCAGCGCTTGGCGCCGTAAGCTCGCAAGCACCCTCCGCTCGTACGAGTTGCGCGGCTCGCCGTGGTCCTCTGGTTGCGCGTTCGTCTGTTGCCGGAGGTCCGCGGGCGGTCGCACTTGCGACTCTTCATATGCGAAGGTTATGCGCTCTGACGGGCGCCGGTCATTTTTCTCCTGGTATTTGGCGGCCATTTCTTGAGATAATGCGTTGCTGAAGGGTAAGGGTCCAACGTTCGCAGGAGGAAGCACGCATGTTCGGAGCCAGCGTGCGTCGCGGGCCTTGCGAAGGCTCCAACGTTGACCATGATCGTTCTCGAGCAAACCGCCCAATGTTTCTCGAGCTACGTGAGTCGGAACGCTTTAGTACCATCGGTAGCACTTCAGCATGATGACGGACCTTCTGCGGTGACAGGCAGTGTGCTGATATCTTCGATCTGAAAGCGCCTCCCTGCTAGCCGTGCTTCCAAGGTGAGTAGCGTTGGGTTGATGTGAAAAACCATTTTCCTGAACAGTCTGGAAGACGTTTCAGTGACAGCAGATGAATGATAATAGCGTCACTACATACACGAAGAACATGATTCCTCCTACCCCGTATGCATCGCTGCGCTCGTTATACATACCCCTTTTCACTTCAGGAGGAGCCCAATTAGCAGTTCCACCCATCCCCTGTGCAATGCTCATGAGCCTGAGATACGTCGTATTCGTGTGAGTAGGTACTAACAATTATGCGGTCCGGATCTTTGTCCGTTGGGATCGTGAGACCGAAATCCGACATTTTGACTGTGAGGACGCCTCTTCTGTCCTTATCAAACACCAGGACGTTCTGAGTGCATGTTAGCGTCAAATGCGAAATGCGAAAGGGAGCACAAACATCAGGTTTGACGTCAGCGTGTAAGAATCCTTCTCCATGCAGATACTGCAGTAAGAACGTAAGTCAGCAGTATATGACGCCAAGAGATGAACGTCACCAAGAGTCCTTCGATCACTTGCGCTATGACGGGCTGAGCAAGATCCTCGGCTAGCAACATGAGACATCTTGAGTGTTGTCTTCAAGCATAGATATAAAAACATCACGCACAGAGCTTCCCTTCCTGTTCGACGTAGTCGTGCAGGCTCCCAAAGCGAGCCAATGGAGAGACAAAATCTTGGGTCATGTCAATATTATTCTCAAACAATCAGCGACTCGGTCACTTACATACATGGGATGCCTCACGACACCAGTCCATCAACCGCGCTAAGTTCGGGTGAATAAAGCCCTCCCATCGGCGAATATCGTCCTTGAGTTTGTGAAAGGAACCAATATGTAGTCGTACGCCCTTGATCGCCACCGCACGGCCAGTAGCATTGCAACTGGCAAGCATCACGACTGAGTGAAATGTTTGTCTTCAATGAATGAATACGAGGGTAGAACCATGTCAACAGCTCACCTGCTTCGCCTCCTTTACCGATCTCAGTTCGAACATTATATCCTTCAAGTCCTGGAGGATACTCTGGAATATTTTTCAAACAGTGATAGATGTAATCTTCGTATGCACATGAGCGCGCGTGTAGACAATTCCTCTTGGATTTTACGCACCGACATTGTTAATCCGTACGCTAGCGTCCGGGATCACTGTATGGACGCAGTGATGAGCGACTTCCGCTCCGTCAACCTGAGAAAGTGATAAGAAAATGCCCCAGCAGTGAAGATATATCGCGCACATAAACGGCGCAAGCTTCGGTTTCCCGTGATATCTGCAGCTCTTCTTTGGCACCTTGTTCAGTTCGGACGCTAACTTTCGTGAGTTTCGCGACGAGCATATCCCTGCCTACACCGGGAGTGAGGTGACGCACACTGGAGGGAAGCTAGGCTCACCTTGTACTGTGTCGTAGACAGGCCACTCTCGTTTTGATTTATGGAGGACGACATGCTCCTTGGCCTTCACGGACGACTGGAGAAACCCATGCGGATCCACGGTCTGTCGTAGCTGATATTTGATGGATGCGTGTCGAGCGAATCTAGCCTTGGATCCAAGATCTAATGGGGCCATGTCGCGCAAGTTAGACGGGGGAAGAGAAATAAGCTCGCCTTATATGCAGCGCAGCGGCTCGGGAGTGGCCCTCCGCTCGTGCATTGTCTTGTCACACATGGGACGGCCACAGAGATGCTGCGCGGGTGGGAGAGGTAATATTATTCATCCCTTAGAGAGACAGAAGGAAGATCATGATGAGACTCGGCGTCCGGGCAAATGCTGTAACGTAGATCAACTCCTGAGTCGCCTAGTCAATATGTGACCCTACATGTCCGGTGTTGTAGGTCAAGGCAAGGTCCACACGGGAGCACTCTGTCGCATGCACATACAAGGCAACGCACCGGAGCGCACGGGAGGACCGAAGAAGAATAGTGTGATTCCTGGGCGAGATAAAGCTAGAATGACCAAGTCTCGAAGGGAATGGGCATCGCTTCTGTCCCGTTTACAATTTCCGGATTAGCCATGCTATCGTTAGACCTCGGATCCAATTCCTCTACATCTAGCCAGCGATAATGATCGAGAATACGAAGACGCCACCGCCTTCGATCTTCGTCCCATTCCGCCAATTCATTGTCTAAATGGTTCACAAAAACCGGATTGCCTTCCTCGTACCCTTGGGTACGCCTCTGTTCCATTATCCATGGCGGGAAAGTCTGCATCGCCTTGACAAGGCAGTCGAAGCATCTCCCGGATCTGAGATGCCAGCGCTGCAGGACGCCGTAAATACTTTCGGGGATATGTTGCAACTGAAACTTGATTTGTTGGCTGAAGACTCGGGAAGGTCGAGGACGGAGTGCTGCAGGAAAGACAAGCACGTCGGTATCGACGTTTCCTTGCATGAGCAATCCCGTCTGGGACATCAGGCATATCTCAGCCGTCATGCGCGGCTGAAGACGAGCTTCTGGTGGACATGCCGACCAGTCGTGGAAAGGTATTCCTTGGACGTCCACGCCGACTCGTGGTCTGGGTTTCAAGAAAATTTCCCGATTGACGCGTTGTTGGTGATCCTCACTTCGACGACAATCGTGGCACTTCGAATTGTTGTTGCGGAAGTCGTCGAAGAGAACGTATACCGTGCGGAGCTCCTCGTCAGAGTAATCTGGGCGAGCAGAGTGGTCACCACCGGACTGCAGCCGTCTCAGCACTGAGATCAGAGTACGGACGTCTTGTGACCGTCTTTCCTTCGTTGGTTCTCGCTGAGGTTGCTTTGATGATCTTGAAGTCACCTGAATTTCAGCCCCACTGCAACGATAAGATGAGCATATCGTGCTGGATTGCAAGTGGGGGCAACGCACATGGGTGGCGACGGGTTTACGTGCTCGTGCTCTAAACCAATTCGTCTCGCTCGAGACTCCACCCGCTGAGCGTCCAACTTCTCGACGTCGTTGAGCAAACACTGAGCGCTGGCGAGAGCGTGTGATAGCGATTCCTCCATGTCGGCGATAAGCTGCCTTGGCCCCTGTTTCCCCTCTCGCAGCTTCTTCAGCTCCGACGCCAGCCACAAAGCGCGATCATGCTCTCGCATTGGGATCTTCCCAGTGGTTCGGGATCCGAGTCCCTTACGACGTCTTTTGGGAAGGGGCTCCTCATCAGGAGCAGGGGGTCGCGCTCGCTTGTCGGGACGTTCGGGAACAGTGGCCGCATTGTGTGTGGTGGGAGTAGGCGTCTTAGATCTGTTACTTGACGGTCGCGGTTTGGCAGCGAAGTTGCTTGATGGATAATCCAGAGATAAAGATGAGCGAGCCTTGGAGGCATCTTCACGACGCGAAGCACCTGGAATTCTCCAAGGACGGATATGAGACCATGCATGAGCAGACTTGAATGTGGCGCACCGGAAGCGAGACTGTCTGCTCTACCGTTGAGTACGCCAACAGCGTCGTAAAATCCAGCCCATGCTGATGCCCTTCGTCCCATTGCTTGCAAAGACTGTTTCGTAGACGGTTGACCGTCTCTCTGACGTGTGTGAGGGCGCGGCTCGTTGTTTCTTGCACCGGCGAAGACACGCTCCTTCAGTGTGGCAGATCTCAGTCGCATCTCGGGCGATATATATATATATATCGATTGGAGGGGGCAAAGCAGCAAGTGAACTGATTCAAGCAAATATGGAGGCGGTCAGATCGTTGAGAGGTGGGAGCCAGTATTTGCTATCGTTTGCACCAATGTGGCGCGTTCTGTTGATTTCCATACTCCCAATCAACTACGCTCGTCCTCCGCCCGTGAAACCAATGACAACTCAAGGACTGCCTATCACAGCGTTCATAGATATTCCCCAACTTCTGGATGTGCTACACGATGCGCTCAAAGGTACTAAGGTTTTCCCAAAACCACCTCACGTTGGCAGTGGCGTCCACTGATTTTTTTGTAGCACATCAGGATCTTTGGTTTGCAGGTCTTCTGCACGGGAATGTATGCCCCGGTAATATAATGATAGTCGATTCCCAAGGAACTAGTATGGGCTGCCTGCTAGGTGCAGATGGCGGGGTGACTACGGACCAACGAGCTCTTCCTGGGCAACACCAAGTGGAAGAACACGCAATATGGGACCTCATGAAGTATGCGAGAAAGAATTATGACTTAGAAGTTACGGATGCAGATGCGAAAAAGGTTCTGTCGTTTTGCGACGATGTCTATACGGATCGTTTTTGGGCAGACGCCCAGGAGGCATGGGCAGACAAGGTGCGCGAACTTCGACCTCGCACTATGACGTTGCTGACCTGAACCAAGTTCTGCGTGGACGACTTAATCGCTTCGGTGCGCGCTTTTCCCTTCCAACGTGATGTCGTTGATGACGGGTACGACAGCGCCCCTGGCCCTGGTTTGATGACCGCGTTGTCGAGGCGGCGCAGCGCGCAGTGAGTGAGTCTAACTTTGCGTTCCGGGTTCGCTCAGACGTTTCCGGTAGGGCACGAAATTGTTCATGAGCGCCGAACTCTTATGGACAGATAAAATGCCAACATCACTGAAGACAAACGGGGGCGAACGATATTCCATGTTGGAATATACCATCAAGGACGGGGCCGTTCTCCATGACATGGAGGCTTTCTTATTGGTCCTTGTCTACCTTTGCATCACATGCAACGGCTCGGGCGACTGCCGCGGACAATTTTACGAGGACGAGTGGCTGTCGTACCTTGCCCACTCGCTGTTCGATTATGACTTATCTGATGATGCCGAACGTCTGCTTCGTCTACGTGGTTTTAATCAGCTTCATCACCAACGGCGCTCATTATTCCGATACGACACGATGACGAGCGACATCCTTCCCGTATTTCTTCCCCAGATGATCTGCTTGCAAGAACTTGCGCTCAGATGGTGGCGAGTGCTCAATTTTTCGTATAAGAGATTCAATCGCTTCACGCCGGGAGTCATACACGATCAACTTATAAAGATATTGGACGAAGAATCGGCACGCGTCAAGATCATGCTCTCGGAAACAAAGGAATCCAGGAGAATCACACCCTCTCCTACGCCTAGCATTGCAGCCATGTAGTCAGAGGAACTTCCAGTTCTCGTAACCTCGGGATATAGGCGACAGATATGCGAGATCTACTCCAGTCGTGGATTGATCTGTTTCTCTATCGTTCCTTTTTGGCTTCGCTGTCCTCCTGGTCTTCCTTGCGCTTCATGATTCTGTAATAGTCCCACATCATCGAATTACCCTATATGGACAGCAACCTATTCATATTGCGACATACACATAAACATATAACGTGCATAATAACCTATATTCAAGCGGCGTTCGGTCCTCAGAACTCATTCATCACCGTCTACTATCATTCTGTCCTGCGCTTCTTGCTACCTTCACTCCCAACGTCAGCCTTCTTCCGTTTCAGACCGTGTCCACTCTCGGTGGCTTCGTTCTCTGCACCCGGTTCAGTGCCGCACTCCCGTTGAACACGCAACGACCGTGTATCCGGAGAGACTGTTCCCGCGGCGGACCCCAGCGACGGGCAAACAGCTCGGGCCTTCCGACGGCGTGACGGTTGAGTAGGCCGCGATTCTACTGGTCGGGAGGTGGAACCCTGCGCCTCCTTTACCTCGCTCCTCTCGGTATCGTTGGGGTTCGCAGAGTCGGGGTACTCTTCGGCTATGCGCGGCGGCCCGGATCTTTGAATCTTTGCCTGGTATCTTGAAGCCATGTCGTCAACCAGATCGCTGGTGAAGGGAGTTGGCTGACTCCGATCGGAGGGAAGCACGCATCCATCGAACCACGACCACTTGCGAGCCCAGAGAAGATCCCAGCGCACTAGTTCGTTCGTTTGTAGCAGACCACCGAGGAGCGCAACACCTATGCAAGGGCTTCAAAGCTCGTCGAGCAGGTCTTACATCATTACTCACCCTCGGGGCTCAATTTGGCTTCCTTCATACGCTCAATCTGGGAGCGCCTAGTCGCCATTTGTGTCTTGAACGTATGCTTTCCAGCCTTCACGAGATGAGGCATCAATTCAAGAAGGCTGATGGGCGCGCGTGAGCTGAGCAGAGCGACCAGTAGATTTCAGACACCTACACGAAGAACATTATCCCTCCCACGCCGTAGGCGTCGCTGCAATCGTTATACAAACCTTTTGTAACTTCCGGCGGCGCCCAATTGGCGGAGCGTGTTACGGCCTGTGTCACGTCAATATTAGCAGCAGCGTGAGTGCGAGTTCACGACGACTAACCGCTCCACACCCGAGAGTCTGATCCATAGGAGTCGAAAGACCGAAGTCCGAGAGTTTGATGCTGAGAACACCATCGTTGCCTTTGCCGAAAACCAGAATGTTCTGTGGTGCGTATGTTAAGTCAGAATAGAGACAGGTAACGGAGTACGTACATCTGCTCTCATGTCGCCATGCAGAATATCTTGGCTGTGCATATACTAATGGCAAGAAGTAAGTCACAGACGGTGCAAAAAGTGGACAAAGCAACCTGCAGGCCCTCTATCGCTTGGGCAACTACCGGCCGTGCAAGTAACTCCGCTAGAGATACGAAGTTTGAATGAGCATGGAGAACCTAAACCGGTAGATGGACGCCTCACATAGCTTCCCTTCCTGTTCAATGTAATCCCGAAGATTCCCGTACCGTGCCAAAGGGGAGACTAGGGCTTCGTCATCGTTTATACATGTGCAAGTGCACTGTAAACGGGCTACTGACCTATCATCGTACCCCCAATCCTGTACCAGTCGTCAAGCCGGAGCACATGCGGATGAATGAGCCGTTCCCAGCGGCGGATGCCTTCGGCGATCTTTCGACGCGTTTCTGAGTTCAGCACCATGGACTTGACTGCAACTGCGCGATCTGTAGCAACGTATTGTGCGATCCTTACTTTCATATCTAGAAGATGACGCATGGATGGTCAACGACAGAGCGAAGCTCCAATGATGTCTTGCGCTTCAACTCACCTCCCACCCCGCCGATGACACGATGGAGCGCATAGCGGCCCTCGTGCAGAGGAGCGTCTTCCACATGTTCCATATCGTGGTATATATACTCTGTAAAGGAGTTAGAGGTATCCGACCGTCGACTTGAGTTATGCGCACCTGTATCGTCAATGCGTACGAGGGCATCTGGCGGCATGGTGCATTGTTCATCCTCCAGAACCTCCTCTCCGTTGACCTGTAGATGATGAGAATCACGTTACAAGACGTTGAATGTCCCCGGATGAGCATCGCGTACGTAAATAGAGGATGGCTCCATCCCTCGCGCTATTCGCATCTCTTCTCTGACACCTCGCGGGGTCTGAATCAGAACCCTCTGCACTCTTGCAATGGGCTTATCAATCCCTGCGCCACCCGTGAGGTCAGGACACGTCGAAAGCATGTTAGATTCACCTTGTGCATCGGTATCGCAGACTCGCCACTGACTGATAGGTTTCTGAAAAACCGCATGCCCCTTGGACTTGGGATTTGAGGATTGCAGAAACCCGAACGGATCGAAGGTTTGTCGTAGTTCATACTTGAGGGAAGCAAGTTGAGCGAAGTTTTTCGACTCCTCCGGATCGCTTTCTGCAACTGGGGCCATCTTGGGCGAGGGTAACGAGACGAAGGTGGGATATGGGCAAGTGCAGCTTATATATGCCACTGGCTCCATGGTGGCCCTGATGTGGCTTTGTTCTTGTCATCTAAATTGTGAAGTTGTATCGTTATTGTGAGCACGACTCGCGTTGCAGCCAATAGGGGGATGCTGTCTGGTTGCACCGGCAACATGGTGGTTAGGAACAAAGCACGAAGTGCGACTACCGGCGTACAACTACCGGTCCCGGAATAGCTGGTGCCACCATATTGCTTCGTGAAGCAATGGCGCAAGAACACTTTCAATCAGACCAATCATGAAGAACCCGGCAGGTGTATAGTCGCGTCTATACAAGTGACATTTGTGGTAAAAAGGAGGACGGAAGATTCGCACAGAAGCAATAGGGGCTGAAATAGTTAAGCTTCGAAAGGTAGGTAAGTAGGTAGATTGCCGACGAGGTCCCGGTAGCGGAACAGCCCGGCCGGTTGCTGCGCTGCACGTACGCCGTCGACAACGTGCCCAGCGGTTTAACGGTTTTCGAAAGGGATCGGCTTTCCTATCGTTCCGTTGACGACTTTGGGATCAGCGAGGCTATCAGTATCCCTCCCCTCCAAGTCCTCCGCGTCGATCCATCGGTGATGATCGAGAATCAGATGACGCCACCGTCTGTGATCTTCGTCCCATTCTGCCACCTCATCGGCTAGGTTGTTCATGAAGACCGGATTACCGTTCTCGCAACCCCAGTCAGTGCTCTGTTCGATGATCCATGACGGGAACGTCCGCATGGCCCTGACGAGGCAGTCCAAGCATCGCCCGTAATCGATGTGCCAGCGCTCAAGCGCATTATAAACTCCACCAGGTATGTGGTGGAACTGGAACTTGAATTGCCTGGCCAGTACCCGAGGCCTTCGCGGTTCCAGGCGCGCCGGGACGACAAGCACGTCAGAACTGACTTCCCTATTCTCCGGAATGCAAAGTCGGTCCATCATGCGCGACTCCTTCAGCGTTCGTCTCAGCGGCCGTGTTCCGGGCATGCATGCGTCCCAGTCCTCGAAGTGCCATCCCTGTGCGTCCACGCCCATTCGTGGTCGAGGATGCCTGGACCATTCCGCCTCGAGACGTTGGTGCTGAAGATCGTTCCGGCGACAATCGTGGCAAGCCGGGGCTTCGTCAGAAAGATCGTTGTATAGGTTGTACAGGTCGCGGACGTCTTCGTTCATCGAATGGGTGAGAATATCGCTGGTGACCACGTGGTGAATTCGTTCCAGGGTGTCCATGACGGGCTTGAGGTTGCTTAGCGGGTTTTCGTCGCTGGAGGCGTCCGCGTGCGGTCGGGGTACGGAACCATCGGATCTACAGGAACGGCGGTGAGTAGACGAAGAACGACCCAAAGGGACAAAGTCGACGCACAAGGCGGGGCTGTCGCAACCAATCTCAGATCCATCGCTCACGGCTAATCGTTCTTCTCGCTGAACATTCAGATGCTCGATATCTTCGAGGAAGGTCCTGGCTTTGGCGAGAACACGGGATAAGTCCTCGTCTGTCTCGGATATAATTCGTCGAGCGCTTTCTATTTCGCCGCACATCTTCTTCAGCCCTATTGCCAGACCGAGAGCGTCAATCCATCGATCCTATGAGATGATTCACTAAGCTCATATCTTACCAGACGTCCTACGTCGCTTAACAGGGCGCTCCTCCACCGTTGGTGGTTCCCGAGCGCGTTTACGAGGTCGCATGGTGCGCGCCGCTCCTGGGGTGTCCAGGTTCGCGGTCGTGTCATCATTTCGGGTTGCCCGAGTTCTCCTGTTAATCACGGGAGGCCGGGATCCTACGAAACGGACACAGCGATGAAAACTTCGACGATGAGTGCGAGTTCCAAAGTGGCATCCTAGAGAACATACCACGTTGAGGCGCGTTTGTTGTACCCGACCGTGTTCCATGAGCGGCGTTGAATGCTTTCTGTGATCGCGGGCGAGGCAAAAGCTGCGTGTCTTGGTGGACGGTGTTATGAATTGCCGTGGAGGCAGCCTCAGCTCGTGCAGCAGATCTCAGTCGCATATCACGTAAATACTACTGATGATACCCAGTACTCGTTGAATGGTGGTGAAGCTCAAGCGAAGGGAATGCAGTCCGTCCTCGTCTGGGTGACCGAGACAGCCACGTGGCAAAATACAATAATTCGACAATAGAGCTGATTTGCAGCTGATAAATATTAGCGACGAATTCAATTCGCGGCCTCTCATTGGTGTGGAGAAGCAAGTTGACCGAGGTTTCCGTAGATAAATATTGGCTGCAAATCAGCTCTAATCATATCGAAGTTTCATCGCATCCTTGCGAAATCGAGTCCGGCATTACATTGCTGAGTTTCTGTTACATCGCTCAGTTACATCGCTAAGGTGTGCCCGCACCGGTCGCATTCCATGAGGATCAAGGTTCAGGTAGCGCGCAGGCACTGGCAAGATTATCCGAAGATTACAGTATAGTACAAATGATAAACAAACACTCAACCGAGTACTATACGTGGTCGTTCGTCCGATCCAGAGCTCATCAACATCAACATCAAAATCGCATAACAAACGTCTAGATTCGGAGAAGCGCGCTCGCTACGTATTGTTCTCAAGCTCAAGCTCAAGCTTGCTGCGGGTTCTCGTGCGGACGTTGTGACTGGTTCACGGCGGGCGGTGGGCCGGGAGGCGGTGCGTACGGGGAACTCGCGTACGGAGAGCTGGCGTAATCGGGTGGCGGGGCACCAGCTCCTGACCCGACGTCGTAGGGGGCGTATCCTCCCTTGCCAGATGGTGGAGGACCAGCGGGCTATTATTATACGTATCACCGTATCAGCATCAACGCGCCCTGGAATAAAGTGTGATACGAAACGCACCGGTGCAAAGCCACTCTGCGGGTTGTACGCCCCATAATCGCCGCCCACCGGTCCGCCGCCCCAATGCGTCTGCGGCGGGTACTGCGGCGGACTCGTCGCGTACGCTCCGGCTCCGTTCACTCCGTATCCGCCGTACCCCGAGTTCGGGAAGTTGTTGGGATTGGTGTTGACGTAGGCCAGATTGGCCTGCTGGATCCTCCTCCTGCGGTAGAACGATAAGCCGCTGAGGAGGACGACGAAGCCGACGAAGACGGCAATGGCGATCGCGATGCGCGCGCCGGTGGAGAGGCGGCAGCGCTCGTTGCCGAACTGGTCGATGAAGCAGTTGGCGGCGTGCGCGGGAGTCGAGAGTGCGAGGGCGATGAAGGTCGCTGATAAAGCGTATGCTGCGAACGTTGCGAGGTATATGGTCAGTGAAGAAGTCGAAAAGGAGGATGGGCTTACTCGTCATATCAGTGTCAATTATGAGGTGTTAGGGAATGGTTCGGTCGTTTCGATCGTGACGAGAATAGCAAGGAAGCTTGGATATCGTTAGCGGTGGTGGTGGTGAGAGACAAAAGGTGCAAACCCTGCGCAGCAGGTCGAGGATGGTTTGTCTCAAGGGACTGCAAAGCTATAAAGCCAAGGCCTCAGGGCCAGCCCCACAAGCGTGACGGCACGGTCGCGCCCTGACTAAGTGCATCACGTGCTTGAGCGCACCGCAATTTATTATCATTCCGTTGTCTCCCGCTGTGCCCCGCTGTGCCGCTGCGGGCCTACGGTCAGTTGGGTGAGTTCTTTACCTGAACCCTGAATATTGCAAAGCATCCAATACGAGAATGGCAGTGTGTTGCAATGGCGAACGTGTTATCAACATGTATGAATTCACATCGGGCAGCAATAAATAGAGAGTGCCAAGGTTTTGCAAACGGAGCATCGCGCTCGGCGACGACGACGACGGCGCTCGCCTCCCCTTTTCCTGACTCATCATGCAGTTTACTCTCTTGACAGTGACTTGAACTTCTTGCTTGGCTCGAGCTTTGACTCCGCCGTCGCGCGCCAGCGCTGACAATATAATACAAAAAACTAACAAATGGGACCCCTCAAGCTTGCCGTTGTCGGCGGCGGACCTTCCGCGTTCTACGTCGCGTCCCGACTGCTGTCGCTCGTTCCGCCCGCTCATCCATCCGCAAGCCAGCTGAGAGTGCATCTATATGATCGGCTGTGGGCGCCACACGGCCTGGTACGGTACGGTGTCGCGCCAGATCACCCGGAAGTGAAGGTACGCCGCACGAGCGTTGTTGGTTGGACCTGGGTTTTCATCTGATCCTGATCCTTGTTCTTGTGCTCCTTTTTAACCCTTTAGAACTGCGTACACAAGTTCGACGAGGCAGCAAAGGACGGCCGGCTCAAGTTCTTCGGTAACGTGAACATCGGCGGCGTGCCGACAAATGCCTCGCCGGCCGCGCTTTCCCTACCGCTCTCGACCCTCTTCAAGAATTACACCCACCTCCTTCTTGCCTCAGGTTGCACCGTCCCCATTCTTCACCCTGCTCTGCCTCCCTCAGACCGTTGTGTGCCCGCCCTGTCCGTCGTGCACTGGTACACCGCCCATCCCTCGCGCCCACCCCCACCTCCGCTCGATAAAACGAGCCACGTATCCGTCATCGGGCACGGCAACGTCTCCCTCGATGTCGCTCGCATGCTGCTCACCGACCCGGCGATACTCCAGAAGTACGACGTCCCAGAGCACGTGTTAGAAGTGCTACGCCGTTCCAGCGTGAAACACGTCTCCATCGTCGGTCGTCGCGGGCCGTTCCAGGCGGCGTTCACGACGAAGGAGCTGCGCGAGATGATGAACCTCTCCGACGCGTCCATGGTCCCGCTCGACCCCTCCGTCCTGGAACCTCTCCCAGGGGAGACACCCACCCGGCAGCAGACGCGCACGCTGCAGCTTCTCCAGAAGGGCTCCAAGAACGTGTTCGGGACGACGCCGAAGACATGGTCGCTCGACTTCTTCCGCTCCCCAACGGGGCTCGCCTCGTCGCCGGAATCGGGATCCCTCTCCCTCTCCCTCGCGCACACCGCGCTCGACCCCGCGACGCGCCGCGCGGTCCCGACCGGCGTATCGTCCGCGCTCGCGACCGACCTCGTCGTCACCTCGCTCGGGCACCGTGCCGACCCTGCGGGCCCGCTCGTCGACCCGGAGCTCGGGCACGCGCGCGCTGCGGCCGGGCGCGTCGTCGGCCTGCGGAACGTGTACGCGAGCGGGTGGGCCGCCGCGGGCGCCAGGGGTGTGCTCGCGAGCACGATGCTCGACGCGCACGCGGTGGCGGACGCGATTCTGGGGGACTGGAGCGGCGCGCGTGCGACGACGCCGGTGACGCCCGCGGGGCCTGCGCAGGAGGGCGCGGGGGTGGTGGAGAAAGAGGTGATGGCGAGCGGGGAGACGGTGGAGTTGGAAGGGGTGCCGGAAGAGGTGGAGGGCGGTGTTAGGGAGGGAACCGTGACAACGTACGAGGAGTGGAAGCGGGTGGACGAGGAGGAAGTGCGGAGGGGAGAGGTGAAAGGCAAGGAGCGGGAACGCATGAGCTGGGAGGAGGCGCGCGCATTCTTAAGCAAGGCGTGAGCATGACCAGTATTTCCACCAAATCGTCGAAGTCACCACTCAGCATCGCTATCGATCAGTATCATAATGTCCGCAATGCACATAGACGCACGATGTTTATATAAGGACGGCTCCGAACAGGATTAGTGGTTTGTGAAAACAATCAATAGCCACTGTGTACCGCCTGATGATACATTGGATGTCTTTCTTTCTCGATAGCAAAAGCAAACACTGCAGAGATCCATCGACCGAACCCGGCCCTCAGCAGTCCAGTGCCGCGACGCGTCCTTCGAGGAGCGGGATCGCCTTGGCCGCGACCGGATTCGTCGCGTTGATCTGGTGGTAAGCCGCGATCGCCTTGTGCACGTCGCTCGCTGCCTGCCCGCGCCACTCGTCGGCCGGGTGGCGGAGGACGTAGTCGCAACTTTCCAGCGAGGCGAGGAGGAGGACCTGCCCCAGCCACACGTTCGCTGTCGTGCGCGCATATGAGTGCCCGAAGCGATTGAGAATGGAGAAAAGGCCGACGCACCGATGAACGTCTCGGGGTAGATTCGGAAAGTCTCGAGCCAGCGCGCGATGATGCCGTGCACGGCTTGCGCGAACATCTCCTTCGCGTACGCGTACTCGGGCGTGCCGTGCACGTAGCGTTCCGCATAGCCCCTATGGAGGAACATGTGCATGTGGTGATACTCGAAGGCGAGCTTCATCGTCTGGTGCGCGACGCGCGGGCTTGCGGCACCGAAGTGCCACCCGGGGCTCTCCTCGCTCAGCGCACGGGGAAGCGCCGCCTTCCACGCGCGGATCGCCTTGTCGAGCAGGAGCACCTCCGAGGGCGGGAGGTGGAAGGAGCGGTTTGCGACGACGCGCTCCATGATGTTGGCGAGCTGGTACAGGGCGAGCTCGTACTGTGCGTCGGTCGAGGGCCCGGTGGAAGGCGGCAGGGCAGAAGCCGGGCGCGGGTAAAGTTGCGAAAGGGGGATGCCTGGCTGGCCGAAGGTGAGCGACAGGTAAGCTTCTTGGAAGACTATGTAGCGCCTGCGTGGATCATCCGTTGGTCGAGCCGAATATTCATGATGGGCGAAGAAAGGACACGTACCAGAGCCGCTCCTTGTCCTCCTCTTCGCCGGGTTCTTGTAGGAGAAGTACGGTGAGACGGAAGGTCATGCCGTGCAAAACCCAGGTGTCGCGCGGGCGGTCTTCATGCATGAGGTAGAGCTCGAGCCAAACGAGCGCGGCGACGGAGTGCACACTCGGCACGCTGAGAAAGCTCGCCGCCCTGAGTGCGTGCCATGCAGCGCTCGCGAATACGCCCGCTGTCGCCCGTGCTGCCCTCTACAGAAGGCACATCGATGAGCAAAAAGTGAGCGCAACGGTGGCAGATGGACGCACCTGTCGCGCCTGGGTGTTGGTTTCGCCGGGAAGGATGTCGTACGGCATCTTCTTCACGCGTTCATCGCCGCCGGAGAAGAGTATCCCGAGCGAGAAGACGGCGAAGAACATGGCGAGAGTCCCGGGCGAGTAGCTATTGCGGGCGGGATCACCGGGTGGGAGCGCGTAGTAGGCTTCGAAAAGGGCGACAAAAGAAGACCGCGCGAATACAGGATGTGTGCAGTCGATGTGCGTCCAGAAGATGCTTAGGATCCTGGCGCGAGGTAACGTCAGTGAATGGGTTGAGCGAGAGAAGAGGGACAGAAACGCTCACCTATCCGCGCCATCTTTGGTGGGCAGGATGTCAAACAACGCCCCGATGTCGTCCCCCTCCCAGAGGCTCGAGAAGGGAAACGCCTTCGGCTCGTCGAGCAGACCGCCTTGGGTGTATGCGGCGAGCGGATGCGGCGTCGGTGGCGGAAGGTGCACCCAGAACGGCGCGGGTTCTTCATGCGGAGATAACACACGAGTATTTCCATTAGCGTCTGATGATAAGAATGGGACGGTACTGGAGGAGGGTGAGGTAGGGGAGGTAGGGGATGGAGGGCCGGCAGTGGTGGTGGCGGAGGTGTCTCCTCGTCGGAGCTTGACGAGAGTCGTTTCGAGGTCTCGAATCTGTGTGTAAAGTGTCAAATATTGGACCGAGAGGTATAGGAAGCGGGCGTACACGCGCTATGAGCTTATCGCGCTCTTCGCTGGGTAGATCGGCGTTGGGTTCCTCGGTCTCCCAAATGCATGCGCTCGGCTCGCCGCGCTTGACGCAGCCGTGACACGGACGTGCGCGGTCGCACTGGAGCAGGAAAGCGCTCACAGGTGAGCACTGCGTAAAGCCCTGTTATCTTATCATCAAGGTATACTGACTTTCACTTTTCGTTTGTGGCACGGTATGCCTGGGCGTCCGAGATTGAGCGCATATACTCGTAGCATAGTCGGAAGAAGAGACTCCACGCACAGCTGTATGCTTTTCGCGTCCGCTTGTTCTTGCGCCAATCGCCGTTGCTCGATTTGGCCTTGGGTGGCGGCGAGTTTGAGTCGGTCAATTGGGGTTTCTGGTCTTCATCGTGCGGCGAGGGCGCGAGGCTGGATATATGCGTCGAAGTGGGTTAGGACCCGTGCTAAGGAGCTTGGCGTACCTGGATGGGCTGCTGGCACATGCGGGCCGCGAGGGTTGGTCCACATCCATTTAACACCGATCTCGGGGTGACGCTAGCGGAAACGCCGTGTATGCTAAAGCTTGGCGTTAGAGGGCGTTTTGCACCGCGACGTTGAAGTGTACCTTGCTCGTTTTTCCTCTCTCTTGATCGTTTGGCGAGCGGGGGGAAGCGGGAGAAGGGGCCAGGCTGTGTTGTCAGCAGAAGTCGCCCGTAAGCTTCGTTGCCTTTTGGCATTTTGGCCTCAACCTCGTGCAGCGTGGCCGTCTTTGTCGGTTGACTCGGCTCGCTCGGGAACTGGTCGTGTGTCGGGCTGAGAACAGAATGCATGTAGAGATGGAGGTGGCGAAAGACGAGTGATGCAGATGTAACAAATTCCGTTGCCGGTAGTCAGTAATTCCGGACGCCTTATCGCTTTTCTCTACTGAACACTCTTATACGCATATCAACGCATTTATGAGCCTGAGAAGAGTTCGTCTTGAATCTTGATCACTGTGTTGGTTCATCTTCAACGATCGCAAGTATGTTGCTACGTCAATTGCCCGGTCTGCAGGCTATTATAGTCTAGAAAAGGAATCCCGACATGAAATATCGTATGCCAGGATCAGAGTATTCTTACGCCTACTCCGATTGGCATAGTCTGCAGGCCAGGATCTATCACCTTCCTCATCGCTTCCCTGCGCGTCCATACCGTGCATCGGCAGGGAAAAATTGTGATTATCACTGGCTTTCGGGCTCTTCCCTTCCCGACAAATAGCACTATCGCCTCCCTCGTCGCTTCCCCGACCTGCCCCCTTCGTTCCTCGGCGGTGGAGATGGTGACTCGGAATCGCGACTCGCGGGCACAGGGTCACCCTGCAGAGGATCCGGAGACGATGGCTCGGAGGAGGAAGCGCCCGAGTTGGGCCGCGAGGGTCCCCCAGAATACGGCGGGGGCCGCTCTCTCGCGACGACGGGCTTCGCGGGGCCGGCTGCAGGAGAGGGGGAGACGGTATAAGGTACCAAGATGCGGTCGTCCGTTTGTTCGGTCATCGTGGGGAGGAGGGCGGCGCGGTTCGTAGGTGTGACCGTTGTTCGTCGACGTCTGCGTAGGAAGACGAAGAAGGCAGCTGCGACTGCGGCGAGAAGAACGAGGGCTCCCGCTGTCGAACCGCCCGCGATGGCGCCGACGTTGGCCTTGGATTTGCGGTGAGAGGTATGGGATGGCGTAGTAGAGGCTGTCATTGGAGACGACGAGACGGCATTGGGCGCGCCAGAGGGTGGCAGGCCGGATGCCGAGGGGCTCCCCGACGAAGCGGTCGACCCGTTCGCCGGACAGATAGATAGGTTTGCGTTCGGATTGGCGGCGAATTGCGTCTCTACTTCTTCCCGCGTGTACGTATAATACCTGATCGATGGCGCATGCCACAGTCAAATACGGTTCCTCTCGCACTGGTAGGTCATGCGCGCGCACCACGGGCCATCAGACCAGAATATGCTGTATAGCGGCGGAGGGATGTTGATCCGCTCGTTACACACCGCTTCCTGGATGTTGGTGGGTAAGGAGTCGTTTACGGCTGAGGCGCGACAGCTGCCGAGGTAGAGCTGGTAGCTCCCCGGTACGGGCGCATCGATGCCGTTCGGATCTGCGAAGCTATTTCCAGCCTTCTGACAGCTGCAATGGCGAAGAAGTCACGGGTAAGCAATTACATCCACATAGTCGATGCCCGGGACACGGAACTGAGATAGTGAGCTCACTTGAAGCAGAGCATCGAGAGCGACCACGCGACCGAGTTGCAGCAACAGTCGTGCACTTGGCTTGTGACGCCGTCGCAGCTGTCGCCGGGGACAGCGCTGGAGAAGTCGCCTACTTCATCTGATGTTGCAGGTGCAACAGGATGAACACATAATCTGGCCCATGGAAGGAATGTCAAGCAAGCGACACTCACACAAGCTATCGCAAATCTGGCGCAAACGCTGGTACGTCGCGCACGGCGTTTCTCCCACTTCTTGAGTATACCAGTCGGTTTGGTTGGTGGCGCATGTCGTACCCGCAGCCGCTAAGGAGGCAAGGAGAGGTATCTGTAGTAAGAGAACGCGCCACATCCGACGCCAATCTTCGCGGTGAGGGAGTCAACTGGAGGAAGACCGCTTGCAAGCAACCTCTCGACAACGGAATCGTCTAGTAGGCATGGCTTTATAGTTCGGTAAGTATACCGAATCGTCCATCAAGGCGCTGATCGAAGGTGTGGCTTAATTGCGGCACGGGTGGTGAAACAGAATCGCGGATAGCACGGTCTATATGGAAGAGAACAACCAGCTCAGCGAGAGCATACGGACGACATCCATGTGATGTTGGGAGAAGAAAAGGCTTGAAAGGGTAAACCTGGTCAGTCATATTTAGAGCTGATCGATCACATCTTCCCTCTGATCAAATCTAACCCAAGTTTATCATCAACTTGGCCCGATCTCTGATCTGATCATACTTGAGCGCTTGAGCATTTACGTACTCGAATTGCCGCTTGTACTTTGCTTCTTTGTATGGAGTCAATTTGATCGGATGCAGCGCTGACTTTCTCAAGTAATTACATGCATACGCTATAGTACGCCTTGCGAACGCGCAGAAATGCTTTGTCGGGTGGGCCATCAGACGTTTCCACCTGATTCGCCTCTGCAAAATTGAAATATTATTCGTACCCAATAGCGTGAGCGGATTTTCGCCGGCAAATAGGGGCTCGTGAGGGGCTCCCTTGCGACCGGTTTTCTGGAGCCATCGTTAGGGTGCTCCGTCTTGTGAGGCCGGCTTCGACGACGGACGTCGTCGTCGGTGAGTACATCCCAGTCCGGCGTCAAAGCGTAGATCTAATCATCTGGAAGGGTGACCAGCCGGATCCATAGGGATGTACAACCAGCCTCATTCGAGCGGTCAGGCGCACCCCTACGGCCCCACGTCGACAAGTCAAACGGATTTCGTGCCACCCGCAACGGCTCAGCACGCATATACACAGGGTCATACAGCGATGGTTCAACACCCATATATGCAGGGTACTCCGGTGAAGAAACCGCGGCTTTCGGACGCGTCGTCGTCGGTGATTGACCACAGCGCCACTGGGTGCGCGCCGTTCGTGGACTACGGAACAGGACAGCCTCAGCCGCCCCAGGTGAGCACCTATATATGTCCCTCTCCAAGATACCCTCCTGAATCTGAAATCTTCTCGATCACAGAAGGGCCCCTTGAGCGCGAACTGGCGACCTTCTGCCGCGTCCGAAATACCGCCAAGCATGATCCAGGTTATCCCTGCACCGCCCACCTCCGTAGACACTCACCCGCCCTACACACACCAACAACCACACCTGCATGCGAAAAGCCCACCGTACGGGCACACGGCATCTTCACCCAGCTCGCGCGTCTCAAGTCCGGCCTCCGTTCTCTCGACCTTCTCCGCCTCCACCTCTGCGAGTCACTTCTCCTCTACGCAATATTTCGCCCAGCCAGTACCTCCTCCTCCCGGGCAATCTGCGTTGCCGTCTACGCGGTCGCACTCCACCACCCGGTCCCTCTGGTCGCACGTCGCGCGTCCTCCCGCCCTCGCTCCTGTCCCCGCTGCCGCCTCCATGTCCATCATCACGCCTCCACCCACACCTCCCTTCTACCGCTCGCAAGCCGGCTTTTCTACCTCGTTCTCCTCCGTCGCCCCCGTCGCTCCATTCGCGCAGCCCCATCCGCCCGATCGCGCCCACCAGCTACGTAAACCTTTCAAAGAAGTACGATTCGCAGAACCGGTAACGCCGACAACCTTCAACATACCCCGCAACGCCACCGCCATCTTGCATACCTACATTGCGCCAGCACCAGCAGCCACTATGCAGTTACATCGTCCCGCCAGCACCTCGTCGGCATCCTCTCACCCGGCGCCTTCCCCCACCTCCTCCTTCCATACCAGCGCCTCCGTTACGACATTTCCGGCCCCCTTCACCACCACGACCTTCCCCACCACCACTTCTTCGCCCACCCCGTCGACGGGCTCCTTCCCCTCCAACACCCTCTCCCCGTACTTTCCCATCCTCCGCCCTACCACCCCCACCTCGCCCTCTTACCCCTTCCCCGCCGACCCCGCATTCGACGCCGCCGTCCGTACAGCGCTCTCCCGCAGCGCCACGATCCGCCCGCACTCCGAGCCGCCATACTACGTGCGCGTTCGACGGGAGCGTGCGGCGCTGGTCCGACGTCAGAAGCGCGTAATACGCGAAGGCGAGCAGCAAGCGGGGGAAGCGAAGGAAAGGGACGGAGAAGAGGACACGACCGCGTTATTCCCGTTCGTGACACCGACGGGCGAGGTCGTCTGCGACATGGTGCGCGGCGGACGGGCGGGCGTGCAGGCGCGGCAGGGCCGGGCTGCGTCCAATGCAGGCGGGGCTGCCACGGGCGAGAGCGAGGCGACATCGGCATCGGCATCAGATGGGCAAACCGTGGGCGCCGGGTCGGCTAGCGGGAAGCAGGAGAGCGAGGGTGGAAAAGGAGACAAGGTCGTCATCGACCTTACGGCCGATGATGACGACGAGGAGGGGCAGGAGGAGAAGCTCGAGTACCCTCCTTCGGACGACGACGGGCCTCCTGCGCCGTCCGAGCCCAAGCTCACGCCCGCGACCCCGTCCGTTCTCTCCTTCGCGCGCGAGGCCATCCAGCTCGCCCCCCACCGCCGGCTGCGCGTCGCCGACATCTGCGCGTACGTCGCCGCCCTTTACCCAGCCGCCGCCTCCACCGACGAAGAAGTACGGCGTTCGCTCGAGGCCGACGCGCGGTTCACCCGCACGGACGTGATCGGCGAGGAGTTCTGGAGCGTCGCAGAACAGGGGAAGGAGGGGAGCGCGGAGGAGGAGGAGGAGAAGCCAAAGCCAAAGCTGTCGACTGCCCGTAAGCGGCCCCGCACCCAGGCGGCCTCGAGGAGTGCTCACAGGCCCCGTCCGCAGGACGCCGCTCACCCGCCTCGGCAGGTTGACCCGCTCCCGAACACGCGACTGTCGATCGTTCCCGACGGTATTGCAATGCCGTGCGAGACCGCGGGGTGCGCGAACATCGTTCCACCAGGGACGATGTGGCCGCGCTGTCCGGCATGCAGCCTCGCGCGGTGGAAAACGCGCAGGAAGTCATCCTCCACATCACCCCAGCGGAAGGTAAAGCTCAAGCTAACGCTGGGGCGTAAGCGCCGGCGGTCGGGCGCCATTCGGGGCTGGGACAGTGATTTGTCCGAGTTGACGCCATCAGAGGATGAAGTCGATGACAAGGAAGAGGCCGAAGACCGTACGCGGGCGCTGGCAACTGAATTGGACAAGGAGGCCGGTGATCTGAGGGAGTTTGTGGGCAATCCACTGCCTCCATCGGTGGACCGGGTTAGCGAAGTGACGGAGGCGACTGGTACATTGGCGCGGATGACCGGCGATCCAACGGAGACCGGTCGTAATGAAACCGTCGCGCCTGCGATGAACGATCATCTTGTCAAAGCGGATATCACTACAAAGCCGTCTGCAGGGTCTAGTTCAGCGGCATCTGATGTCAGAGCAGGAGGTAACCCTTCTGCAGCGGACGACCATCTCATGCTTCCAGGCGAAGATTCCAACTCCGATCTCAACCCTCCAACGAAGGCGGACCCCGTCGCCCGGCCGCCATCTCGTCCAGGCGAACTCGACGATGGTAGGCCACCCAGCGGGCCGTCTTACGACAACCCCGTACTTTCGATCAAGCTGCGGAAGTGCTCTGTTCAGAGTTGTACAAACTTAATCCCGCCGACGACAAAGTATCCGTGGCACATATGCAAGGCGTGCAGACATGAAGGGACTCCTACTCCAGGCTCCGTCCCGCGCGACCCTCACAAAGAGGTATACATAAAGCCTAACAAGAAGGTGGATGCCCAGCACAACCGGGCCAGGCGCTCGGTGTGGACAGAGGTAAGTCCGTCGATCCTTACCTACCTAGAGCATCGCCCGACGACAGTACCCCTCCTGCAGTACCCGCAGCCACAGTTCCATTATCCGCCCTACCAGCACATGGACGCCCTCATCGGCTCACTACGTGCACGCCTCTCGGCATTCCTGCACAACTTCTTTCAGCTGCAGGCCGCAGCGGCAAAACCCCATCTGCTCAAACGCGCCAATTTTTTCGGTTTCGACGGCGAGAATTCGGTGGTGGTCGACACTCTCGACGCGCGTTCCTATGCGCCGTTGCATCAGGCGTGGGTCATGATCCAGGCCGCCACCGGTTTTCCCCTCCAGTACGTATACATCCTTCGACTATGGTCAGGACACAGTGGTTGAAGTACGATGAACACCGCTAGGCTGGGGACCGTCCGCGCTTTCGGAAAGGATGCTTTCGTACAGAAATCGGCTTGCGTTCACGAAATGCAGCTACCGACTTCACGGTCCGCGAGCGGCGAAAGCGCAGTGAAGCCCATGGTTTGGAAGATGTCCGCGCGCCTGGAGCTCGCCATCATGCCGGACAACGGACATCCTTACTTTCGCGGGAGGAAAACGGCTGTTAGATTCTGGCTCGTCATCGATGTCGATGGGCCGAAGCTAGTTCAGAATCCGAACCATAATAACCGCGTAGTGGAAACCCCCCGTCTCAACCCATCGCTCAATAGAGGCTGAAGGATTCCGTCCAACGTTGCCTCAGTCCCAAGTGCACTCTCCACAAAATCTTTCGTCTTCTCATCTTCATCGTGCTTTGATCTCCGTTATTTTGCTATCCTGCATTGTTCCACCTATTTCTGCAGTGTACATCGTGTAATGTAATCTATATCACTCGTGCCGTAGTCAATCGAGGTAAAATACATCACCAGATCCTCTCGCTACTCCTCCAACTCGCCCCTGTCCCTCATCGTTTTCCATCGGTCGTAGCATTCGAGCGTGACCGTCGCCAAGAACCCAGGTATGCATTGCTCCTTTTCTATCCAATTGCGCATCCACTGCCCGAGATCCTCCGGCCCGCCCTCGCCCTGCGCGACGAGCTGCATAGTCGCGCTCCCCGAACCGTCCTTCGCGGGCTGGAACACGAACGAGCACGAGAGGTCGTACCGCGACGTGACGCGCACCTGGCCGTTCGGGTAGAACGCGAGCTTGAGACCGAGCACGGCCGCGATCGCTTCCTTGAACTCGGCCGACTTGGCGGTGAACACCTGCTGCAGGCGCAGGAGCCGCTTCTCCTTCTGGCGTACGACCTCCTCCAGCTCGCGCTTCTCCTTCTGCACCACCTCCCAGCTTGCACGCGGCACGAGCTCGCCTGCGCCCTCGCCTGCTTCATCTTCTACCTTCTTCTCGTCCTTTCCGTCCTCGTTCGCCTCATCCTTGATCTCCTTGCGATGCGCGGCTCGCTCCTCCAGCTCCCGCAATCGCCCGAGCAGCGCCTCGTTCTCGCCCTTTAGTCTGTCCATCACCTCCTGCCGCAGGTCGGTCCACCGCTGCGCTGGGTTGTCCCGCATCTCCAGTACGCGCACCCCCGGCGGAACGTGTCGTCCGCCGCCAATCTCGCCCTGCAGCTCAAACAATCGCTGCTCGAGCGCGTCCATCTGTTTTTCAAGCGCCGCGATCGTCGTGCGAGCATCTTCCAGCTCTATTGCCATCCCGAAAAATTGTAAGAGACAGTCCGTTGGAGTGGAATGAGCGAACGAACCTCGCTCGGCCGTTGTGCGTGCGGCCCGCTCAGCATCCAATGCCACGCTCAACTTCTGGTGCGCCGTCCCGCCTGCCGGCGCCGTACCCGTCGCTTGCTCGAGCGCCCGGTCAAGCTCGGATTGCAGCTGGTCGTTCAACGTCTTATACTCCGCAAGCAACGTGTCAAGTTGTGTCACGCGCTGGGTTTGTGCAGCGTCAGCCGCAGCCGCAGGGGATTGTTGTGCCGCCTCTTCTGCGTAACTCGCCTAAACATCTGGGTGGTCAGCGAGGGAGAGTAACGCAAGGAGATGTGGACTGACCAGGAGAGCTTTGAGACCTTCGACTTCGCGCGCCGCGACGGCGACGCGCTGTTCGCGTCGCGCAATCTTGTCTTTGAGGCTCCGGATCTGCGGTTCCATCTGTTCGACCATTTCCAGAATCTCATTCTCCCGCCTTTCCGCCTATCGACGCGAGCACGTTCATCAGAAACATACGTTACTGAGAGAGAGGGAGCGATCATGCATACCTCGGCCAGCTGCGTGTCCCGTAGTTTCAGGAGAGCAGACGTGGAGCCATGCTCTTCGAGCAGCCGAGCATGATTGGTCCGGAGCACTTGTAGCTCACGGGCGGCCGTATTCGAGGACTGCGAGGCCGAGAGGGAGAGCGCCTGAGATGACGCCGCCGCTCTGATCCAACAAAGCATCAGAACGAGACACATGAGAGTGTGCAAGTATACGCGCACCTCGCTGCCTCCAACTCGCCCTCGAGCCGCACGACGCGCTCGCGCATTTCACCCATCGCTGCAAGCTTGCGCTCCAGCTCGCGCTTCTGTTCGCGCACGACCTCGACGCTCTCCTTCCGCTCGCGTAGCACAGCGAGCTCCTTAGACATCTTGGCGTTCGCGCCTTCAAGCTGGCGAACGTACGCCGTCTGGCGCGAGAGCTCTTCGCGGACGACGGACCACGTCTGCGTGTCGGCCTCGGTGCGCGACGCGTCTTGATCGCGAGCGCGCAGGTCATCAACCTCATCTTGTAGCGCAGCGAGCTTGTGCGCGCGTGAGGTCGCAAGCTGCTCCGATTCGGCTAGAGCACGCTCGAGCGAGGCGAGCTGGGTATTCAGTGTCGAGAGCTGCGCGGCCTGCGAGGAGATGGTGTGTGAGGTCGAGCGGGAGAGCGAGGCGTGGTCTTCCTCCAATTCATCGTGTTGCGAGCGTAGGGTGTGCAGCGCCGAGCGTGTTGTGCGCAGGTCGTCTTCGAGCTCGCGCTTGTCCACAATACACCATATCAACATTTACGGATACTCCGCCGCAGAGCGCGATTGATGGTTCACCTTGGTCTGTTCGTGCTCCTTTCGCTCGCGCTCCTTCTCCGTCCGCTCGCGCTCCTCCCGCTCCGCGAGCCACCGCCGGTCCCGCTCCAGCTGCTCGACCTGCAGCTCCTTCTCGCGCAGCTTCGTCTCGAGATCAATGCGCGCCGTCTCGGCGGTGGCGAGCTTCCGCTCGAGCGCGGCGTGCGCCATGTGCGAGGTGAACGCCTGCGAGCGCTGTTGCCGTTTCGCAGTGGATGTTTGCGGGTCTGCGGGTCGAGTGATCAAGATTCAGCTGCGACGCCGACACGTACGAAGCCGAGTCTCCCGATCTTTTGAAGTGCAGAATGCTTACCCCTCTCGAGCTCGGCGGCGGCGGTGTCCCGTTTCTTTGCGGTAGCGGCGGCGGTCGACCGCGCATACGCGCCACCCCCTCCCGCCGCTGTTGCTGGCGTTTTGAATTTATCTTTGTTCATTCCGGAGTCTTCACGCGTAGAGCGAGCGCAACAGCGGGCAGAACTACGAAAGTCGCGGTCAAGACCAAGCGAGTCCCGACACACGTGCTCAGTAGACTGTCGCCGACGTCGGTACGCGCGACGTCGGGATCTTGACGCTTGCAGTCACGACCACCACCTTCTTGCATACTCGTCCGCCTGCTTGCGTTCTCTATCCTCTCTCACTGTTACGTGCACCGAAACGTATTGAAACAGGACCATCGAAGCTACTACATAGCGATGTCAGACGACGAACTCATCGGGTCCGAAGACGAGGAATACACCACGCCAACCCAGCGCAAGAAGGCGAAGGGGAAGAAAGTGGAGGATGCAGAATATCAGATTCATCACGCTCTCAAACCGCCGAGAGCGACAAGCTATAGCGCGCAGGCCCTGTACGGTGCGCCTTTCGCGAAATCCTTGCTTCATGATACTGCACTCTAACTGATACGTGGTTCGAACAGAACAAATACACAATGGCGATATTGAGCTCGAACCGGAGTACCAAAGAGGTCCGTCTCATTCCCAGGGCCGTATGCATGATACCATGCCTCATGAACGTATTGGATAAGAGGTCGTCTGGCCCGAAGTCCGACAAATAAACCTGATTGACTCGCTGTTTCGCAACTTCTACATTCCTCCCATCATCTTCGGTACGTCCTGACTCCTGTCTCCGGCCATTGGTGCCTCAGCCTCTTCGCTCACGCGCATATATGGGTCCAGCCGTCAAATTCCACAGCGATGGCACGGAGCGTCGCATCTGCATCGACGGCAAACAACGACTCACGTCCCTTCACCGGTTCATGGAAGGCGAAATACCGTTCCAGGACATGGACTCGAACGAGAAAATGTACTATAAGGACACTGGCGCCGCTCCCCCGGGCAAGGGCAAGAACAAAGTCAAGAAACTCGTGCCGGAGAAGTATCGCCGCATGTTCGCAAATAAGCAAATCGTCTGCGTGGAATACTCGGATCTGAAGGATGAAGACGAGCGAGAGATCTTCAAGGTGCGTTTACTTATTGCGACGTACAGGTTGCCCCTACATTACGTCACTAAATCATTCGCCAGAGAGTTCAACTTGGCCTGGCCCTTACCCCTGCTGGTACGTCTCTCCTACGATGATGTCCTCTTCCGACTCAGTCTGACCGACGTCTTAGAGAAACTGCGCGCCATCTCCTCCGACCGCGTCAGATTCATCGTAGCACTCATGGAAAGGCACATCCGTGACCCGTCCCCGCTCGGGCCCGCCACCCTTGACTGGGACCAAAGCCGCGGCTCCGACTTCCGCTGCGTCGCGCAAGCCATACAAGCCTTCACGCGCTACCCCGCGGCTAAAGCCATCCCGACCATTCAAGCGACCGCCAAGTGGCTCTCGCAACCCGACTTCTCCGACGACTTCAAAGAGCAGATGGAGGAGACCTTCACGACCTTCGGCAAGCTCGTCACCATGGCCAAGGGCGGCCGCGGCCAACGACGTCCGTTTGGCGGCCGCTACAAGCACGTGGCACCCGTCGAATTCATCTGCTTAGCACTGCTCATCGCCGTACACAAGGACAAGCTCTCCCAGGCGCAGCTCGCCGCAGCCATCGTCGGTATGCGCGACGAAGCGCGCGAGATTCACCCGGATATCCGCATGAACAGTAAAGTGTCTGGCACCATGATGAAGTACATCAAAGAGATCAAGCCGAGCGATTTCCGCGACGTTGGCGAGGTGGTCGGTACGACGGCGGGCAAGAAGCGGAAGAAGCGCGCCATGGCGGCGAGCGATGACGAGGATTCCGACTACGAGTCAGAGGAGCAGGATGACGATAAAGACCAACTCATGGACTCGTCGCCGCCTTCCAAGGTCCCGCGGCTCCAGCGGCGTTCGAGGTCCAAGACGCCGCCTTCCGCACCTGCACCCGCACCACCCAACCCATCGGTCAAACGAGAGTCGCCCGCGGTCTCAACTGTGCCTCCTGCTTCCGGCGCACGCCCGCTATCCTCCATCCCACCGAACGCTTACGTCGCCTCGGCCTCGCTGCCGCCGAAGCCGATGCAGACCGCTGCTCCGCCTTCGGACCGGCTGGCGCCTTTACGCGCTGTCCAGGCCGCCCGCCAGGCTGCTGCCAGTGCAAGCGCGCCACGGCAACCGCCGCGCGGGCCCGCCGCACTCTCGCACCTCACCGCGCGCGACGGCTCGCTCGTTACCCAAGGGTACCCGCAGCCGCCGTCCGCCACCCCCGCGAACGGGTTAGATCGGGCTCTCGCGGAGAAGATGGGATTCGGTGCGCCTGGTTCCGCGCCGTATTATCCTAATAATCCCTACGCGGCCGGCCTGGGCACGTCGTCGCCGAGGTCCAGCTACTCGAGCGTGGGCGGGTACCCGCCGCAGGACAGGGGCAGGAGGATGAGCGGGAGCGATCCGCGGCATCCTGATAATCCGCCGACCGCTCCTCGATATGATGGAAGCAGGAACGGGAGCGGGTCGTGGGGAAGTGGGACTAGAAGGGACAATCGAGAATATGACAGGGGATATGGAGAAGACTCGGCCGGATATCAGCGGTAACTCTGATTGCTCGCGACTCAAGCTTGGTGTATGTTACTACGACGAAGTATGCGCATAAATATCATTTAGTAGATTGCACAGATCCAGTGGCTTCTGTGTTGGTATTTCTGGTACAGCGTTATTTGCGATACGGTACGGTACATTAACCCACTTTCCACTGCCAGAATGGGCCTGTTGAAAGCGACATCAATCATAACCTATCGGAGTCGAAGGGAACAAACTCACCCAACGGATCTGTCCTCTCGTGGCTCGCCCCGGTCCACAGCCCGATAACACCCATCGCGGAGCCGAGACCGGCGACTTGCACTCCCTCCGTGACCCACTCGTTCTGACCGTTCTCGCTCGTCGAGACCTTCTTACGCAGCGGCACCGTCAGCCTTCCCTCACACTCATAGCCACGGATCCGAGAACGGGACTCACCAGCGACCAGCGCACTTCGCCGTCGGCCGTCATGCGCACGACGCCGGTCATCCTCCGAGGGCTGTTCATCCCCGCCACCGACCCGCGGACGTGCAGTGCAGGCCGGTCGGGCCACGCGGCAGGCGCCTCGCCCGTGCCCACAACCGAGATCGTCATCGGAATGATACGCACTGCCTCGAGGAGAGAGCTGTCCGCGAAGCGCGTCGGCCCTGCATGTAGCTGGACCAACCACTCATTGAGTCAGGGAAGTTCAGGATCACAAGGTGTCTAGAGAGAAAGAGACGACCTACATTGTTCACTGCAAGGGACAGTCAGCTCTCGGACAATACTTTGGACGGTAGTGTGGACACTCACGAACGAGGTCGCGGTAGTCCATCCAACACACGCATCGCCTACAGCTCATGCGTGATGATCATCAGCGACGCGTCGCACTTTCAGAAGGCGTTCTCACCTCCACACTCCCGTCACGCCCGCCCAGTCTTCGCCCACACTCGGCGCCGTCCTCGCACGGACGCCCTCGAGCTGCGTCAGCCCGCGCATCGGGCCCGTGCTCCCGCTCGTGCTCGCCTCGCTCAGATTGGCCTCGACCACGATGCGCGCCATCGCGAGGTAGGCCCAGTCGACGCGGAGGGTGTCAGGCGCGGGAGCGTCCCCTGCCGAGGGCGGCGGCGAAGGCAGTGGATTGTAGATGAAGCCGTCGTCATCATCGTCGCCGGAGCCCTCCGAATCGGACACGTCGGCGAGCGGGGGAAGGTAGTCCGCGTCGTCCGGGTCATCATCCGTGTCGGCTTCGTTTTTAGGGACAGCGGCCCCCTCAGCTGGGGTGGATGTGGTACTGGATGAGGAGCCTGGCTCTGCCGAAACGGGAGGTGTGGTACTAGAGGAGGGGGCGGACTCAGGTCCAGACGCGGACGATGCCGGTGCCGCTGCCTGCTCTTCCGGGCTCTCGACGGGCAAGAACGGGCCCCAGTGTCGCTGGCGCAACAGATATCGCAGGTTGTAGACGTGTATCCGCGCGCGGCGCCGGACGCGCTTCTCAAGCAGGCTCCGGGGGCTCTCCTCGTCCTCGCTCCCGTCCGGCTTCTTCACGCTCCGCACGTGTGCGGGGAGGATGAAGCCCGTGCAGGCTACCATGCGGTAGAAGTCGCGGCCGGCTTGGCTCGTGTGGAACGCGTCGTCGAACTTGTGCCGCGCGCCGTCGGCGTCGGCGAGGACGGCGTTGAGCGCGGGTGGGTAGCCCTTGCGTCCGTCTAAGAGGATGGAGGCGAGCCAGGGAACGTTCGAAGACGACGGAGCTGCGGGCATGAGCGGGGGCTGTGATAGGGCGTGTAGGTCGGGGAGGAAGATGGGATACTTGTTGTAGGAGAGCGGGGCGAGATCGGGAGGGGATGATGAGTCGGAGGAGTCGGAGGGGGATTGATATTTGACGCCCCAGGAGACGAAAGGGGTACTGGTGAGTAGGGTAGATATAAGCGCACTGAGGGTGACGGCGAGAGCGGAGTCGGTCTCCTGACGGGGGGGCGCGTCGGACCGAGTGGATGCGTATAGGTTCTCCTCCTCTGTGGTGGCTGCTGGAGGTACCATACGCGTAAGATATTTCTCTGCTTGTATCCGTGCCCGGTACTGTGCACCCCAGTTCCATAGCTTTGGGAGGTTGCTGTTGGCCATTGGTGTCGGTCCGTCCGTCGCTGCCGCATCCTGGCTCCGTTCTGGAGGGCCGCCGTCGGGATAGACCAATCTCAAGGCTCCATTCAACCTTGGATCATCAAACTTGGCGAGGAATATCTGGCGCCAGAGATGGTGATCTTCAGCCTGGTATACCAGATTTCGAAAGCGACGGCAGGTGGAAGCCAACGTCGAGATAACGGATGGCTCGTGGGCAGCTGCAGCGGTCACTAACGTCAGCTCGACGATTTCCGAAGGCAACGAGAATATCGTAGCCGCCATATTGGCAGCTAAGCAGAATAACAAAGGTCTGTCTGAGTATTTGCAGGACGAGTAGTGCAAAATACAAAGAATAGAGGTTGAAATTGAATCGCAAGCTGACTGATCGTCCGTTGCCCCGTGTGAACGCGAGCTTCGGTTCAAGCTTGCTCTTAACGGTCGTTGTCCCCATCAAGCTGATTGTCATATCCTTCGTTAACACACCCCAAGGGGACAATCGTACACGTCCTAGCAAACAATCGGGAAAACATCGACTTGAATACAATTCAGATCGCTCACATATACCTGCAGCGACAGACGCTGTGAATACAAGTCAGTGAGATGTAGTCACATCGTGGGTCCATCTAGACAATGATTTGCGCGTTAGATATGTCATATCATAGGTCTTCTTGTCAGTCTTCGGATGAATCTTCGACCTCGCAAGGTGTAGCAGTCAACGCAGAGGCGCAGATACTGGAGCACGATACGGACCCCGTACAATCCCTCGACGATCGTATCAAGTGTCTCGGTCTCTCTACCGGTAACGAGCTTCGCCGCCAGAAGAATTCTTTACTGCCTGTCAACCATCTACCTCCCGAGATCCTCCTCGACGTATTCTTCTATCACCGAGACGATCACACTTGCTTCGGTCCTCAATGGGTCAAGATCTCTCATGTATGCTCCTTCTGGCGTGAAACCGCCCTTTCGAGTGCCCGCTTGTGGAACGTGCCTGATCTACTTTAACCCGAGCTAGCTGTGGAAATGTCGCGAAGATCCCGAGGGACTGCGCTCCACGTTCGTTCTTCGCCGAGCAAGAGGTCTTTTTGCCTCAACATCGGCTATATATCGCGTTTAGATCGTTCGTCACCAATTGCTTCGATCGATATGTCCTCCACACAGTCCTCGGCGATCCCAGCAATGCTCTGTGCTCGTCCTGGCCAGCTGTCCCAGCTGAAGGAGATAGCAATCGACTCGTTAGAGACGGGAGGTCAAATTCAAGAAGCCCTGACCGATCGCTATCCTGCCCTCGAGATCATCCGTTTACGCCGATGCAACGCCCCTTGGGACTGCCCGTTGTTTACCACCCCAGTCAATCTGCGCGAGATATACGTATATTCCCCCAACATCATTAAAGGACGATTTAATCGCGTCGTCCGCCTGCTACGAAAGCATCCAAACCTGGAGCATCTCGCGCTGACTCGAGCCCTGCCCGAGGTGAACCTGGCGCGCCATCCTCGAGATGCGGGTCTTTGTCTGCAACTCCCTAATCTCATTTCCCTGTCCATCACCGACGACGTGACTGTAATGGATGCACTCATCGTGACGCTCAGCCTCGAGCTCCCTAAGCTACGCCACTTTCACTTTAACGTCGTGCGGAGCGAGGAAGGGCCCGACTACGCGTACACTCAGAGCTCTAACTTGATCGCTTGCACTCGCTGGGCCTTGGCCCACGCTCGCGGGATCAAAAATTCCACGCTGTCGGTCACATTCGACGCACAGATCAGGATCCTGTGCGGAGCGCCGAGCAGTCCCCAGTTAGTTCGCGCGCTGTGGCCGACATGCGAGACCCCTCAAGAGCTACAGCTCGCCCACGCCTGGCTCGTCGCAAGCTTCGGGCATACGTTCGGCGAGCTCGCGCCCTCATTACTTGAGCTTCACTTCGGCGAGCAGATCTCCGATATCAGGTCGGGAGATTGGAGACGGATGCTGTGCGAAATGACCCAAGTGCGGACCGTGGAGCTCCACATGGGCGGGCGTCTTCCCGTCAGTTTCCTGCAATCTCTCGCAGACTTTGACGAGAAGAAAGCGCGGCTGCTTCCTCGCCTCGAGATCCTCGTCATAAGCGGCGTCTATCTCGGAAACTTCTCTGCCCCGCACCACGCTCGCACGATCGACGACCTCCTGGCCGCATTGAAGCGCCGCGCTCGCGACGGCGTGTTCGAGCGGCTGTATGTTACGGAGGAGTTGAAGGAAGGGGACGAATGGATCAGGAATAGATTGGAAGATGCGATTTCATGGCCGGACCCGAGTCCCTCGAACCCAGGGTAGTGCCTGCCGCTACTGCTGGAAGGCTCCGGCCCCAGCCCACACGGACTTCGGCGCTGTGATAGAGCGGTTGGACCGCATCAACGGGACGCTGGAGCGGATCGGGGGGTCCATCGCGGAGATGGTCCTCCGCCTGTCCGCGCTCACTCAGATGGCCGGTGTGTGCATCGGCCTGTTGAGCGCCGACCTTCAAGACCGCTGGCCGGCCGCCTTCCAGGCCTACCAGCGAGAGGAGCGGCACCTCCGCCAGACAAAGTGCTTGAACAAGCAGGCTCGGTCCAGGGCATAGTTGGACAAGGGGGCGCGTCCCCGAAGAGCGAGGGCGAGAGCAGCGGCGACGACGACGGAGGTCGCTCGGGCCCACCCTCAATTCCTGACTCGAGAACACGGTGTTCCTAAGAAAAGATGACAAGATTTTCATGATCCTTGATGAGATTGCATCACTCAGAGCTAGCGCTATCTTCTGTACTTGACGAGGAACGGTGTACTATACATCGCACACGGCGATAATGCGGTAAGAAAAGGCGCTAGACCGTTGCTAATAAAGAGTTCTGTAGCTCGCACTCGATGTTGCTGATAAAGAGTTCTGTAGCTCGCACTCGATGTGACCATTAGATCATAATTTCCTGCCAAGGTCATCAACACCCCAGATGACCCTACACGGCGTATCCCTCAGATAGCTGTCAACTGAGGGGCTGAAAGATCTGGAGGCTGCACAGAAGTACACGTTTCGAAGCTTGCTCGTGCTCACGCGGCGCTTGAGGCATCCGAGTAAGTCATCGAGGAGGACATAAAAAAGAGGGATTGAAACGAGGGTTTCGAGATTCGGAAGCAACGGCTCTGTTCCTTCCTCGTGATTTGCCAGTTCCTGCATGAACGATAGCGGGATGTGTTCCGAGTCCTCAAATCGCACAACGCGCACTTGTGACATGCCGCCGAGTGTTGAGCGCCAGTGATCTTGTGTAGGGTTGAAATGCCCCCTGATGGATATGAAGAGTGACGAGGGAGAGAGCTCCGCGAGCAGATGCTTGGTAGATATAATAGATTGACGATATAATGCCTCTCTGTCGGCTCGTTCTCTATAGAAATCGCCCAAACCAGTCGATGGCCATAGGAAGTCGATGAGCGGTTCGATATCTAAGCCAGGTTCTCCGACGCAGCATGCAACGCGGTCCCGATCGTCGTAGCGAAGTGCAAGGTTCAGTGGTGCAGAGCGAGCGGCGTGCGTGAAAACAGCGCTCGTCAATGCTCGTAACGGTGCAAGAGCAGTTCGGCGACAAGTGCCGTCCAGTTGCACTTTCACGCGGCATTTGTCGGAAAGACGAATGCAGGAGAGGAAGTGTTGCAACTCGCGCGGATTTTGGTGAAGCGAAAGATACGTCAATTTCTGCAAAATTATTGGCTTCTGGCTGTCCTCCGATTCAATAAGTTCGTCTTCCTCAATGCGAATGGGTAGAGCTCGACGCAAGATGAGATATTCCAATTCTGGTTGTTGCCTCAAGAATGCCAGCACATCACGGAACGAGTGCTGTGTCTGGGGCCCTTCTAGCTCTGTCTGGAGGTCGAGCGTCCGCAACCGGACGGGCGTCAACAACAAGTCTGATGTCCACGATAACCAACATTGAGTCAAACTGAGATGCTCAAGACGAGGATATTGATCGGACCGGAATGCATCTTCCAGATTCTGGTAATGGTGGTCATCGTCGGTTGTGCTCGTCACTGACAGTTGCTGCAGGTAAGACAACTGTCCGGGATGGAAACACAGCACAGACGTGATAGTGTAGATGTTGGCGGTGAGATTGATCGTGTCAATACGAAGCGACGGTGATAATGATAATAGTGCCATAGGTTCGATTTGCACATGGCAGCCATCATTCCAATAGAAATCTTCGTAATCGATATCGTCGGATGTGTTCATCGTCGGCGGGGGACGCGAGTATTGAACATGCAGCGGCGTTCCGCGGGCTCGCTTTATCATCTCCTCAGCCCATTCTGGAAATCGTAAATCCGGACTATCCCAGAGACTCGAGTTGGACAGCGCGACCTCCCGCCAGCGAAGGCAGACATGAGAAACAGCGGTCCAATCCAGTGCGGCAGTACTGAAATCGTTCCGGTATAGCAGGAAAATGTTTTGGAGTATTTCGGGAGGCATTCGGTTGACTGGGATGTGAGCATTCCTCTGGCGGCGAAGGTCGCATAACTCAGCGACGAGCACGTCGATACGGGCGTCGAGGAGTCGGATCGCCTCTGGTATCCCTCTACCGTCTAAGTTGAGTGGCGATGAGGCGGAAATCGACGTAGTTTCTCCCAGACACCGACATGACGAGCAATGAGGTTGCATTTCGTTATGGCTATGTGCCAGAGTGCCAAATGTTCGTTGTCCTTCCGAGCGCTGCAACGTAGGCGAGTGAGGTCCTCCAGCTATCCACCATCCTTTCTCTACTTCTACTAACCGATTCGACCCGATTTTCGCAGATCCTTTGATTTCCTTGCGGTGGATGAGGGAACAGGTCAAGGGGCGCTGTCGACGTACACGCTGCCAGCTGAACGTCGGGTTAGGGTCTCTTCTCGTTGGCGTCGCATTTTGATCAAAGGTTTCGCTTGACCTCCTCCCTTTTGCTCGACGACCCGTCCAACTTCACGTACCTAAGCACCCTGGCAGCCCTTTCGCGCTGTCGCTTTTACGCCAGATCGTTTTAAGGGCAGGCGCCCGCCCACCCAGCTCCACACGTACTCGAATCATGGGCAAACGCAGGCGACACAACCGGGACAATTGGTCAAACCCGTCCTCGAACGTTCACGGTGCCTCGGATGCGAGGTCTTTCAATCGTGCTCACGACTCTGCTCGCGTCGAAAACCCCCCTCCTACATACGAGGGCCAGTCCAGCGCGGAGGAACGCGTCGCGGAGACCGGGCATGGAACGTATGCCGCCTTCGGAGACGAGTACGGGACGGAAGTTGTCGCTCGGAACACGCACTGGGAGACGAGCGCAATCGATCCTTATTATGACTACTACGACGCGAGCACCGTGACCCATCAGAAGCGATCATATCATGATTACGCGTATTCCGACAGGCGTCCCACCCCTCCGCGTGCACCCTCTCCCCCTCTCACTCGCCCTCCTCAAATCATGGTGGAGCAAAGACCTCGCTCTCCGACCCCTCCCCCTCCGCCTCGCTCCCCATCACCGACCTACCTCACCCTTGCCACCGTACCGACTATGACGCTCCCATCCCCTGCCGCGTCCCGCAAACTTCTCATTCTGGACCTGAACGGCTCGCTCCTTCTGCGCTCACGGTTCGCCTCCCGGCATCCTCCAGGTTTACAACAACAACAAGGCCCGCAGGTGCGGAAGGTTCATCGACGGCCGTACCTCGAGACCTTTGTGAACTATCTCTTCGCGTCCGACACGCGCTCCTGGCTGGACGTGATGGTGTGGAGCTCCGCACAGCCGCACAGCGTCGCCGACATGGTCGACAAGTGTTTCGGCGAGCGGAAGCACGAACTGATAGCGGTGTGGGCGCGGGACACGCTCGGACTCAGCAGAGCGGATTATAGTACGCTTCCCCTCGCTCTTTGTACCACAGACCGGGACAATGACATTTTGTTCTTCGTATGCTTCTCTCTTTCTATGTATCTCCCTCGCTCCGTCACGCGTTTACGTATGTTGCACGTCCTCCGACGGACGGTAAGATCGCAAGTCGCAGACGACTAAGGACCTTGCGAAACCGTGGAAGCTGGTCCCCTGGTTCCCGCGTCACGAACCTGCGGCTCCGGTGTCGAAGGCGTCGCAGGAATCCGGCTCCCAAGACGAAGAGGGTGGGATCCCCGGACTCGCGCTCGCGGACGCGGACGCGGACATCGAGGTCTTCCCGGAGTATCATTCCGCATTGACAACCGTGCTGTTGGACGACTCACCATTGAAGGCGCGGCTGCAGCCCTGGAACCACGTTTGCTTGAAGGAGTACGTCCAAGCAATGCGAAACCACGACCTCAAGGCGCTCGAGCAGGAAGCTTTGAAGAAGACGTGGATGGAACGACGGGAGCAAGATGCGCACATTCCGGCCGAGGCTCAGTCGGGCTCAGTCGATGGCGAGGACGCCCAGTCGTCTTCCGCCTCGGTACCGGACGCCGAACCTCAATCACCGAGATCGACGACCCCTCCCCTAGGAGCTGAGGGGGGACTTGCTGGTGGCAGCAAACGAAAACGGCCAAGCCGCAAGGAGAAGCGCGATGCAGAGATCATTGCGCGATTTGCCAGTGGGGAGCCTCCAGTCGAGGAGGCGGAATTCGACCTCTCGCTGCTCGCCGTCATTGGCATCTTAGACGCCATCAAGTGGGAGAGCAACGTGGCTGCTTGGATACGCGAGGGTGGCCTATGGGGCGCGTCGAGACCGGACGCTGCGATATCGAGAGGAACGGACGAAATGGGGCTAAACCACCTCTCCGAACAGCTCCGGGCGGGTTCGGTAGCGACCACTCCGGCGCCCTTCCCCGGGAACGATGCGGAAACCTCGGCCACGGCGAGTGCCGTAGCAGCGCCTGTGTGGTTCGACAATCCGGAGGTTGTGCGGTATTGGGCGGCACGAGGGCGGGAAGCGTGCGAGGCGCTTGGGATCGAGGTCGCGCATGGCATCGAGGGATAGGGTCGTGAAGGCGGTATATAGTACCGCTCATTGCCTCTTGGTAACGCTCGGCATCCTCAATCAATGCGATGAAGGGCAAGGTGGAGTGTGATGGGACATGGGCTCCGGTTTATTCGTATGTACCGCTGGCCACGGATTCCAAGTGTATTGCAACTGTAGCTCCACTTCAGAATCGCGAGCAATCTGAGTTATTAGCGCTTAAGCACCGGAAAAGAGAGCAAACCACCCCCATCGCTGTAATCACACAAGTGGGGTAACATGGTCACACTATGGATTGGAGCTAACTTACGTAACTGGAGACACCAGAGGCTGGTAGCAGATCCCCTGGGACAATGCTGGAGATGCTGTTGCACAAGGCAGGGAACATCTTAGTATATATAAAGAGAACTACAAAGAAAAATACACTCACCTGTCGCACAAGGCAGGGAACACCTGAGAGAACAAGTCTAAGGTGCCCTGGTGCAACAGGGAGACATATAAGTATGAGGTATGAGCCCATCAGCAGATCTGTGGCAGGTGTGATTGTCTGGGGTTTGACGATGTGATGGGGTGGGACTCAGAAGCAGCACAATACCCCCTTACATCGTGTATCGGTACATTATAGAGGGATAACCTTCGGGGCCTCAAATCCGACATCCGGGACCTAATCCTATGAGCACGCGTCTGGACGCGTCCCGCTAATGAAACACGTCGCACGTGACACTATCGATATAAATACGGCGCCGACGCAGCTCTACCTGTAGTCGCTGCTTTACCTTCGACTCCCATCATTGCAACATCACTTCTCCTTCATTCTATAACTTACGTCGAAACCATGGGTCAGGGCGACTATAAGGTGACTTCTTCCGGAACGAACTCTCAGGCGAGTATATTGCGTCCGCGCTTTAGTAGCCCCTATCCGCCTTCATGGCATCGATGCTGAAGCGGAGCGATTTTGCAGGGCAACCACTACTGCTCGCGGGACTACGGATCCAGCGCCAGCAACTCCAACTCGTACCACTATTCTAACACGTAAGCCATCCACCGTGCTCTCGCTTGCGCGCCCCAGCTTATGTTCGCGCTCCCAGCAACGGTTCCTATTACTACTCGAACCCGAACGGGTCCACGTATTACAACAACGGAAGTGGTGGCTCGACGTACACGTCTTCGAGCGGCCACGTCACGAAGAAGTGAAGGCCATCGAAACGAAGCGAATCTCGTGCTCCACTATCGGCGATGGATTTCGCGGTTCGCATAGCGGCCTACGTCTAGGTCTCGAGTCTGGAATGAAGGCTGTAGTCATTGCTGGAATTTGGTCACAGCCATGTTGTTCAGTAGTTTTCTAGCCAATTACTGAATTACAGCACCACCGAAATGCGTGGCCAATTTGGTAAAGATAAAGCCGTCACAAAGGCAATGCCAGAGTACGTCAAAGGTCCCAGAAGCAGAAAAGATACATCGTGAGCACAGATGGTGGCATAGTGACACCGTTTAGGACGAAATAAGGATACACGACTAGATCGAAAGGGTCGCTTCCGCGTTCGAGTACCCGATCGAAGTGTATGTGAGGTAGCGTTCCCAGGGTAGAAATGTGGTCCGTAATCTGGAGGGCGAGGCAGCATCCTTCGACAGGAAGTCCGCTATACAAGCAACGTCAGAGCCAGGGTTCCGGTGAGCACCGATAAGGCGATGGAGGATACGCTCTTGAGCGAGGCGGCGCCGTTCACGCCTATCCAAACAACGTTATATTGTGTCAGCCATCCTTCCTCGCACGTCAAAGGGATGCACAGGTGAACGCACCCTTCTCTCCCAACGCGACCCAGTCCTGCCACGCCGCGTGCATCTGGAGCACGAACGCCTGGCCCTCGGGACTCTTCGACCCCTCCGAGCCGTACGAATCCGGGTTGACCACGGGCGTCAGCCAGCCCTGCGCGTCGAAGTGGACGAACGCGCCGGAGGAGTTGGTGGAGGAGAGCGCTTTGCGGGAGAGCTCGGCTTGGGGGATGTGCGTGCGCGGGCCGCCCATGTTGGCGAGGCGGTAGACGGAGGCGGCGAGGATCGCGGTGGAGGAGGCGTCGAGGAAGGTCGAGGGGTTGTCGGCGTAGTTGTGGAAGAGGGATGTGTTGGTGTCCTGGGAGAGGGACAGGAGGATACGCCCGGTCAGAGGTGGAGGTTTGGGGAGATGAGGAGAGAGAGGAGAGACGTACGAGGTGACGGTACATCCCGCCGTGGATCTCATGTGCCCAATTCAGAAGATCCTTGTGCTGGTTCTTCAACGCAGAGGAGAATGGGGAGTTCTGGATTGTCGCGGCGACGCGAAGCATGCCTGCCGCGGCCCACCCGTTCCCTGATTCGCCTTCGTATTAGCATCTGCTACGCCTGCACCTTCATGTGATCAAAAAGTCTGACCGGTTGACCAGTGGCCCGTGTCGTTGAACGAGCCCATCAGAACGTGCTTCCACAGGTTGTTTGCGTGCGTGTCAATGAGATAATTCCGATACAGTTTGACCTGGTTGTAGGCGAACTGAACCATGGACTGGTTCCCGGTGATGACGCCATAGTAAGCAAGCGTAGGCGGGACCATATACACGAAGTCACTCCTGGAATCAAGGGAAACGAGACCAAGAATAAGATCAGTCAACCGTAGATCAGAATAAGGAAATAGTAGTCTATATTTGCTCACCATAATTGGAGTTGATCCGCGCGATGCGATATGGCCCCATCGCTCGTCTTGGGGACTTTGTCGAACAGGAAATCCACCTGATCCTTCGCCGCGCCCGCGTAGTCGTGGTCGCTCAAACCGGTCCAGTTCGCGAGCACGACTTCGAAGATGTTCGAGGCCGGGTCGGCCGCCGCGCCGTCTTGTATCAGCGGCTGCGGACCCGTCGCGTTGTGGTTCGACGCGCTCCGGTTGGCGACGATGGACTGCGCGATGGCGAGCGTCTCGTTAAGCGACGATGGAGCGGTGCGGGGTGGGGGCACGGAAGCGTTGTAGACGGAGAAGGTGGGCGTGTCGAGCTCGACGAGAGCTTGGGCGCGCGTGCCGAGTTCCCAGCTGGCGCAGATGTTATTTTACGACAGCGTGTACCGGTTTTCGCGTAGGGGACATACCTGTGCGTGGCACCTTGCGCTAACCGCGCCTTGACGAGACTGATCTGGTCATCCGTCAGGTTCTGCGCGCTGACCCTCGCACCGAGCGAGATGACGAGCAGCGCGAGGACTCGCAATGGGGCCCGCTGTATGAACATGGGAGCGCGGTGGATGAAGCGGGTCGTGCGGGGCCCGCGTGTTCGTCGTGTGTGTGTGAGAGACAAGAGAGGGGTATATAAACAAGTTCGTGTTTCAACTCCGTTTATTTACACGGTCTCGGAATCAACTCGGTGCGGGTGGGGATGCCGCCCTTGAGACTTCCTGGACGCCCCTGTGGCGGTGCTCTCACGGCTAAATAAAGTCTCCCGGCCCCGATGGCGTCATCGAGTTTGGCAGGGCGATTGCCAAGTCCCGCCCAGAGATCGACAAGCAAACAAAACGTAAACCGATCACCGTGTTGGATGGTGCGTGCAGGACATATAAATTGTAGGGAACGCATTTTGTACAATATTACTGATGCAAGATCTTCAGAGATGCTAACGAAGTCCAAGGGCATACGAAACCCGTCTAGGAGCAAGTGATATTGGTTGTACATCAATGCAACCCATGGGCAATGGACTCACTTACAACTTTACCCCTTGTTGCTTGCCATGATGCTTGCCATGATGCTTGTTATTTTCGTGTCAATATAGACAGATATCAAAACCAATATATATCGAGGTTTCGTATCCAAATCGCTCGATTTGGAGCGCGTTTTGGCCACAGGATCTCAATATATATTGAAATTGAATGCTCTCTAATATATTGAGGATGGAGATACTTGGTAAGCATCAACCTGTCATCGTAGGGGCGCAGGAGCGTTTCCCACTAGGATCGCCTGTTATTGCGCTGACGATACGCTGACAAGAGGTGAGCCCTCAACCTAGATACGCTGCTGTGGTGTACAAAGTTACCATCGTAACTCGACCAACATTGTCTGCTTATCCGAGCACTTCCAACTCGTCAACTGCCGGAGCCAAAGAAGTTCTGCAACGGAGTCGAACGCAACGCAACGTGATGCGAGCGAAGCGCGACCAGCGTACGTACACCCGAGACCGCTGATGTCCGATGTAGAGTGTGCGCCGACCTAGAGTTCATTAGAAGAATGGACTCGAGTGCGGCACCCTGTCCGACTTCTCGTTGGTAACTGAGGAACTGCGTGACGACGACGGCAACGGGCCCGCCGCTACGTCGAAACACGCGTTCCTCCGACCTCGCTCTGACGGCCCAGCTTTGGTTTTAGTCAATGTTTCCGTTACTCAGCCAGCTCATCGCCTTTGCACGAAGGCACGGAAGTAGGGCTGGGTGGGCTCAGAGGTCGGTCGTATGTGGGTTTGGGTACTGCCTTGCAAGTTTGGAGGGAGATATGGAAGTATTGCGTTGATATACGAGGTTCAAGAGTTTCTGATGCATCGTTCTCTGCGTTCAGTCTCCATGATGTGCGCGTCGTCAGTCGTTTCGACGGTTGGCTGGTAGTGGTCAGCGTCAGAACGCATTGTTTGCGTCTGTTAGGCAACAGACTGCGCAAGCCGTGGGAATCCGACAGCATCATGCCGGTCCCTTTCGTCTCCGCTTGCACACCTTCGTTCTTCCGAACTTCTTCTCGTCTTGCTAGCAATTATTCTATCCTGCGTCGTCGCCTCGTCATCAGGCTCTCGCTGCTACTCTACTCGCGCGCCGATACCTCAGAAGAAATCTAGCTCCGTTTGGTGCTGCACAGCCAGTGCCGGCATGACAAACGGTGTGAACGTGCTGACCCACCACGAGCGCTGGCGCTGGTCGTACATGGTATCGCGCTCTCGAAGGCGTCGTGATTGGTTCTCCATGCTGTGCGCTCCATCATCTTCTCTCTTAAAGTATTCTTGTCCTGCAACAAAGCGGGATCTCTGCGCGTTCATGCGTATAAAAGCCAACGAGGCGTTCGAGTGTTTTGGTCATCCTACCGGCAGATCTATCTCTCGGCTTGTTTTCCATCGATATCTGCTATTTGAGCTCATAAAATGGCCACATTGAACACCATCTACTCCTTGTTTCGTAAGGATCAGGTGTTTGCGCCTGAAGATGGTGAGGCATACCGCGAGTCAATCCGTCGATGGGCAGAGAATGCAGGTTGGTCGGTTTCGAGTTGCTCATAGGAGCTACGAGCTACTTATCACCCACCAAACGTCGTCATAGAACGAAATGCGCAGTTCGTTGTCTTTGTCGAGTCTGCCGCCGACGTCTCCAAAGCCGTGAGCTCACATTACTCGCTTTCCTGGCATTGACCGTGGTGTCATCGTGAAACCAAAATCGCCAGATAACGTTCGCGACGAAGCATAACCTCGACATCGCCATCAAAGGCGGAGGCCATTCCTGCTCGGGCGCATCTTCCTCAGAAGGCCTCGTGATCGACATGGGCCGCCTCAACTCCGTGCGCGTCGACGAAGCCCAGAAGCGCGTGATTGTCGGCGGCGGCGCGCTCTGGGCCGACGTCGACGTCGAGTCCGCGAAGTACGGCCTCGCGGCCGTGGCCGGCACGGTGAACCACACCGGTAAAATTGCCAGAATCCCGCCCGCGAAGCCTATATCTGGTTTCTGACTTCGAGTTCCGTGTTGTTGTCAGGGGTCGGAGGATTCACGCTCGGAGGCGGATACGGATGGCTGACGCCCAAGTACGGTCTCGCGATCGATAACCTGGTCGAGGCGGAGGTCGTCCTCGCCGACGGATCCATCGTCAGCTGCAGTGAGGAGAAGGAACCGGACTTGTTCTGGGCGATCCGCGGAGCGGGCAGCAACTTTGGCGCCGTGACGTCCTTCACCTTCAGAGCGCATCCGCAAAAGAGCACCGTCTGGGCCGGTCTGGTCAGTCCACATGTGCTTCATATTCTCAGTATGGCCAGAGACCTATCATTTTGTAGATCATCTACCCGCCTACCGCGCTAGCTGCGGTGTGGAAAGCTGCGGAGACGTGGGTCAAGACCGCCGGTGAGGACTCCAGTCTGCATCTGTTCATGGCTTGCCCGCCTCCAGCGCATAAGGTACTGTAAGTGCCATCGACCGATTCATCGCTGTTCTGATTGTGCATCACATAGCCTACCGTTGTCGCAGTCCCCTTCTTCAACGGTAGTGCTGAGGAAGGCAAGAAGAAGTTCGGCGCTTTCTACGACATCGAGATAGTAAAGGACTTGACCCGGGAGATGCCCTACTCGGAGGTCAATGGGGCACAGGTACGTCTTATAGCAGCTCGATCTTGCTACTTAACTGATTTGGCAAATGGCTAGAACATGTTGGCGACGCACGGGGACCGCAAAGCGTTCAAGAGCACCGTTATGACGTCCTTCGATCCAGCGCGTTACCAGGAAGTCTTCAACAAGTATTCCCAAATCGTGACCGCTCATCCGGAGGCTCACGAGTAAGTTCATTCCCACCTCGTTCTGTGCCTCGCCATCGTGGAATGCAACCAAACTCAACGCACGAGTCAAACAGTACCGTGATTATGTACGAGTTACATCCGTTTGAAAAGGTCGCTGCTGTCCCCAACACCGCGACCTCCTTCGCCAACCGAGGCGAATGGTACAACATCAACTTTGCGGCGCGTTGGAAATCGCCGGAGCTCGACGATACGGTACGTTTTCCCGCTCCACCTAAGCGTAGTGTTCTTCATATCCTGGCCCCTGTTGTAGATGCGCGCCTGGGCTGGGGAGCAGGTCAAATACCTTCGATCCCGATCGGAGAATGATACGCACGCCAAGCTCGCCGGCACCCGTGCCGTGAGTAGAGGCGGTTTCTTTGCGCTGCAACGTTTTTGGACTGACAGAACCTTGACTGACAGTACGCAAACTACGGTCTTGGCGACGAGAAAGTGCGAGATATCTTCGGTGACAACTACGATCGTCTTGCCGAATTGAAAGTCAAGTATGATCCGGACAACGTGTTCCACAAATGGTACCCTGTGGCATCGCAATCATGAGTACAATCGCGCTGATTCGTCGCGCAACAACGATTGGCGAACGAACGTGTGGACGATTTGGATGCACGATTAATCACGGCGATACAGGTAGTCACATTGTCGTGTAACACCGTGATAGCACAATCGCGTAGTACACTATTCTAGCGGTACAAAAATACAATAGACGTGCGATTACACAATAAATACTGTATGCAAGCACAGGCGCAACAGGAGTCCTCGTAATCGTCATTTTCTCGTCGTTCTCCTCGGACCCCGTGCTTCCTCACCACCCTCATTCTCCTTCTCGGTCGTACCGTACAGTGAAGACGCGCTTCTCTGCGCAGTCCGCTCCACAATACTCGTTCCATCCCGGAAGCGGGTCCTGAAGAGTACGTTCGCGTTGGTGAAGAGGCCCTCCTTCAAACTGACTACGATGAACTGGCTGCCCTTGAACCGCGTTCGGAACAACTGGCCAATATGTTGAGTATGCGACAAGTCCAGGGCCGCGTCGATCTCGTCTAAAATGTACATCGGCGCAGGCTTGAACTGCAGTAGCGACATGATCAAGGACAAAGCGATGAGAGATCTGTGATATCGTGCAGTGAGCGGAAGTCTCAGAATAAACGAACCCACAATCCATACCGTTGTCCACCGCTGAGTTCCGTCAAGCTTTGCTTCCAGACGCTACCCAGCTGGACCTTGACTTCGAGGCCCTGAGTGAGATCCTGACCTTCGGGGGGTTGCAGTTTTGCGAAGTTGCCTGGTAGCAACTCGGCAAAGATGCCCCCAAAGTCGCTAGTACCAGTGAGCAAGGATAGAATGTATCAAGATTTTGCACACCTACCCATTGACTTTCTCCCATGTCTTCTGGAGCGCATCACGTTTGTAACGATCCAGCTCCTCGATCGTCTCCTCGATTTTCTCTTTGTCTTTGAGCACGGTGGATAACATCTTCGTCAACGCCTTCTCGCGCTTCTCCACTCTGCGGGAGGAGAGAGGAGAAATGAGCGAAGAATAGCCAAAGAAGTTTGAAGAAGGCGTACTCTTCAATGACACCAACAGCGCGTTCGTTGACTTTCTTCTTCATGCCCTTCTGCTCGTCCTCCAATTTCTTCGCTTGCTCACGGAGTTGGGCCATGTTCGTACCCCGAAAGTCATACGGACCGCCCTTCTTCCCAAATTGACTGTGAATACCATTGATCAGATTCTGTCTCGAGGGCGGCACAGCGGACTGACTCTTTGTCCTCTTTGATCCATTCGAATTGCTTCTCGAGGTTGGTAACGAAGTTGGTGGCCGCGACTTTCTCTTTCTTCATCACGCCGATGTCGTGCTCGAGCTTGGTCAACTCGACGTCGGCGTCTGCAACAAGCGTCTTCTTCTCTTTGATCACAGCGTCTAGTTCCTTCAATTCGGAGTCGAAGCGCGTGAGCGTGGCCCTTTCTTCTTGCAGCTTGTGAAGCGCCTTGCTATGCGCAGCCTAGAAGGAGCTTAGGTCGAACCACGCGAGGAGGGGGTGAGTATAACACATACTTTCTGCTTATCCAGCTCTGCCTTGAGCTTTTCTAATTCTTTGCGGGATTTTTCAACAGCTTCCAGAGCCTCCGCAGTACCGTCGATCAGGTTTTGCTTCTCTGCCTCCAGTTGCTCTGGATGAAATTACATCAACTGCAGTCGCCGCGATCGAAGCCAGGAGGACATACCTAGCTCAAGCTCGGCGGTTTGCAGCTCCTTGTGGTGTGTTTTCACCACTACAGATTGCTTCTGGACGGCCGATTTTTGCTTTGTAATGGACGCCTGCGAACCAGTCTCACCAAATGGTGCCATACGGTGAAAATAAGATGACATACGCGGAGCTCGTCGATCTTGCCTTCCTTATTGTTCTTGAACTCGGCCATGTCCTTCTCGAGCTTTTTGATCTCGTCGTTGGCGGCCTTCTGCTTGTCCTGGGCCGCCTTCACAGCCTCCTTCAGCGCGGCGATGGCCTGCTTCTGTTCCTCGATATCGGCAGATAGCTGCCAAAGATGTCAACCAGTGATGTAGCCGGCACCATTGGCAGTACACATACCCGAGAAGCGTTACTGCCGTTGACCTGTTCCTCCTGGAGGCTCATCTCGTGTTCCTTGAGCTCCAGTTCCCTGGAAAGCTTACGCCATTGCTCTCGGATCCCTCTGGTCTTCGATTCCTCTCTCTCCAGTTCCTGGAGCCTATTCCTCGCTTCCCTCAGGTTACGTTCCGCAACTTGAACCTTCTGGGCACCAATCAGGATGCCGTTACTGGTAGGTGCTGAACCGCCGCTGAGCGTGCCAGACGGATCGTAGACGTCGCCGTCGAGGGTTACGGATCGTGCCCCGCCGACCGAGGGGTGGAAGGTTACAGTCTTGGCGGTTTCAGCATCTTGACAGACCAAAGTCTCGCCGAATACGTAGTTCATTGCATTTGCAACTTCGTGCGGATACCCTATGAGCTGGAGAGCGAGGTCGACCTTTCCGGGAGCGAGCTTCTGGGCGGCTCCAAGTTTCTATGACCGACAAGGATGATGAGGGATCAGATTCGGGACAGGACGAACAGGGCATACCTGGGCAGCCATCTTCGTCGCGTTGATCTTGTTCAGCGGAATGAGTGTCACTCGCTTCTTCAGCTGACCTTTTGACAGTAGGTCCTTGCCAATCTTTTCATCGTCAACGACAACATTATAAAGCCGGGCTCCGGCTGTGATCTCCAGAGCGGTTGCCTTATCGTAGTCCTGCTCCTTGAGTGAGATAAGGCTAGCGACCAGTCCCTTCACCTTTGACCGATCCCAGTCGGGTCGAGGTGGGGTGTAGTCGAACTGAAGGGCAGGCAAGCCTTGCGTGCTCCTATCTCGCTCCTACCGAGTGACGGAGATGAGACAATGCCACGCATATACCCAGCCAACACGTACCATGCGCGCGCGCTGTTCAGCTTCTTTCGCGGCGCGGAACGTATTCTCCGCCTCCTGCTCTTTCTCAGCGCTCCATCCACAATCTTGCACCTTCTTCCGCGCCGCATCGACCTCTTTCTGCGTCTTCTCCAGGTTCTTCTTGCCCTCGCCAGCCTCTCGCTCGACCGCCTTCCACCGCGTCTCAAGCGAAGCTAGCTCACGTTCGCTCATGGCGAGCTTCGTCTTGTTCTGCTTCTCTTCGGCAGCAGCATTGGCCACACGCACGCGGGCATCGGCGAGCTGGCCCATGTATCCTCCACCGCCGGTGCCCGCAGAGTTTCCGAGGCCGGTGAGGAGCGATTGTAGGAGTTCTTCAGAGTTCCTGAGCGCGTTGGCGGCCTCCGCGTGCTTCTCGGCCAAGGTGGCGTGCGCTTTCCTCAAGGCTTCGACTTGAGCAGTTTTCTCGGCGAGCAATCGATCGTTCTGGAGGACCTTGAGTATCAAACCGCGCGTAGTACACGACGCCACTCACGTCTTGCGATTCGCCCGATGCGGCCGCGACATGTTTCTCCTCCTCCTTGATCGTCCCCTCCTTGATCTCCACCTGCGTCCTCAACTTCTCCACCAGCTTATCCAACTCACCGACCTCCTCCTCAAGCTTCTTAAACTTCCCGCCCTTCTTCATCTCCTTCTCCCTCTGCTTCTCCACCTCGCGCACCCCCTCCTCCGCCGCCTCGATCTCCTCGCCCAACCGCTCCTTCTCGCTGGCAACAGCTTGCTTCCTTGCCTGCGCCTCGTCGATCTCCCCCTGCTTTGCCTCTACCCGCGCGTGGCCCTCCGTGTACTCCCACGCGCGCAGGAGGCGGCCGATGCGTTCGAGCTCCGTCGCCGCCTTCTGGTACTGGAGGTACTGCCGCTTCTCCTCCCGGAGCCGGTCGAGCTTGGGCGTGATCTCCTCGTCGAGCAGGGTCGTGATCTCCTGCACGCGCTTCTCCTTCTTGCTCATCGTCTTCTTCGCCTTGTCCTTCCGCTCTTCGAACATGCGCGTGCCGGCCGCTTCTTCGACCATGCCAAGGATCTCTTGCGGGCGCATGTTGAGGACCTGTTCGTGAGGTAATGTAAGGTGAGGACGGAGATGAACGAGGCTGTGAGGGCCCGGGGAAAAGGCGAGGATGAATGACCTTCGTTATGCGACCTTGCATGATGAGGAAGTTCGGGTTGTTGATGTTCAGTTGCACGCTTTGAAACAGTGTCTGAATCGTGTTTTGCTGCGACTTGAGGCCGTTGAGGAGGTATTTGGACACGTTGGGAAGCGCGATCTAGATACAATGGACGAGCGTTAGAGGCGAATCACCATTCGATTACGCTATGGGACGCACCTGACGGGTAACGGTAATCTGTTTGCAATTCTCCAGCCCCACGGGGCTCTTATCACGGTCCGAATTGTCGAATACGATGGTGACACTGGCCTTCGTGATCCCGGCTTGGCCTCGCTTGTAGATGAGGTCTTGCTGGTTTGCAGCGCGCATCTGTTCAGAAACCGCTCCGCGTAAGCATGAGACGTCAGAAGCGTAAGGCGTTACGCTCACAGAGGACATGTTGGTGATGCCTAACACGAAGCAGATAGCATCGAGGATGTTGGACTTGCCAGACCCATTCAGGCCGGTAATCGCGTTGAATGAAGGGTCCCATCCCGTGATTTGTGTCCGAACTGGATAGGACTTGAAGCCTGAGGTATCATGAGAGATCGGAGTAGTCCCGCGCACTGATCGATGCTACCTTCCAGTACGAGTTCTTCGATACGCATGGTGGCGTTCTAGGCTCAAAGCCTGGGGACAAATTGGGAGAACTTGCAGGGCTTCAAATTCGTGCAGAGCGAGACTATAGCCGCAAAAACAAAGGCGAATCGGCCAAAAGATAATTGACGAACTAGCCCCTAGACAATGCCGTCGTCGTCTGCTGCAGAACACGCTGAGTCGCGTCAACCAAACGCGTGGCACGTGTATATTCACACAATCACCTGCCTCTTGTTTTCTCTTCAGGCCTCTTCAGGCTCCTTCCCGCTTTTCCGCCCTGTTTTCTCCGGCTTCCCTGACTCAATCATGGCCTTACTTCCCCAGCTTCATGTCAACCCTATTCTGCAGCATGTTTACTAGAACGACAACTTGATTGATGCTATCGCCGCCTCAATCGCGGATAACGTGCGAATCAACCGCGCTGGAAACACCTGGACAGCCGGATTTACGACTAACATGGACTGCGGGATCCCAGCGCATTGGCAGATGTGGCCAGCAACTGTCGAGCGTGTGCGGACGTTGCATAGGTGGCCATGTGGTGTATCAAAAGAGTTGCCTTCCGGTCAGTGCGTGTGTTATTGTTTACATAAATGCCGATGATGGTTCATATACCGCTGTAAAGCCTATACCAGCTTGTCCTCATCACGCGCACATGGGCTGTTTGTCTGAATGCCGTCTGAACCGAACCTGTTGCAAATTCGTCGATAACGCGTTCACAAGCGAGGACAAACGTGTTGCTACACAAGGATGTGTCTTTGCTGGTGCTGGGAGCTTCCATTAGCTTGTGATCCATGCGCCTAAGATACATATGAGCTTCTCTTCAAGCACAAATGAGTGGGAAGTGTCTCTTTGGGGGGGGGGGGGGTGCCGATATGGAACGGCTTCTGACAAAGGCAGGTAAAGCAACAATTGCAAAGATCCTCATGTCCGCCATGTCCTTCTCTTCTCGCCCCTTGCTTTGCCCTAAGACCTTCATGAGAATCTGCCGCTGCAGCGACAAAGCCCAATAGCGCCATGCGCGAGCCTCGCGCCTAAAGAATATGAAATGCATCGATATATCAAGTTTAGACTCAGACAACGCGCGCGTAGCGAGACTTCCTATAGATTAGCCGGTCGGTCGATCTGCGGACCACTTTCGTGCAAAATATTCCAGATCGTGGTCCGGGTATATAAACCTTGCCATGGTTTCCGTTGTGCCCCCACAGAAAGAATACCCCAGTTTCCTCCCCCTCCGAGCAGTCGCCACTCCCTGGCGGTTGCTGGCTCAGTGCTTGGCTATACGCAACTGCTTCACGCGCGCGACGACGGCGACACCGTTGCTCACGCTCGTCCGCCATGGACTTCGACGACTGGTCCGATCTCAGCGACCTCACCAGCTCGGACGAGGAGGAATACAAACCTAAAGGGAAGGCGAAGACCTCGAAGAAACAGGAATATGTTGTACACGGCGCGCTGCGCCCGCCGCGGACCGTTCAGTACACCGCCAAGTCTCTTTATGGTCAGTCCCTCCTGCTATGCCTTGTTACCAAAGGGCGCCATTTGAACCAGGACCGCAGATCAGATCATGGACGGCTCGATCGACTTGGATCCAGAGTACCAACGAGGTGAGCCGTCCTTTCCCCCCCTTTTTTTGGCGCCCGTTGGAACCCGCAGACTCATTTGCAATGTTCCAGACGTAGTATGGACTGAAAACAAACAATCCGGACTCATCGACTCCATTCTTCGCAATTACTACATTCCCCCCATCATCTTCGGTACGAGCAGTTCAAGGATGTTCCGGAAAGCTACATTGATGCTCACACTCCACAGCCGTCACGTCTTCGGGGGATGGTACGGAGTCGCGAGTCTGCATCGACGGGAAACAACGCTTAACCTCCATACAGAGGTTTTTCGAAGGTTTGGTGAGTTTTGAGCATCCGATACCCAAATATAATGCCTGAAGCTAGATTCCGTGTCTAGATCGCTCGTAAGTCCCTAATTACGTTCTTTCTCGCTACCGTGACCAAACCGGGCCTCTAGATAAAGACTCGTACGCGATGACTCCTCTGCAACTCGACCCCGGGCTGAATGTGTTCCGCTTAGATTGACCGGCACGAAACGTTGGTACAAGCAGATCGGGAGAACGAAGCGCATGTTGTTGCCCAAGCAATATATCACCAAGTTCGCCAATAAGCAGATTGTATGCGTTGAATACGACGGGCTCGATGGGGATCAAGAGCGGGAGATCTTCCAGGTATAGCGCGCTAGTTTCCTTCTTGAGATAAACCATCGTTGACGGAGAATCAGCGGGTCCAACTCGGCGTTGCATTGACCCCCGCCGGTTCGTTCTCGCCCACCCGGCACTCATCTTACTTATTCATAGCCTCGATCTGATAACTCACCTCCCCCAGAACGGATGCAAGCCATCACAGGTCCATGGGCCTCGTTCGCCCGAGAACTCCAGAACCAGATCCGCCAGCCCGCCCCGGACGGGTTCGGCGACTCCCTGAAGTGGAGTAGCGAGCGTGGCCGAGACTTCCAATGCATCTGCACCGTGCTCTCCCTCGCGGAAAGTTGGCCGGCCCAGGGCAAAGTCGACTCCTCGAACCTCGAGAAGCTGCTGGAGCGGCGCACGGACCCGCCCGCCAAGCTCCGGGCGGAGGTCACGGACTCGTTCAAGATCTTTTCTGCGATCGTCGCCGACAAGAAGTTTGCCTCGGCGTTTAAGAAGCGACTCTCGCCCGTCGAGTTTACGATGACCGTGATCCTCATCTACGTCCACCGCAAGAAGCTGTCGATCACTCAGCTCGCATCGGCGATCGACAGCATGCGGAAGGACGTCTGGTCCAAGTACGAGAGGTTTGTACGGCAGAACCAGATGATTGTGAAGCATATGTCTACCTTCATCAAGAAGATTCAGGACATCGAGCTGCGCAGCGACGGCCAAGGCGATACGCCCGCCGCTAAGCGTCCTACGAATGCGAATGCGGTTGCTAGTACCAAACGCAGGCGGGTGACCCTGGAGTCCGAAGATGAAGAAGAGGAAGTTGTGAAGCCCCTCAAAGAGCCTCCACCTGCCAAGAACACCACCAAAGCTATACCCAAAGCCCGGAAATCTGTCAAGGAAGCTTCGACTAGCGCGAGCACATCCAGGGTAACAATCGTGCCGAAGGCTGAGCGTGTTTCTCCCAAGATTCCACCTGAACCCAAGGCCTCAAAACCCCAAAGGGCTGTCCGGACAGGTGGGCCACCTGTGAAGGCTCCACCAGCTTCCGCTCCGCCAACTCCCGGCCCCTCTCACTCCGCTCCTGTCGACGAGCCCATGGACCTATCGACTCCGGTAGAGGAGCAGCCACCGGGCCTCCAGCAGTGGGCCAGCACCGTACCCACCGCGCAACCTCCGCCGATTCAGACCAAGATCGAGGACATCAAGCGGAACGCCGATTTACCTACGCCGAGCCCCTCCCTGACGCCACAGCCAGGAGACAGGTCCATTTTACCTCCAAGTTTAACCCGGTTAGCTGATCCTGCGAGGCCTCCTGCCTCGTCTTCTGCGCTCAACTCTCCTAACACGACGACGGACCCAAGACGCCGCCCGCCGGGACACAACGGACCGCCGCAATCGTCCCCGAGCATACCCCCGCCTCAATCTGCCTCCGCTCCTCCCGTGGTCGTTAAACAGGAGCCGATGTCCGAAGCCGACATGCAAGCCCGTCTGAACAACATACTGATGGGCGCGAATCTGTGGACGCAAGCTTACCAAGCTTCCCAAGGCATATTCCCCGGCACCCCAGTAAGCTATGGGCATAATGTCCAGACAACGCAGCCAACCCCGCATCTGCAGAACACTCCCGGCATGTTCCCAGGTTTCTCTGCCATGAACCTCAACACCCCCCCGACACAGGGCATGTATCCACAACAAGGTCCACCTCAACCTGGCATGTTCGCCACTCAAGGGCCGCCTCCACCCGGCATGCGTCAACCTCAACGACCGCTACCGGGGCCACCACCGAACCAACCTCCATCCACGCCGTCGCGCATCCGGCCGACCTGGGGACCAGGTGCTCAGGCACCTCCCCCTGTACATCCGCCAGCACCAGCACCAGCACCAGCACCAGTGCCCCCGGACCCGCACCCCCAGGGTCCGGCAGCCCCCACACCCGGGTCGGCCCCGCCGTTCTCGCCGTCTGCAGCGCAACACCCACCTGCGTCCGCGTCCGCGTCCTCGACCCGGACCGCATTCACGGATCGTGACCGGGACGTGTCGATGCCGTACGACGGGCCCGATCGGTACGGCGACGACAGGCGGCGCGAGCCCCGACGCGATTACAGCGCTGGCAGCCGCGGATACGACCCGCCGCGGGCGCCCAGGATGAGCAGCAGCACCTCCCGAGAGCGGGATTTGGACAGGGACTGGCACCGCCGGAGCAGCTACGGCAACCGCGACTACGACCGCGATTATGACCGGGACAGGGACCGCGACTACGACCGAGATCGGGACCGCGACTACGAGCGCGGCCGCGGCCGCGGACAAGGGTATAGTGGCTCCAGAGACCGAGGGCGTGACTGGAGGCGATGATTCCGGACCACAGGTATAGTCTTTTGGCACTTCTAAACATGGGAATTCTTTCATCGTCCGTAATTACCTGCCGCTCATTACTCTGATTCCGCGGCTGCTCTTAGGCCATAACTGGAACTTTATTAGCCTGACAGCATGTCCATAATTATATCGCAGAATAACATAATCCGTATGATGCATATTTGAAGCCAACAATGCGTGGTTCTTCGTCCTCGCAGCTGACTGCGCGTCCAGGTGGGCTGACCAGGGCAGTACTTGAGGGTGGATTCGCGGCTATGGTCCGCACGCCGGGCGTAGAGAAGGTGGGGTAACCGAGGTGCGCTTCATGTGTCGTCTATTGCGCGAGGATAGTCACGGCCATGGCTATGCAAGCCATGGCTACGTAAGGCGATAACCGCTCTCCTGCAACGGACGTGATCAGGCGCACGAGTTGATTCAGGAGGAACGAGGCAGTCATACCTATTCGCGCGGACATGAAGAACAGGCCCAAGAATCTGGGAAAGCGATACGTCAACATAACGGTCGTGGTCGGCATGGGGGTTATCAGCGTGAGGCGAAACGGCGGACGTCTGAGGAGAAACTCGGAAAGGGCGATGCGAATGCGGGAACGCGGGGGGTTCAGTAGACGATCCAGGGGAGGGTGGGGGGGGGGGGGGAGGAGCCCGTGGTCACATCGCCACCAGCGACCGTAACACGTCGTACGAAGGACGCCTGGAAGACTGTTCGAGGAGGGTCCCGTGAGCGAGGAAAGTTCGCCATTCGCAGCGATCCCCAGTGGACCGACGCTCCTGCGCGCGATGTCCACGACCGCGTGCCGTATATGCGCCTCGGCGGATAATCGCTCTTCGCGAGCAGAGACATTCACCCTCCGGCCATGGCTCAACGTCGCCGGTCGATGCACCGGTGTCGCCACGACGACATGTCCCCCCGTTCCCCCGAACGTCTCGTGCCCTCGGCTCAATAACCTCCACCCCCACCCTCCTCGAGCGCATATCGAATAGTACCTGCGCACTCACCCTTGCTTGTTCTTGTCGATCAGGCTCGGCGCGATGGCGCGTATGTACGTGCATGTGCAGATCGTCAGGATGATGACGAGCAGCAACGACTGGAAGTTGAACAGCGCCGACTATAAAAAATAAAATAAAATAAAAACAGAACGAAAACGGCGGGAGTGAGCTTCTTTGCGCAAGAAACGAGCGGTCGCAGGCAAGAGATACGTGCCATCCCGAGTGTGTGTGTGCGTGCGCGTGTATAACGGGTCGCCCGCAAGAGGGTATCGTCAGGAATAACGAGTGGAAGGCGGCGCTGGCGCTGCGTCAAGGCGCGGTTCGATGCAAGAAACGTGGATGAATATACCGTGGCAGTGTTGCGGGACGATAACGTATTCACAGCCAGAGTATTTCATTACAAACTACATTTGTACAATTTTCTGTTCGGGATCTTATACTTCATCCTCAAATTGCTGTCCAAACAGGGTTTGCACTTACGATAAAAATATAGCAATATATCTATATTTGCTGGGTAACCTACCATATATAGATATATTGCTATTTCTCTACTTCAAGTAAAGATCTAATTTCGACGGGGACTTTAACCATTGATATGGATTTTCATAAAGCAAAAAATGTACAAACGTAGTTTGTAATGAAATACTCTGGCTGCGATTTGCTGTTCCCTCGAGTTTACTCTCTCTCGCCGACACGCCAAAGTGGGGAGCGAAAGAAAAGATGTGGATAAAACCAGTGGACCGAGGGTATATAATACTCGATACATCGTTGAGTACACTACAACTAAGGCTTGCCGACATACATAGATATATGTGTGTTAGGGTCGAAGCCGCTATTTACATGTGTCATCGTCGTCACATCGTGCGCGTGGCGTCTAAGGTGAACCGTGAACCGTGAGGAAACGCAAAAACAAAACCAAAAAGTTCCGCGCGTTTCGGTCTACCAAGTGGAAGGACCGAAGGTCTCGCCCTCGGCGAGGACGCGCATCGGCGTGCCGAGCGCGTCCGCGTTGTTGTACGAGACGGTGTTGCCCCACCACGCCTGGACGGTCGTGAGCCCGATCGTGCCGCTCTTCGGGTACTGGAGGATGAAGAAGATGAGGACGGTCGCGACGGCGACGCCCGAGTCGAGCGCGGCCGAGAGCACGTAGTTGTACTTGGTCCACCACGCGAAGTGGCGGCGGCGGACGACGTACTGGAACACGAAGCCGACGATCGTCCAGGGCACGTAGTTGACCGCGGACGCGGGCGGGATCGCGCCCGTGCCGGAGAAGATGACGGGGAAGTTGACGTACTTGACGAACGAGTTGGGCCACCGGCGGGAGACGAGCCAGGCGACGAGCGGGCAGAGCGCGCCGATGAGGAAGAAGAAGGAGAGCGCGTAGTAGACCTGGCCCTGCGAGAACTGGCGCTGGGGGCCGATGACGCCCCAGATGATGGACGCGCTGCCGAAGACCTCGGTCGAGGGGCAGATGAAGCCATCCGGCTGGCTGTCGGAGCACATGTCGGGGATGTTGGTGAACATCCAGGCCTGGACGCCGAGCTGGACGGTGCCCGCGACGACGGTCGCCGCCGTCTGCGCCCAGAACATCGACCGCGGCGGGATCTTCATGTAGTGCCCGAGCTTCATGTCCGACGCGAAGGTGAGCGCCTGGGCCATGGTGATGTACCCCCACGTCTTGAACATCATCATCGCGACGGGCCGGCCGGGGAGGGCGTAGCCGATGACGAGCTCGGTGATGACGTTCAGCCCGATCTGCTGGTTGGTGATGGCCTGGATCATGCCGATGGGGATGATGTACACGAAGGCGATGATGAGCGCGAGGACGAAGGCCCAGACGGGGAACTGCGTCGGCCAGACCTCGATCGAGACGACGCCGCAGACGAACATGGCGAGGAAGATGATCGCGTACCACCACTCGGGCACCTCGCGGTAGCGCGACATGAGCCGGGCGTGGATGTCGGGCTGCTCCGAGAGCGAGCGCCGGGCCTGGGTCCAGATCTGCTTGCGGAAGTAGAGGAAGGCGTGCATGACGGTCGAGGTGATGGACGCGAAGGAGAGGCCGTAGGAGATGGCGAAGGTGGTCGAGATGAAGAGCGGCGAGTAGGCCTTGTACTTGGCCTCGTCGAGCGTCGACTCGGGGGTGAGGATCATGGAGACGTTGTACTTGCCGCCGGTGTTGTCGTACGACGAGCGGGAGGAGATGGGCATGTACTCGGACCACCAGGTGTTGGTGTAGTACAGCGCCGGGGTGAGGACCCAGAAGAAGGCGACGAAGCCGACGGCGATGTTGGCCTCGGCCCACCAGGGCGTCGCGAGCGGCGAGCCGATGTACGCGATCTGGGCCCAGTCGAAGGTGAAGAGGGACATGCCCATGCCGTGCGAGTATCCGAACATCTGGTTGAGCGGGACGTTGTTCGGCTTGATCCAGCAGACCCAGTTGAAGACGGAGAGGGCGGTGAAGAGGTAGCCCGGGAGGACGTACCAGCACGCGGAGGCGAGGAAGGCGAGGAAGAAGAACTTCTCGCGCGACATGCCGCCGCGGTTGCCCACGCCCGCGTACTCCTGCGAGTGGAGGGTGTTGAAGAGCGCGCAGAGGACGAGGTTGGAAGGCCAGATCATGGACGGGGGCGAGACGAGGAAGCGACGCGCGATACCGCCGATGGAGAAGCCGATGAGCTGGGTGGACATGACGATCATCCACTGGTAGCCGAAGTTGTAGATCTGGCCGTAGTACACGCGCTGGACGGCGACGATGTCCGTGGCGTAGGCAGAACCGGCACCGACACCGGCCATGATGGTGATGAGCACCTGTCGTTTAGAGATCCGTCAGCACATGCGGACGCGAAACACGGCCGAAGACGAATAAGACTAACGTGTTCCTTAACGGTGAATGGACCAGGGTTGAGCGAGATGCCGAAGATCTTGACATTGGGCAAGAACTTGGCCCAGGCGCGACCGACGGGGAAGGAGAGCAGCTGGGCGACGAGGCCACCGACGCTGACCGACGGGTAGCGGAAGAAGAAGAACTGGTTCAGGCCGGGGATGAGGATCGCCCAGGCGAGACCGATGACCCAGGCGCGGAGGGTCGAGACGGGCATCTCGGGGTCGTCCGTGTTGGACACGGCGGACCGGACCTCGGGGTAGGGGGAGTCGTCCTCGAGCGCGAGGGCATCCTCGTCGACGTTCGGGTCCTCGAACTCGGCGATGCCGACGCTGTCAATGACTGTAGGGATAACGCGTGCGTGTCAGATATGGCTGCTGCGTGCTACAAGGTGAGAGACGCGGGTGACGAACCGGCATGCTTCTCGGCGTCGAGCTTCTCGTCGAACGAGGCGGAGTGAGCGTCGTCTCGGTTGAACGCAGACATGGCTAGTCTGGTCTCGGGGGGTTTAACCGGGAAGGGGGAGGAGACGACGGGGCGCAAAGGCTGCAGAAGCCGCTCCGGCGGGGCGCTGGCATTTTATACGGAGAAGAACCACGGGCACCACTTGGCGATGGAGAGAGGGCAGTCCAGGTTAGCTGGCTTCCTTGCGCGGTACGGCGGCGGCTTCGCGATCAGGGAGGGCGCAGATGCATCTCGGTGCATGTGGAGACGGAGGATGCCATCACCGGGCCTTGGTATCCGTTCGTCCGGACCCCCGACCCTCTGAGCTACCTGCCGTTCTTCCATGCGGCTCGTGCCGCGTAGTCATGGGCGCGCACACTTCGTACCGCGCGTCGCGACGCGTGTTCAGCGTGAAGAAGGCGCGAAAGCCCGAGTTCATCGTCATCAGAACTCGGAATGACCACAGTCAACGCGTTCACCGTCGGGGAGAGGACGCAAGCCGCGTTCTGTGGCTGTGCCTCTATGTACCGCAGACAGGGGCGGGGGTCCCCCGATGCTGCACGACGCCCCCGCCAGCATCTCAGCAGCAGATCCCAGTTTCCATGTGGGGCGGGCAGCGTACGCGCGAGGGCTGATGGTCGTGTGCGCGATCCGTTCGCCCCCGACGATCGACATGGCGAACGATGATCCCATCCGTCCTAGCCGCGCCACCGTCGCGTCCGACCCCTCGACGACCAGGGATTTGCGCGATGTCGCGAGGGGACGGTCGTGATCGTCGAAGTACTGGGCTGCATATCGGAGTTGGGCAGGACGAGGATTATGTCGGACGATCAGTAATGGCGATATCCTTTCACCGGGTCGACAGCTAACACGGTGGTGCGCGCCCTCCGGGGCTTGGCAGGTGCGGAACCCCCCCAGCGAACGCGAAACTTCGAAGGCTCTCCCCGTTCGTCAATTGTCCCCCCCGTTAAGGAGACGCGCCCGGTCTATCCCAGTTTATCTCACCCTCGCATCAGGAAGCGTGCGTGGTTCTCGTACATATTGCCATGGTGGGTTCTCTCGTATTGCCTCTGCATGCGACCCGTTTTCCAAGTAAGACCTGCGCATGGAGGGGATTCCATACCAGTACTTGCATCCTCCTTTTGCGGGTCATCTTCTTTCTCAGAATTTATACTTCCGCGCTCGTGCTCCCGTCCGTGATCGTCGTATCAGCTATCGTTATATTATGGCCTCGTGATTCGTCCGGCGCCTGGTTCGTGGTGTGGTACACGACGAACACGACTTGGGACACCCCATTCTCCGGACTCGGCTACGCCATTGCAGTCCCATATCGACATGTGTCCACGTCCACGTCGGTGAGCGGTATCGTTACCGTAACCTCGTGCCGAAGACCGACTTGACAGCTAAGAATCTTCCTGATCTCTTCGTCCCCCGTCCCAACTTTGCGCTCAGTGCTCGCGTCTCTCCTCGATCCCTCCAGGGATGTTTCTTTTCCGCTCATCAACGCGACCGTACGCGTTGACAAACTACGTCTATCACGCCTACCGACCGACCCTCACTCCAATCTCTGATCCTCGCCCCCCCCTCCCCGGGCTTCGCCGTGGTCTCGCCATGGTCTCTCGCCTCACCGCCACTACTGATGCCAAGGCGTCGGGTTGTTGACCGCGGTGTCCAGGGACGGGATAAGGCGGTAGTTACCACCGTGTATGCTGTTCGACAGATCGCGGATCGTCAATACTCGATAGATACTACACGCATCGCGAAGAGCAACCACCTATTACACTCTTACCATTCCTCAGATTGGCGTGCACAAACGAGACGCAACAAAACGCCATCCGTTCCCCAATGTCGACTACGTTCTGGACCTTTTTTTTATACTTTTTTTGTTTGGTCTTGTCGCCTTGATCTCATGAATCAACGATAAAGGCGTGGTCAGGGGCATGAGTGTGGAAACTCCTATAGCGTGCCTGGATGTGGCCCTCGCATGCCTCAGCTCAGTCCCCGCACCCGCGCATACATGCATACCTTAACTGCATGCACGCGTCGCTGGTCGGGTACCTTTCGTGCGGTCCAGCCCGGGGCACCGTCACACCGAACCGAGGACGACGGTCGTCGCCGTAATACTCTTACCGTCGTCCCTCTCGTGCCTATGCACCCGGGGCGAATCGAGGCACCCGCCCGCACCGAGCCCTTGGTCTCTTCGTCCAATCTGACCAGTGGACCGTGGTCGTGCAAGTCCAGAGGATCGAAGGTCTCGGAGCGCGGTGCGAGCGAGTAGATATCGATGATACGTACTCGACGACATCGACCAGCGAACCGGTGGTTTCGCTGTGCCTTTCGCGTGCGACAGAGCAATCGATCGACCGCAACGAGGCTAACGAAATCGAAACCCGTCGGACGTACTCCTCGGACTCATCCATTGTATCGTCGGGCTCCTCTCAATCTCAATCCTGGTCGTCCCAAACCCGCTCCAACACCCCTGGTCTCAGTGGTATAGGTGGTGGATAACACGAGTTCCATTACAACATAAGGCATAAAATACATGCAGGGAGCATAGCATCGTTAAGGAGCGACTGGCATATCCGATTTTGTAGAATATAAAGGTCAAGAATCAGGGGGACTGTCATCAAACCAGTCGTTCGTGTATGCGGCTGAAGTCGGAAGACGGTGGAAATGAGGAACGGGGAGTGATAGCCCACGAGAAAGCCTTCCGTGTTTGCGGCTTCGTGGATAAAGGAAAGAGAAAAGAGGGAAAGAGAGACTGTCCAACCTCGATGCGGCCATTCGTGTATGCGGTTTGACACAGAGGAAGATATATTCGACCAGGCCCCGTTCGGCCTGGTATCGATGTTAGCTCGTTAATTCTTCGTCGTCTTGAGCTTCTTGTTCCTCGTGGAGCTCCTCGTCTTCCTCCGCTTGTTGTTGAGCCCATTCGACTCGTCGTCGGAATCCTGCTGTTCTCCTTGGTCGACTCTCGCAGTCGTGGTGCCTGCTTCATCTCCTCGGCCTCGACCGGCGGTCCTGCGTGCAGATCGGCGAGGCCGGGCAACATGGTTGCTTGATTCCGCAATGTCGTTCCCGGCATGCGCGTCTACAGCTGGATCATCCTCGCGAACGGTGTCTTGAGCAGGTCCGGCTAGGTCGGGTGAAGTGGAATCCTCCTCGACCGCCGCCAACAGCTGCATCTCGACCTCGGCAACGCTGTCCATCACAACAAGGCCCGAGCGGCCAGTGGACGAGAGGGGGATGGGGTTTGCGCTCGCCTCGCCTGGAGGACCAGCCATCACGGTGTCGTCGCTCCGGGCGCCATTGTCGACTTCAGGAGGGTCACAGTCGAAAACGCGCCAAGCGTACCTCAAGGCGGCTTCCGGAACATCCGCGCCTGGCCACACCGACGCCATACGAGAAAGGCCGGACCGATAGCCCGCTTCCCGGAGAGCTTGTTCTGCAGCCTGTCTAGTCGGGAGGACCGGAATGGGAGCCTGTGGAGGTCCGGGTAGCTCGTTCGGATCGGCTACGTCCACGACGATCGCCTCGCTGCGGTAGTTTTCGCAATCATGGTCAAGGTGGTGGCCGCCCGTAAGCTGGCCGCGCAGCGTCAAGGGGCCGCGGATCAGCGCCTCCCCTAGGACCTCCACCGTCCCGTTGACTATCACCCCGCCAGTCACGACCACGTTGCCATTAATCACCAAGCTGCCGTCGAAATTGACCTCGCCATGGATTTGGGTCGTGCGGATGACCTCTGGAATGTTGCTCTTACGGGGGCTCCCATCGCCGTTGCCAAGTATAGCGTGCTGAAGTGTGGGCGTCTCAGGAGGCTCCGTCTTTTCGGGCGGGCCAAGGTCATCGGGGCCGGCAAACTGGGGGATGGCGGTCCTCGCGGCGCTGTAGTTTCCCTTGCTGCCCTTCGTCAAGAAGTTTTGCACAAGAGGATTGTTGAAAGCGAGCGGTTCAAGTGGTTTAGCTGGAGCCAGGAACGAGTGGTCAGATGCATCCTCAAGGCTGATCCGCTGGTCGTTTTGCGGCTCCAACAGGCGTTTCAACAGTTCGCCTAATCGGGACACGAATGAATCAGAAATGGGAGGAGGAGGAGGAGGAGGAGGAAGAGGAGGAGGAGGTGGGAGTTCACTCTCACCTGCATCACCGATCTTTTTCATCATTTCCTCAGGTACCTTGTCCATTTGCGGCACTCTGGATAAGATGCGGGTAGGCAGTGGGCTCTTTTTCTTCTCGGAAATTAGCAGGAAAGGGCGCATTGCGAACAACCTGTCGGATCAATGAGCCAAAAATCGCGAGAATCTGTGGGCAACGCGCACAAGAAGAACATGATTGCGCCGACGCCGAAGGACTCGCTTTTCTCGTTGTATACGTGATTCACGATATCAGGAGGTGCCCAGCCAGCGCTGCCTGCGGGCTCCTACAAATTATCCGTTTCAATTCGCTCAGTGCTAGACGATCAATATGTACTTACGACATTCCGAGAGGGATCCTTCTTCCTTTGTCTAATAAGGCCGAAGTCGCATATCCTGACTGTAATAGAGCCTGCGTCCTTCCGGAAGACCAGTATATTCTAGGCGTGCAAGTGCATCAGTCCCACGAAATCGGTTGCGCGAAGGAGATGAGACGAACCGAGGGCTTTATGTCGCCATGCATTATACCCTGGGAATGCATGTACTGCAAGGAATTCTTAGCTCAACATAGCAAACACGATGGACCTAACCTACCAGAAGGCCGTCGATGATCTGGATCAACACCGAGCGAGCAAGGGGCGGCGCTAGGGGCAGAAATAGCATGTCAGGGGTCTGGAATACATGACTATCGAGGAGTACTGCTCACAGAGTGGTCCTTCGTGCATGACGTAATCCTTCAGGGTCCCATAGGGCGCCAGCTCGGAAACCATGTCTGCAAAACAGTCAGCGTACAAACGAGGATACTAGATAAGATTACCTACAAACTCGGAGAGTTTCCGGGGCCTTGTCGTCGGTTTCAAACCAATAGTCACGCAAGGGAAGGACAGCCGGATGGTCCAGTGCTTCCCAAACGCTTAACTGTAAAGCCATGTTCTGCAGCTGCCAGGGTTTCACCTTCGTGCGCTTGATGGCAACGGCCAAAGCGTCCTCATCGTTGACGGTTTCACCAAAACGCACCACTGGAGTAGACGGTCACCGACGAGCTCAGCACAGATAAACAACATGCTCACCTCCTTGCCCTCCTTCCTTGACCATTTCGGACGCGATCTTGTAGCGGGAGGCATGAGAAGGCGATTCCACGACATCCGTCAGACAACGGAAGATGTACTCTGTCTTGCCGATGTACACGGTGGCGTCACGAGGTAAGTCGTGCCCTTTAAGCGTGAGGTACTTCTCGTAGACCTGATAGATGATTGTCAAAACGAGAGAAGGTCAACAGCAGTTGTCAGCACGCGCACCTTGATGCCCACGTCATTATGTATCGGTGTGATGCTGAACGTGATCCCTTCCGGTTTCTCGTGCATGGAAATCGAAGCGATTTTCTCAAGTGGCTCTGCGGTAATAATATGATAACAATGCGATAAGTCACTTTCCGCAAAAGAAATGTAAAGCTCACCTCGGGCATGCCTATTGGCTTGGACAAGTCCGAGCACGTCGCGACAGATGAACAACGTTGTCGACTTTTTGTTGAAGACAACATCCGGTTCACCGTCAGTACGCGACTCCAGTAAGCCCCAGTGCGTTCTACGCAGCAACTGATGCTTGATTGCGATATGGCGAGCTGCCAGCCGAGCGTCCGGCAGCAGTGTTGGAACTCGCTCAGCCATGCTGGCGAAACGCGAGTTTGGGGGGCCGAGACCAAGGAGGCTTGGACCTCAATTTATACTCATTTGACAAAGTCCCGTTGAGGCCACTGCTCGACAGTGGCCTTGTAAGATCTCGATGTTGTGGCGAAGACAATTGTCTGGGACTCTGGCCTGGTCCGCGTTGCACGCCAGAACTCCTTAGCCAGTGATGAGAGAAGAAGAATCAATTGCAAAGCCTCTAAACCATGGTTGCAGCTGTGTCTTTCGCAAGAATCTAGCATCGAGGGTGGTATTGTGATGTTGGCGATCGCGAGTTGGTCGTCGTGGTGGCTCCTCTCGATTGAGCCATGTTCGATGATCGCCACGTTGCTGCGCGCCCGGCAACGCCACTCGCATTGCACAAGCTGCACGCAATTGCCCAGCTCACAGAATGTATCTATATCGTCCTGTTCGTCCAGGGCGACGGCAAGCTGCTCATCAGGCGGATGCGATGAGGCGGCAAGTTTTCAAGGCGCGTTCGGGAGCTCCTCACGACTGATTACTTGAATTGTAATACTCAAGCCAACCTCTGTCCTATTGAAAGGATGAGAGGACAATGCCGAGAACCAATTATTGCTAGCTATTCGTTGAGCGCGTCATAGTCAATCAAAGCTGTCCAAGGTACAGATGCTCGTCCAGTGCCGTTGACGATTTTGGGGTCAGCCGTGCTGTCGCTGGGCCTCTCCTCCAATTCCTCGGCAGGTATCCACCTGTAATGGTCAAGAACCAGATACCGCCACTGTCTTCGCTCCTCATCCCATTCCGCCATCTCATCCTCTGCACGATTTTCATATACAGGGCACCCGTCCTCCTTAGCTGCAGGCAATACAACATCAATGATCCAAGGTGGAAAAGTCCGCATGGCCCTGAGAATACAATTCCCGCATCGCCCCGATCCGATGTGCCAGCGCTCCAAATCGACGAGAACGCTGGCAGGTAGGTGTTGAAATTGGACTGTGAACTGCTGTTTGAACACCCTCGGAGTTCTTGGACGAAGAGGTACTGGGAGGCCAGGAAGGTTGTCCACGAACGCGTCTTCGTGTCTATGAGCAAGCATATCTTGAACGTCTCTTTCCTTCCTCATAAGGCGCCCGGGATGAAACTCGGGCGTTGACCATGCATCGCTCATATCGTGGAATTGGAATCCTTGTGCATCCGCGCCGATACGAGGCCTCGGACGCGTAAACGCGGTCTCCTGGATGCGCGACCGTTGATTCGATGTAGGTCGGCACGTACAGCAACTCTTGTTCTCCAGCGGATCCGCGTCAATCAACGCGTCAAGTACAGGGCGGAGAGTGTCGTCTGCTGCGCGCTTCCCGCTGCCATTGGCTCGCGCTTGTTTGAGTGCAGCAAGGACAGTCTGCAGGTCCGTACCCGTGACGCTGCTCGCCGGTTCGGCAAGCGATGTGACGTTGTCGTTCACGAGGGTTCTGTTCAAGGCATCGTAAGTCCATGCGCGGCAGAGAACACGGAACGTAGGACGCACGGATGAGTTTGAACCCCACGACATTGGCGAGTGCTCCTGTCCTGCGAGGATGATACTCGTCGCGCGTCGAGCGTCTCGACGCCTTGCATCAGATTCTGCACGCCCTCCGTAGCGCGCGCTATCGCTGTTTCTGTTTTCGTCAGAAGCTTGTGAACCACGCTAGCTTCGTGTCGCATCTTCTTCAGCTCATTCGCAGCGCGCACGGCTTGCCTAACTCTACGAGATTGCTGCCGCGAGCTGCCCGTCACAGCATCGTCGCTCGTGCGACGACATTTGGAACTGCGTTCCTCAGGATCAGGAGATGTGGGTCGTTTGGCGGAATGTCGAGGGCGGGGAGGGACGTCATCGTCGGGAACTTCTTTTCGCGGGCGAGGAGGAGCTTTGGCTTTACGAGTTGCGTGAGCCGATTGAGGGAGTGCAGCGAAAGCTCGAGGGTTGGCTTCGCGGCGACGGCGGAGATTGTATATCGGTTCCGTACTACCTGTGAGGTCGACAATGAACGGGCATGCATGGTTATAACGAGAAGAATTTGCGCGTACCGGATGCAACTTGCGAGGTCATGTTTCCCAAATAATTCGCAGCATCATGCCACCCAATAAATGTAGATGCTGTACGTTCTGCCGAGCGCGCAGTGCGCTTGGTCAATTTGGGAGTGCTAGATCCCAACGGATAGTTCTGAGCTGGTCGTTTCATGTCTCGTCCGTTCCTTGTCGGGTTGTTCGCCCCAGTTTAAGAAGATACAGTTCTCACTACAGCTCAGGTACTCAGAGAATATTAGCGGTAACAAGTTTCAATGGATGAAACAAGCCTTTTGTTGCGTATCCGGTCGACTTGACGCTGCTCGCAGCTCAACGAGCTCCTTTGCCGGGCCGGTTTGGTCCCACGTGACACTGTGGACTCGTGGGCGCGCGACGCGACGCGACGCACTTGCTAGTCTACGCTAGCCTGCCATCGTCGATGTCTACGGTTTCCTTCGTGAATAGTTCTGCAGGACTACATCGTACGTCTCTCTGGGGAGGGAGAACGAGTTTCGTTATCGGAGCCGCAGCTGATGGAATACAAGTATTGATTGCACTGGTACACCTTCGCATTGTCCGACATTGTGACCTCGACTCGACCAAGCTCGACTGAGCGCCTTGCTCGACCGTGACAAAAGAGCACAATACACACAATTGAAACTCACATGACAAGGCACTATTTCTATACTGTTCTCTCGATACGCCAAGAAGACGCAGCTCGTAGACTTGTTCAACGCAAGCTGCAGTAGGCTCAGACAGCAGATGATCGCGAAAGCTAGTTTTGTTTCCACTCATCTCATCGGCTTTGCCGAGTGCGAATGTGTAGCCTCGTGGCCTTCAAGAAGGGAACAACATCCGCCCTTCTCATTGGCTCCTCGTCTCCGGTTCTACTTGGGCGGCTGCTGGTGGACCGTGCCAATGTTTCATCGTTGCTGAAATTTCCGGCCATCTCACGGAGCTGAAGACTCCATACATAGACGCTTCATGATCGAGACGACATTCCGAATGCAAGCTCAACGTATGCGCGATGGAAGGCGACACCACTGAAACCGGTGTGAGACTTTCCCTTGTTAGTGCCGTCGATTTCAAAATCCCTCCTGTACTATAGTATTAGATGACTGCTGATATGAAAACGATGGTAGGGTGTGATCCTATTCGCGATTCACCTTTCCGGGCTCCTCGCTCATACGGTCACGAAGCCCTCGAACCCGTTATCCAACGCCTTGCGGCACTCCTGCGTGTAAAGCGGGAGACCGCCAAGATAATTCAGTTGCTCTCGAGGCTTTCCGGGAATGTTCGCCCCCATATACCAGCTGTCCGTGTTGTGGAAGAGTGTATTCTTGCTGATCATCTCGATCTTGTCGTGCCACTCCTGTTCGCTGGCCATCGTGGGCTCGATGTAGCGGATTCCCTCCTTCTTCATCTTGGCTATGGCGTCGATGATCCAGTCCGCCTGTGACTCGATGCAACTAGGACCGTTGCTGAGCGCCGTCGGGGCTTGCGGGCCGTAGATGTAGAACAGGTTGGGGAATCCAGAGAGCGTCATGCCCAGGTAGCTGTACGTCCCGTTCCTCCATTTCTCGCTCAGGTCCACACCATTGACGTCCTTCAGCCCCATGTCCTTCAGCCCGCCCGTCACAGAGTCGAAGCCGGTGGCTAGGGCGATGACGTCGAACTCGCGTTCCTTGCCATCGGCCGTCTTGAGGCCCTTCTCCGTCACCTCGACGATAGGCGTCTTCCTGACGTCCACCAACTCGTTCTCCGGCCGGTCCACCACCTCGTAAAAGTCCTGCTCGAGAGAGAGACGCTTGGCCCCTACCGGATGCGGCTTCTGCAGTGGCGCGAGGAGGTCACGCTTGACGGGATCGGTGATGCGCGCGCGCGTTTTCTTCGCCCAAAATACGTACGCCTCGTCGTTAGCCTTCTCGTCCAACAGCAGGTCTTTGTACGAGCTGATCATGAAGGGGAATCCTCCCCTCTGCCAGAGTTCCTCGTAAAACGCCTCGCGCTGCTCGGGAGTGTCGTCGAAAGTGTTGCGCTCGATAGATTGTGTCAGGTGGCCGGTAGGCGTCCTCAGGCGGTATTTGTAAAGCTCCGGGTATTCCTTCTTTTGCGCCTCTTGCGCCTCCTTGGTCAATTTCTCCTGCCGCATCGGCAGAGCGATGTTGGGCGTGCGTTGGAAAACAGTGACGGATGCCGCCGTCTTTGCTGTCTCCTGCACGATCTGAATGCCGGTACAACCGGTGCCGACGACCGCTACTCTCTTCCCGGTCACGTCAACGCCCTCGTTAGGCCAGAAGGACGAGTGGTGCATGATACCCTTGAATCTCTCGAGACCAGGCCAATTGGGGAAATAGCGCTTCGCTGCGAACCCGGTGGCGCAGATGAAGAACCTGGAGTACGCCGTCCGGCCATTCTCCAGCTTCACGGTCCATCTCTGCGAGGTTTTGTCGAACTGCGCGCGAACGACCTTGGAGTCGAAGGCAACGTCTTTCTTGATGTCAAGCTCGCGGTCGACATGAGCAAAATACTCGCGCAGCTCAGCGTAGCCGGGGTATTTCTCCGTCCAAGTCCAGTTCTATGCCGATCCGTGAGCCGTCCATCCGGTACTTCAGCATTCGGGGAACGCTAACCTTCCATAATTTTTCGATACTCAGTTCGTAGACCGGAACCATCGAGTCGACCCGCGCCCCGGGATAGCAGTTCCAATGCCTGCGACTTGTCGATCAGACATCATACGTCGCAGGAATCGGTCCCAAAGCCGTGCTTACCAGATCCCGCCAACGTCCTTTCCCGCCTCCATAACCTTAACCTTCATACCATATTCATCGCGGAGCTTGTGCAGTAGGTAAACTCCGCCGAAGCCGGCACCAACAATGAGCACATCGACCTCCAGATGATCCACATAGCTGTCGGCATGTTCATCCCTCGGCGGCTGTTCCGAACCGATGTCTCTGCGGAATGGCATAACTCTAGAGTGAAATGCGCTGCAAATTGCGCGACGAAGCGATAATACTAAGTGACTCGGTGCAGCTTTCGGGAGCGAACGAGTGGCCTCAAGTGGGGCAGTCTCGACTCATATATACGCGTGGTGACCTTCTCGATGTGCTTCCCCAGCATGAGGTCCATCTCCCGCTTACACGTAGGCCGCCTTCTTCCAATGCGATGATCACCCACTTCTGTGTGGGCCGTGACGGGCTTGAGAATGCATGCCGGTACGACAAGTAGCCTATCCCCCAGGAGAACATATCTGAACTATAAGTACATCCAAGATCTTGTTCGCGAAGCACGGACGTACAACTTCGGAAAGACGCTCTCACTTCCGTGAGTACCTCGCGGTGGCGAAGTTGCCGTTCGGCGCGAATGACACATTCTGATGTTACCCAGCGGATACATGATGCTTTCGGTGGTGCGCGCCCTCGCCTTCCTCATCTTCGTGGCGATGGGTCGAACATCGCACGACCCGGCCGACGGGTTCTTGAGCTCCTTTATACATGCAGAGCTCGCTCACTCCCTTTTCCTAGGCGCAGCGAACCCATGTCGGCGGAAGGAGAGAATGGTCAGGCATGTTTTTGCGTATCACCTGTGAGATGGTCGGTGACTGGATACGGAGCATAAATATAATGAGTGTACCTTCCACAGAAATGTTGAAGCGTCATGCGCCGGAGTCCGGACGACAGCTCATAGTCATACGTTTGAG